GCGTGCGTGTGTCGTGCCGTGCGTCGTGTCGTGTGTGCCGTGCGTGTCGTGCGGTGGGCGGGTTACCTCTTCGAGTTGTTCGTAGGAGAGCCATCGGAAGCGGACGGCCTCCATGAGCTCGTTGATCTGCTCCTCGGTCAGGTCGTCGCGGTGGGCCTCGACGTAGGTGCAGACAGTGTTGAACAGGTGCTGCTCGCTCTTGACGGCGAGGTAGCGGTGGTGCAGGAGCAGCATGAAGATGTCCACCGGGAGGAAGGTGTAGTCGGCCTTGCCCAGCGACGCGTGCGAGAAGTTGCGGGCGGTGATGAACAGGCACTTGAGGACCACCTCCTCGCTGTTGAAGTCGATGGCGCGCTTGAGCCGGGCCAGCGCGTTGTCGCGCGACAGCGTCTGGTTGACAAAGTCGCTGCACATCTGCTGCAGCTCCTACTCTCACCACACCACACCACCCACACCACAACACACACACACACACACACGAGTGTAAGTGTCGTGTCGTTGGTCGTGTCGTGTGCGAAGAGGAAAGTTGCGTACTTGAACGAGGTAGTGGTCGGCCATGGCCAGGAGCGGGATTACGTTGTCCTCGGCAATTGTGACGTGGCCCTGATAGATGAACTGTACAGTGTGTCGTGTCGTTGGTTGCGTGTGCGTGCGCGTGTGCGTGTGCGTGTGCGTGTGCGTGGTGGAGTACCTGGAGCACGAGGGGGAACACGTGGGCGGGGTCGGGGAAGCGGAGGTGGATGTAGGTCTGCCGGCCCTCCTGGAAGTTGCTCAGCAGCAGCCGCGAGAAGTACTCCGACGAGTAGGCCAACAGCAGCCGATGCACCCGGTACTCCTTGCCCTGTTCACCACACCTTAGCACCACTCTATCGTGTGTGTGTGGTGCGTGTGGTGGTGCGTGCGGTGCGTGCGGTGGTGCGTGTGGTGGTGCGTGCGGTGCGTGTGGTGGTGCGTGTGGTGTACCTCGCACTCGAGGGTGAGATCGGAGTAGTCGCCGCTTTGCAGGAAGTGGCGGAAGCCGTCCCGGAAGATGTCGGCCTCGCATCGCTTGGGCTTGACCTTCTTCTTGAGACTGTCCAGGTCGATGTTCATCGGCTGCCGGTCATACCCGCCGTACCCGCCGCCCGCCACCGTCGTCGGCGTCATCGGCGTCGTCACCGTCATTGGCGACGACACCGTCGGTGATGACGTCAGCATCGGCAGTGTCGATGAGGGCGGCGATGTCGACATGAGCAGCCTGCTGCCCGACGACTCCGAGCTCTTCTTCCTGTGCTCGCGCTTGCCCTTCTTCTTCGCCTCTTTCTTCTTTTTCTTCTTTTTCTTTTCTTTGGCGCCGCCGGCGCTGGTGGTGGTGGTGCCGGAGCCGGCGGCGGCCTCTTCGCTGAACGAGCGGCGGCCGCCGACGCCGCCGCCGGTGGTGTCGGTACTGTCGCGTCGGTCGGCGGTGGCGCCGGCAAAGACGCCGGCGAGAAGCGGCGAGCAGGAGAAGGAGGGCGAGGTGCCGGGCGAGAAGGAGGGCGACGACGGGGTCGAGGCGCCGCTGACGCCGGCGCTGCTGCGGCGGTCGTAGGCCGAGAACGAGGACCGGTCCGTGCCAAAGCTCGTGTTCAAAAACTTGCGCTCCATGTCGCTCACATCTGCGTGTGTGCGGTGTGTGCGGCGGTGCGTGTGGCGCGTTCAGCACACATCAACCGCACACGGCACATGGCACGACACGCACACATCACACATCACACACGCACACATCGCACACGCACACATCGCACATCGCACACGCACATCGCACATCGCACACGAGAGTGAAGGGAGTACCGGAGAGGGAAAAGGGGGCGGGGGGCGTGGTGGAGGAGGCGGACCAGCTCTGGTCGGTGCCCTGGCTGATGGACAGGACCTGGTGCGGTTGCGGCCGAGTAGAGGCCGTCGACGGTGTAGTGGAGGTGGTGGTGGTGCTAAGGTGGGGTGGGACTTGGGGCGCAGATGACGAAGATGAAGTCGTTGGAGTAGCGGCGGCGGCTTGGTCCAAAGAGTCGACGAGCAGCTGCTTGAGCTGCTTCTTGTGCTTCTTGCCCATCTTGGTCTTCTTGAGGGCGTCAATGAGGAAACTGCCGCTGCTGCCCGAAGACGCGCCTCGCAATCGATTCGATTGCTGATTTTTCGTGGGGGGCGACTGAGATGCCGCGGCCTGCTGATGATGCGGGGTGCTGACAGATCTGCGCGAACGGACCTCATTCGCCTCGGCCTCGTCGTCCATCTCCATTCCCGAGGCCCTCGGCAGCACCAGCTGACAAAATAAGAAGAAATAGGTGAATAAAATTAATTTTCAAAATGATTTTAAAAAATAAAATTGTGACCAACATATTGTCCGCAACAACTCGTTCGGACAGCTTCGTGGAGCTTGGCCGTGTGTTCACCCAGACCAGTAAGGGTACGGTCGCGCCTCTAGAGCCTCTTCGGCTCCTCTTTTCTTTGGCTTGGGTCATAAGAATCTAGTTTATTTTTAATGTGGTTATTACTGCTATAGTAGGGGGATGGAGACCTCGTCACCACGGACGCCGCAGCAGCAGCGGCTGGAGGGCGTTGGCAGCACAATTGTTGTGGGGCGCAAGTTGAGTGGCGGTGGCTCTGAACTGGGCGTCTCGCCCAGGGTGGGTCCGCGGGCGGTGGCGGGCTTCCTGGCCTGGGCCGACTTTGACAACCCCACCAAGTGGTGTCGGCGGTTCTTCGTCCTCCACGACGGCTGGCTCTACCGCTTCCCCAACGCCAACATCGTACCCTTTGCTCTCTTCACCTTCTACTTCTTCTACTTCTTCTTCTTCTCGCAAGCCCGCTCACGTCCACTTACACTAACGCGTTGTTGACACAACACTACAGAAAGCGAGGCCAGAAGTGGCGCTGTCGGTGAATGGCGGCATCATCGATACGCCGGACACGCACCCGATCGTTGCGGCGTCACAGATGAACCTCTTCCGCATCACCACCCGTACATCTCCTTCTCACCGCACACGCACCACCGCACACCGCACGCGCACGCGCACACGCACCACCGCACACGAAACACGAAACACGATACATTGTTGAGAGGCGACGTGTAGGGAACAAGGAGGTGTTCTATTTCCTCGCCGAGACGGAGGCCGAGATGGTGATGTGGGTCAAGCCGCTCATCGCGGCCTCGATGGCCGACTACGCGCCCGCGGCCTCGCCCCGCGACAGCGTGGCCTTTGAGCGGGCCAGGCCACCTACCAGGCCGCATCGATGTCATCAGCCGCTGCGCCGGCGGCCGCGCAGGCCTCCGCGTCGACCTCGGCGCCCACGATCCCTGCGCCCGCGCAGACGAAAAGATTGCCGCAGTTGTCGCTACGGCCACCGGCGCAGTCGCTCTCGTCACCGTCACCGTCACCGTCACCGTCGTCGTTACCGTCGCCCCGAGCGTTGGGGGTAGGGACGGTCCAGCTCTCCGCCTCTTGTTCGCGGCTGCCTACCGGAAGGCACGCCACACGCCACACGCATCACCGCACACACCGCACACGCACACGCACCACACGCGCGTGCGTGTCATCGAATTCACGGAACAATTCGTACATGCAGCGGTGCCCCTCCCGGCCAAGATGGGGACCAGCTCGTGAGCCCTCGCACCGGTTGGAAGAAGGCCATGTCGGGATCCACTCTCTCCCTCCCACGTACGCACTCGAACCCTTGGTTGCGTGTGTCGTGTGTGTGTCGTGCGTTCGGTTTGGTGTGCAAGCCGGTGGTCGGTGACTGATCATCAGCGAATGACAATTCAGAGAGAGCCGAGGCAAAGCTTAAGGCGCTCCAGCTCCGGGCGACGGCCAGAGACGTCGTCAGGTTGCAGGCCATCGTACGCGGCCGGATCGCCCGCAAGCGATACGCCGTGATCAGTGCGTCTCGCCCCCCATTTTCGCGGTGCTGCGCGTGCGCTGTAACCAACCAAACCAAACCAAACCAAACCAACGGCAGAGGAGATGGCGCGGAAGCGACGGAGCGTGGCCGAGGAGATCGCGCAGACGGAGAAGAACTACGTGTCGCTGCTGCTCACCACAATCGAAGTACTCACTTCTCCGCTCCTGCTAACTCGTCGGTGTGCGTGTCACGCGTGTGCGGTGGTGCGTGTGCGGTGGTGTGCGTTCCCTGACTCGTAACTTTTGGTGTTGCACCCAAAAGGTCATCTTTGAGCCGCTGCAGAAGCTCAACGCCCGGCTCGACACAGCGCAGTCGGACCAACCTCGTTTGAAAGTACGCCGCTTGTGTGATCGCTCTCCGGTGCGCAATTCGGGCCTGTCCTGACCACACGACACACCTATGCGCGACGACGACGACGACGACGACGACGACGACGACGACAACAGTTGAGTAGTCTGCATACCAACAGTCAGCTCCTGTACAAGATGCACGCGCGCTTCTCGGACGCCTTGAATGCGGCCGTGGCCCCCTACGCCCACTACCGGCAGATCGGTGCCATCTTCAACGAGTTTGTACGTGCCTGCCTCCGCGATCATAATTTTCACCGCACACGCACACGCACACCGCACACACCGCACCGCACACGCGCACTGACGCGCTGGCACTCGGTGACGGTCTTCCACAAGTTGCTCTTTCCGGGGTCGCTCTCGTCCGAGTACCAGAGGTACGTGGTCAACTACGAGACCGCGGTGAAGAACTACCACGAATCGCTCGCCTGCCACACCTATAAGAGCTTTTTCGATGTACGCCCCTACGACCGACCGCGCATGCAAATGCAATTACAGCTGCGACCGACCGTGGTCCAGACCGTATATTGGTCTGACGCGTCGGTATGCTTGGCTCCCACAGGTGGCCATCACGCACTACCGCTGCAACGCTCTCGACTTCTGTTCGCTGCTCATTGTACGTAGCCTCGCAACTCCTCCATCAGCACTTTTCTCTTACGCACACGCACACGCACACGCACACACACACGCACACGCACACGCACACAACACAGGGTCCCGTGCAAAGGATTACACGCTACGTGCTTCTGCTGAAGGTTTGCATGACAAAGTCATCTCTCTCTCTCTCTCTCATGAAATTCGTGCATTCATCGGCTATGGATAGGTGGAGGCGCCTCACCTTTACTTCCACTCCTCTTCGCAGGAGCTGTCCAAATACACGTGGACCGAGCACCCCGACCACGACCAGCTCAAGCTGGCCACGGCCAGCATCGCACAGATTGCCGAAGAGGGTACGCGCAAATGCGTCCTGAAACAATAACATATTATTGCAAAATTATTTATTATTATAGTAATATCATTAGACTAATAACAAATAATTAATAATTAATAATTAATTAAAATAATACGAACGCACGATTACGCGCAGTGAATGAGGCGAAGCGCAAGGCCGAGGGAATACAGCGCACGCTGAGCATCCAGACCAAGCTCGACGATCGCAAGATCGGGGTACTGTTGTACCCCGGCTACAGCGCTGCTGTGGCTGAACCCTAACCCTCTCACACACACACACACACACACACAAACAGCGCGGCCTCGCGGCGCGACGCTACATTCGCGAGGGCATTCTCTCGCAGATCGTAAAGGGACAGCAGCCCCGTGAGCGCTACGTACGGCCCTTCCCCCTAATGCTGCCAGTGGGTACCCTTGTGGGGGGAAAACTCAGGGGTTCTCACCACCGCCACCACCACGCAGGTGTTCCTGTTTTCCGACCAGCTCATCAGCTCGCTCAAGAAGACGGTCCGCATGGGCCTCAACAACACCACTGTCCGTTTCTCTTCCAAGGTTCGGTTTGACGCTCCACCCATACTAGTTGCGCGTTGTGCGTGCGTGCGTGCGTGCGGTGTGTTGCGTATTGCACGTGTGCGGCGTGTACTGAGACACGTTCAACACAGGGGGCGATATCGCTGCTCAACACGGTGGTGGTCAGGTCCAAGAAGGACGACGCGGTCTTCAAGCTGCGGAGTACGCTGCCCGGCCGGTCGGCCCAGACGACGACCAAGTGGCGGGCCAACAGCCAGCGCGAGTGCGACTCCTGGGTCCAGGACATCAGCCTGCTCCTCGCCGAGCTGAAGCACCTGTAAACATATATATCATAATTTCTAACATATATTTTCCATATTTAGAAGTATTATGTGATTTTATATCTTTTAATTTAAATGATGAATAAGCAAAAAAAGTTAACTTCTTTTTATTTTACGCCGAGACGAACGCGGTAGCCCCAGACCCAGGGCCGCGGCTCGGTGCCCATCCATTGGGTGAACTGGTCGAGCAGGGCGCCGATGCCGAGCTCGTCGTCGCTCACCCCGGCCTTGCGCACGGTGGCGACGTGGCCTTGGCTCAGGGCCAGCTGCAGCAGCCGCCGGGCGTCGCCGGTCTCCTGGTCGCTGTGGACGATCAGCTCCCGAACCCAGCGGAAGAGGCCGCTGGCGGCCATGCGGCCGAGGTGCTCCTCCTTCTCCCACTTCTTGACGTCGCGGTAGAGGTCGCGCTGGCGGCCCACGGCCTTGACCTCCTTGAGCCAGTCCGTGTAGCGCTGTTCGGCCTCCCAGCAGCCCGTGGCCGGCGGCCAGTCACAGTCGTACGCTGCGTCCATACGTGATGATAGTTAGCACGACACGCACGACACGCACGAACGACAACACACACACACACACACACAACGCCACGCACACGACGACGATGACACAGAGGACGCACCGACGAATAGGCCACCGGGACGCAGGATGCGGACAGCCTCGGCGAAGGTGGGGGTCGGGTCCATCCAGTGGAGGGCCTGGGAGACGGTCACGATGTCTGCCAGAGCGCGTGTGCGTGTGCGGTGGTGTGTGCGCGTGCGGTGGTGAGTGTGCGTTTTTAGGTGACGCCACGTGCGGCACTTGGCTCAGTGTGTGTGTGGGGAGGGCGGTACCGACAGAGGAGTCGGGCAGGCCCGTGGCGGTCGAGAGGGCGTTGACGAAGCGCACGTTGGACGCGCCGTCGGGGTAGAGCGCGCGCCCCTTCTCCGCCTGGGCCAGCATGTCCGTGCTGGGCTCCACGCCCACCACCTCGTCCGCTTTGCCCTGCCACAGCCACGTCGACAGCCCTGCCACATCACGTGAGAGGGGGGGGGGTGTTGCATGTGTCGTGTGTAGTGCGTGTCGTGTCGTGCCGTGTCGTGCGTGTGCTGCCTTCGACGTCGTACCTGTGCCGCACCCGATGTCGGCCACGCAGGCGGCGCGGGTGCGCCCCGCGTAGCGCAGGAGCAGGTCTACCAGGTCGGCGGGCGGGGTGGGACGCGCGGCGTCGTACACGTCGGCAAAGCCCATGAACCGCTCCACGTTGGCCTTCAGGTCGGTCGTGGCCGCACTTGATGGGTGGTCCTCTGCCATCTTGTTAGATTTATTTTATTTTTTTTTGTTCTTTCTTATTTCCTCAATTATTATGTATTACGCCTCCCAACCAGAGAACGCCACGAAGAGCAACAAGGGAGGGACACTGCGAACTGTGATGAAACTTTTGTACAAAGATGACGATGAAGAGATTACTGAAGTAGAGGTGGGTGGGGGTTGAAGAGAGAACCTCTACGCCGACTTGGAGGCGATCTTGGTGGCAAGCTCGCCCTGGACGTAGTGCACGCCCTCGGTGAGGTAGGTCACAAGCTGGTTGAAGGCCGCCTCGCCCAGCGTCTCGCGCGCGCGGTTGTCGTACTGCTTCTCGCCCATCACTATCGATTCGACGATGGCGTACTTCCACTCCTTGCCCTCCTTGGTCGTCTCCGTGCCGCGGTTGACGATGAATTCGAGGAAGCCCGGGTAGGCGAAGAGGGCCTTGACGCCCCACGGGTGGCGGGCGAGGGCCTGCACGGCGTGGAAGGTGGCGTGGCGCAGGTCGGGGAAGGGCTGGTCCAGGAACTTCATGAACGTGCGCATCACCTCGCCGCTGGACGACCCGTCCCAGCCCTTGTCCTCCACGTTGAAGATCTCCAGCGTCTTCTCGTGATCTGGGCACCTGTGGGTTGGGTTGGGTTGGGTTGGGTTGGGTTGGGTTGGGTTGGGTTGGGTTGGGCTGGAGCAAACGGAACGTACGTGAGGAGCTCGGCAAGGGCGTGGAGACAGGACAAACGAAGGAGCATGGCGGTGGCGGTCAGGTGCTCGAACCAGCTCTTCACCAGGGCTCGCCTCGACAGAAGCAGCTCCGCACCCGCCACGGTGCTTCCCAGCGCGCCCACGAAGCTGATGGCCGCCTCCTGTCATCATTGGCGATTGAAGGCGACAGTCAGTGGTTTTCCAGGCTCGGTTGCAGAGGCAGTGCACGTACCGCACAGGATTCGTCTCGGCTCTCCAACAGTTGCTCGACGACCTTGAGCACAGGTACGAAAGACTGGAGGTCCCCTCCTATTCCCTGCTGTCGGGCAATGGACGCGAGGAGACGCAGCGCGCTGCCACACAGCAGCGAGAAGCCGGGGTCTTCCGTGTCGGTGAGCAGGTGGAGGATGGACGCCATGGCGCCCGAGCTCTGGACGTAGGCCACGCCGTGCTCGGTCTTGGCCAGCTTTTGAACGAAAAGAATAGCGGCTAAGTGAGCACTTGGCGTGGGCACTTGTGAGAGGCGAACAGAAGCCGAGCGCACCTTCTCCAGGAGCTCGAGTACGTTCATGCGCTGCAGGAGGTCCTTGGAGTCGAGCTCGCGGCTCATGAGCCCCAGGTAGTCTTTCGATCGCTCGAGCAGCTCCGCTGACTGAAGGGACAGTTCAACAAAGAGGTCCAGGACGCGCAGGCGCAGGACCTCGCTCTCTGCAATCACGTGACATGGTGTGGCGCGTGTGAGTTACACTTCACTGGACTCCACTCACTCAAAGTGGATGGGTACCTATGATCATGCCGTTGAACATGGAAGAGGAAGTCGAGCTGAAGACAAGCTCTTGGCCCACGGCCTCCTTGGCCACTGTGAGAATGGTCTGCACTGCGATGGTGGCCACCCGCAGATTGCTATCCGCCACTGACTTGACGATGGCCGGCCACACCTCCGTCTGCGCCGTCGGCCAAGCCAGCGGCACGGTGAGCTCACGTTTAGTAGGTTGCAATGAACGGCGAGTGGGGAAAGGTGGTGAGTCGTACCAGCAGAGCAAAGCCTTGAGGACCCGCCGAGGCTGTGCGTGCCAGCTGGGCGAGGGTGAGCTCGCGAACGGCCGGGAGCGCAGCAGTGAGACCGCCCGTGAGGAATGGCTTGACCTGTGGTCGCACATATGTGTCAACTTGGCAGCTTTACTGATAGGCAACAGGAAGGATGCGCACCTGGTCGGAGAGGAGGATGTGCAGGCCGGAGGGTCCAGCAAGTCGCTTTCTGATCTCGCGAACGATCTCGAGAAGGTCGTCCTCATCCTCTTGAGCAGATAGCTTTGTCAGCCCATCAAAGAGCTCGAACAGTGTCCAATCTCTAAGCTCCTTTTCCAAATCGCCCAATTTAATCTTCTTGTGCGATGCATCTCCCGTCGCATCGCCAGTGTCCTGGCCCTCCCGTCCGTGCTTGTTGTTGTCTACGTCCATGTTCGCCTATGCTGATGCGTGTGCAGTGTGAGAAACACTCGGCACTACAAGATGGCGTTTCTTGTTCGCCTTGACAGCAAAGAGACGGCTGGGCCGCTACAGGGATGAGCTGTAAACGTGTTTGGAATTTCTGTTGATTTTGTGTCGACTTGGTTTTCCCGCCGAAACAAATTGGCGCGAAACAGAGATCGAAGATCGAATCACATCAGATCAGGAGTGCAGGAAGCTGCGTGTGGAAGGTCATCATGGCAGAGAATGTGGCGCAGAAGAGACGGGCTGACGTGATGGAAAACAAGGAGAATGTTGAGAACATGCAGATCAGCTCCAAGGGCCGCCTTCCCGCCGTACTGGCTGAATTCGATATCGAAGGTGCACCCTCGTCTCGCCGTTTGTCTTGGTGAAGTGACCTGATTGTTTGTTGGAACTAGTTGAAACGCGATGCGAGGCGCTGCGCGGCCAAGCCAGAGAGCTGGAGGCCTCGTTCCGAAACCAACTCATCCTCGAAACGCTCAAGATTCCTCGCGACATTCGCACCATGCCGATGAAGACCTTCGCCGAGCAGTACGGCGGCGATCTCACCGCCATCGTCGAAGAAGCCCTGCGCAAGCGATACGAACCCATGGCCACTGCTGCCTCTACCCGAACGCAGCTCCCATGAGGCGGCATCCATTTGTACATAACAACTTTTCCGATTTTATCATCTTTCACATCTTCGAAGGAGCAGACACCAGTTGGAATGCTCGTAGTAGTCCTCCACCACCTCGCATCTCGCATCCAGTTCCTGCAGGCACAGATCTCGCAGCTCGCCCTTCATGTAGAGGTGGCAGTACCGGTTGTGTACCACCATACCTGCATCCTTCCCCAGCTTAGCCGTACGCATAACACATGACGCACGACACCAACGACCGTCGACACGACACAACACGACACGCACGAACGAGCAAGGTTGATGGTGAACCTTTGCCGGCCTGCTTGTCCTCCTTGGTGGGTGGTATGCACCAGGGAACGAGCACGTCCTGCTCCTTGAACTTGCGCTTCGAGTCGTCCTCTTGCTCCAGCGCCCACACGTAAATCAACACTCGCCCACCTTCCACGTTCATGAGCGCGTGAGTCCCGTGTGCGGTGGTGTGTCTTGTGTGTGGGTGGTGGTGGTGCGTGTGCGTGTGCGGCGAGGAGAAGAAGAGACCTGGCTTGGTGATACGGAGAAGCTCGGAGAGGGCCTGCAGGCGCCTCTCCTTGGTCGAGAGGTGATGAAGGACCGCTATGGAGAGCACGACATCGAACGCGTCTGACCTGTACGGCAGACGAAGCGTGTCCATCAACGCCACCTCGAAGCCTGATGCAGTGTAGTGTCAGTCGTGAGAAGAGTCACGAGGGTCTGATATGTGTCGTGTGTCGTGTGTGTCGTGTGCGCGCGCGGTGGATAGTGGGGTGGCAACCTCGCTGCGAGCATATGTCGATGAGCCCAGCGCTTCGGTCGCTGCCTACCGCAAAACAGCGTGGCCCTTGGCTATTGTCGTTATTCTGGCGGTGGACGACGTCCAAGTATCTTCCATTGCCGCAGCCAACGTCAGCAATGATGGTGCCCTGATTAGTGTGGCATTGTGAGTGCGTTGCGCTGTCATGATGATGATGATGATGATGATGATGATGGCATACCTCGGGCAGAGTCGAGAGAAAGGCTTCAATCTTGGGCCAAGGCTTCAAGCGCGTGAGGTGCCACTTTGGAGCGATGCTGTCGTACACGTCAATCACATTGCGCGCCTCGAACTCGGAGGCTTGAGTACATAGGTGCGCGCAGCCAAGAAGAAGAGATCAGCATCGCAGAGGCTCTCGCTTTTTAAGGGAGTTACTGCGTACCCGTGGTGGAGCCAAGAATGTTGGTAACTGACAGTTGCTGCGAATCGCATTCCTCAGCGAACCGACAGTCACACGGGTGTCCGCGCACTCTACGAAACGTGAACGACACCCTCTTGCCTGTCCACATCAGCTCGCGCCACCTTAACTCGCTGTATCACGCGCGCGCGCACACACGCACACCACACACACGCACACACACACACACGATTGTACCTTCGCGTTTAATGAGTTGCCCGTGGACGCAGTCGTATCGTCGGAAGGGGATGGCGTGCCGCCATTGGTATCGCGCCGCGCCGGTCATCACGAGGAGCGAGCGGCGCGGAAGGAACACAGACTTGTGCTGCGAGCTGTCCGGCAGCGAAAGGGTCATCACGCACGAGCTCCCCAGCGACAGCGATATAATGCCATCGTGGAAAGCTGTCACCGCAGAGTGTGAGTGAGCGTGTGTCGTGTGTGTGTGTGTGTGTTGTGTGTGTGTGTGTGTGTGTGTGTGTGTGTGTGTGTGAGCGGTGTGTTGTGTGTGGTGTATGTGTGTGTGTGTGTGTGGTACCAGAGTGTGTGTCGATGTGCGCGCCGATCCCGACGCCCTCCTCGTATTCGTTGACCGTGAGCTGATCGGACTCGGGCCACCGGCGACGCTGCACTTTCGTTCCCGTCGCCTCATCTTCCTCCTCCACGACCGCGGCGTCGTTCATCCTCTTCACCACCTCGCTCACAAAGTCGGGCAGGCCTCCTGTTCCCCCCGCCGTCAGCAGTGCTGAGTCTCGCAACGCACACGCGCACGCACACGCACCACCGCACACGCACCACGCACACGCACACGCACACGCACCACCGCACACGACACATGCGCGAGAGAGGGAGAATGGGCACCCAAGGGCTTGGTGATGTCGATGTTACGCGTCTTATAGTCAAATTCGTAGCCCCAATGCTGAACCCGGCGCCGGGGCAGCGTGTTCCAGGACTTGTCCTTCACGGCCGCGAGCAGCCGCTGCTCCTCCGTCTCGTCGATGAAATCGTAGAACACGTAGAGGCCTTCCACCTGAATTCGCGCATGTCCATCAACCTTTGCCGCGTGTAGTGGGTGTCATGCGTGTCGTGTGTGCGGTGAGTGCGGTGTGTGTCGGGTACCTCGACGTGCTGAGTGAGAGCGACGTCTTCGGCTTGCGCCTTCTCCGATTGCTTCAGCTCGGCGTACTCGAATCTGAGCTTACGGCCCGGCTTCAGTCCCAGCTGGCTCAGCTCTTCTGTGAGAGAAGTGGCGCGGGTGAGACTCGAGTCGCACACACCACACATCACATAAGGCACCATGACATGGGTGTCACCTCCTGCCTCGGTGTCGCTCTGCATCGCCTCGACGCTGGTGCGGGCCTGCATTGCCTCGTCTTTAGTAGCGTAGCTGATGAAGACGAAGGGCCGCGTCTCATCGGCCCACACTCGCTCCACGCGCCCGTACGCTCCGAAGAACGCCTGCAGAGTCTCCACCGCCACGCCTGCACGATATAATAGATCATATTTATTTATTTATATCATTGATATAAAAATAGTCATAATTATACGCACACAATTAGAAAATAATATAAATAAATATAAAGGAGTGAGACATACCTGTCTGTGGGCCGCAGCCAACGATGAAGAGGTGGCGCGTTGGAAAATTGGGGTCCTTTGGTCGCACGTAGTGCTGGGCCGGCGTGCCGCCTCCATCTGCGCCGGAAGCGCTCTGCACTGGCGTGCGGCCGGCCTTTAATTTCTTCTTTTTGACTCTGCTGGACATCTTGTCTTCCATCGATGAAGCCAGAGCGTCTGAATATTTTCTTTTACATTGATTTTATTGTTTTTGATTTTCCTTTTTCTTCTTGCGGTTTTTTGATTTTCGTTATTTTTTACGCCAAGAGTCCGCGGCAAGATGTGGGACATGGTGCTGCTGTTGGTCTACATCAACTTGTTTGGCGCTGTCGTCTACGTTTTGCTTTGCGGCCAGCAGGACTGCCACCGCGACACCTTCATCGAGAAGTGTAATTCTTTCCTTCTCAGCGGATGTTTCGAATCTCTAGCGTACCTCCCCTCCACCTCACTTTATTTATTTATGTATTTATTTTAATCATATTCTCTAGTGTCAATTTAAAAGTTCTTTTTATTTTCTTATTTTCTTATTAATATTTTTAAATGGCAGGAGCGTGTGCGGAAACGTGTTTGGCAAGAAGGCGCGGTCGAGAATCGACGCCATCGGCGACCAATGCTGCAACAAGCCCAACCCCATCTTCCAGGCACCCACATCACGCACACGCACACGCACACGCACACGCACACGCACACCATCCTCTAACTTGTGTCGTGTGTCGTGTGTCGTGTGTGTCGTGTGTCGTGTGTCGTGTGTGTCGTGGTGTGTCGTGTGTCGTGTGTCGTGTGTCGTGTGCCGTGTGTCGTGTGCCGTGTGTCGTGTGTCGTGTGTCGTGTGTCGTGTGTCGTGTGTCGTGCCTACAGATTCTGTACTTGGCGTGCGTGTTGGGTCCATTTATTTTCTTCATCGTTACCTCGTGGCACTATCTCCCCGGCCCCTACGCGCCCGAGTACCACAAGTGCGTACTCTCCTTTTTATCATCTATTTTAATTGTTATTTATTAAGAATCTAATTTTTCTTTGCGTGGGCGTACCCCCAGGTATCTGTCGTTCGTGTTGGTCGGCGGCGTCATCGCCATCTACTTCCACGTTTGCCGCTCCGATCCCGGCCGAATCACTCCCGCGTACCTCTTCCATACATGCACACGCACACACGCACACACGCACGCACACACGCACACACGCACACACGCACGCACACACACACACGCACGCACACACACACGCACGCACACAACACACAAGGCAGGCACGCTTACACATTTGTCAATTGGTCGTGGTCGTGGTTGTGGTCGTGGTTCAGAACGTTGGCGCTCTACAAGGACAACTATCCATACGACGGGATTCTCTATGAAGAGAAATTCTGCAAAACCTGCCAACTGCCGCGGTACGCATCTATTTTCCTCTTCTTCTTCTTCGTCATCGTCTTTGTCTTCTTCTTCTTCTTCTCCGTCGTCGTCTTACCGCGGCCCGCACGCATAGGCCGGCGCGATCGATGCACTGTCGCATCTGCAACTCGTGCGTTTCGCGTTTCGACCACCACTGCGTGTGGATCAACAACTGCGTCGGTGAACGGAACCAAAAGAAGGTGCGCACACCACACACTCTTCCCCCTCTCCATCACTCTCACCATCCTCACACGTGTCGTTGGTCGTGTCGTGTCGTTGGTCGTGTCGTTGGTCGTGTCGTGGTGTCGGCACCAGTTCATTGCGTTCCTGTTCGCCACGGCGGCTCTTTGCTTCTACGGTTTCCTGGTGACCAGCGGCATCGTGGCCGGCATCGTCGAGCAGCAGGGTACCCTTTCACGTCTTCTCTCACCTCACCACAGCTCTCCCACCACCCCGCGCGTGTCGTGCGTCGTGCGTGCGTCGTGTTTGCCGTCGTGCGTGTCGTGCGTGTCGTGCCGCTGTGCGAATAATATTATATTTTCAGGAATTCTTCGCTACGTCATGAAGAACAGGACCACCGGCGAGATCACGCCCATCTCCTACCCCACCATGTTCGTGGTACGTCTTTTATATCCATTCTATTTTTAATTATTTCTATTTAGCATTATAATTTATGAATTAAATTCCATTTTAAAATAATATTAATAATAATAATAAATGGCTGCAGATTATTTTGTTCGAGGCCGGGTCGGTGGTGATGGTGGCCTTCTTCTCGGTCATCATGGGCATCGTCCTCTTCCTCTTCGCCCTCTACCACGTCCACCTCGTCCTCTCCAACACCACCACCGCCGAGACCTTTAAATGGGGTACACTCGCCCTCTGTGCCCGCCGCAGCAGTGCGCGTGTGTGCGGTGTGTGCGTGTGTGTGTGCGGTGTGTTCGTGTGCGGTGCGTGCGTGTGTGTGCGTGTGCGTGTGTGTGGCGTGTGGCGCACATGCTCACGGTGGAATGCAGGCGATTTGAAGCACGACGTCGAGGTGGCCAAGAAACTGCTCAAGAAGATCGACGACAAGAAGGCGGATACGAAGAAGGCGAAGAAGACGAACCAAAAAAGCAACGATAAGAAGAAGAAGAAGAAAGGGGAGGTGGACACGTCTGAGAGCGAGAGTGATAACGAGGAGGAGAGCAGCGAAGAAGAAGAGGGCAAGAGTGCGACGAAGAAGAAGAACGAAGACGACGCGCGATTCGGGAGCGAGCTGTACCGCCACCGGAAGGCGCTGACCTACTCCATGCACAAGCGGCTGTCCCAGCGGGTGAAGCTGGACCACATGCAGTGGTTCGCCTTCAAGGCCGAACAACTCGACCGAGGCCAGCAGCCACGCAACGCCAATTCCGCTCACCACCAGGTAGAATTGTTGTTGTTGTTGTTGTTGTTGTTGTTGTTGTTGTTGTTGTTGTTATGTGTGTGTGTGTGTGGGGTGTGTTTTCCTGACAGACGACACACAGAAGCAACAACAGAAGACGGAGGAGGAGCGACGATACGAAGAGATGACAGAGGAGCGGCTCAATCGGGCGTTCCTGAGCGAGCTCCGCTGGCTGGCCGACGAGCTGGTGGTCGACAACAGCTACAACCGCGGATGGCGAGCCAACTTTGCCGAAGTGCTCCACCCCATCTCCGAACGCAAGTCCGCCTCCGCCCGCCACACCAAGAAGCGCAAGTGAGCAGTGAGCTCCTGCCGCTACGCGCGTAGTTGAACGAAAATATTCAATAACATGTTTATTATTACTGCAAGATGCATTTTTTTGTGATAAATAAGAATAATAAATAATAAGCATAAAATGGCTCCTTTCCCTCCCTGTACCCTTTCCTCACATCTTAGCTTCGCCTATCCACCTGACTGTTTGCCTATCGTTGTCGTAGTTGTCGCTTAGGCTGACTTAGTAATGTGATCGCCGCCCGCTCCCGCCCGAGGTGTAGGACATGCTGGCCCGCCTCTCCCGCAGCTCCTTCTCCCTGTCCTTCCCCAGGGAGCCCTTGTCGCTCCTGCCACCATCCCTGTCCCTGCTCCGCTCTCGGTCGCGGTCCCTCGGGTCCCTGTCACGGTCGCGGTCCCGCAGCTCTCGCTCGCGGTCGCGGTCGCGCGGGTCGCGCAGGTCCCTGTCGCGGTCGCGGTCGCTCTCCCTGGCCGTCTGCGATCGGCTGCGGCCGCCGTCCCGGCCGAGACTGCTCTCGCGGTCTCGGCCCGAGCTGTACCTATCACGGTCGCGGTCGCGGTCTCGCGAGCTGTGGTCCCGGTCGCGCTCGCGTTCGCGGTCGAGCGACCGCCACTGCTCGCGCTCGAGGTCGCGCTCGATCTCCCGCTTCTTCCGCTCGAGCTCCTTGACGTAGGCCTCCTTCTCGCGCTCGAGCTGCTCGCGCTTCCTCCGGTCCATGTCGGCCCGGAGCACGGCCTCCTCTTTCTCCTTCTCCCGCGCGAGCTGCTCGCGCCGCCTGCGCGACCGCTCTTCGTCGTCCCACTCGCCCGAGTTGTCGCCAAAGAGGCCGCCGCCGCCGCGGCTGCGCGAGGGGAGCGGCACGCCAGAGGCCGACATGGTCATGCCCTCGGTGAGGCCGCCCGAGCCCTGCATGCGGCGCGACCAGCTCCCGAACTTGTCCCCGCCGCCGCCGGTCTTGGTCTGCCCTCTGTTGTTGGCAGTGACCAAAAAAGTAAGCAATCGATGCGTGTCGTGCGTGTCGTGCGGTGTCGTACCTGAGCTCCATCTCCTCGTAATGGGTACCGCAGAAGGGCAGGCCGTTCACGCCGTAGAAGCCGTCCTTGCCAAACGGTCGGTTGCACGTCGTACACGTCCAGCACGACTGCGTTGTTTTTCCTTCAGTTCTTTTTTCTGTTCGCAGCCCACAAGCGCTCGTGTGGTGGTAGTGGTGGGTTGGTGATGGTACCTTGTGCCAGGCGCGGCCCTCGAAGGACTTGTCGCCGACGCCCACCGGCGTCTCGCACCGCACGCACAGGAGGCCCTTGGCCCGGTAGAAGTCCAGCTGGCAATAGGGCTGGCCCTCGTGCACGTAGTGACCCTGTGGCATAGAACACCAATGGAATGGGGTGGTGAGACTCGTTCACTGTTCGGTCGAAGCAAGACGCCGGCGGAAGGGCGTACGTCTTTGAGTACGGTGTGGCAGCTGACGCAGGCGAAGCAGTGGGAGTGCCACTTCTTGCCCATGGCCAGGGTCACGGTGCTGGTCCGGATCACCTGGCCGCAGCCGTTGCAGCTCAGGCCCGAGGCCTCGGCGTAGTGTTCGAAGCAGAGGGGCACCTCGCCCCGGTGCTCGTAGTAGTAGTCATCAAACTCCTTCCCGCACCGCTTGCACACGAAGCACGTCGAATGGAACAGCTCCTGCGTTGGGTCCCCCAGTAAACGCCCGACCAAGAAGCAGCGAGCGTGTGCGGCGGTGTGCATGTGCGTGCGTGCGTGCGTGCGGTGGTGTGTGTGCGGCACACACGCACCTTTCCGTCGACGAGCAGCATGAGGGTGTTGCCCAGCAGTTTCTTGCAGGAGGTGCACGGCGCGCCCTCCTCCTCGCGCCGTGTCTGACGGCGCAACAGGAACGAACCCACTACAATGTACCAGCCCCAAGGGAGACGCGTCAGTGACACGCACACGCACACGACACGCACACGCACACGCACACGACACTGTGGGTGAGGTATGGAGCGTAACTGGAGCCGGTCGTGCACTCGGCGTTGAGGATCTTGCGCGGGTCGAGCTGCGGCTTGTCGGCATCGGAGGAGCTTCGGTTGACGAGGCCACCGCTGTCACTGCGCACGAGGCCGGCGCCCGAGCTGGGCCTGCCGGCGGCGGTGAGGCCGGCGCCTCCCGCCACCACCGCCGAGCCCGGGCGCTCCTCGCCCTTGAGCTTGAGCAGCTCCTGCTTCAGCAGACGCGCGCGCTCGCGCAGATCAAACTCCATCCGCTTCTTTTCCTCCTCCTGCCGCTCGCGCTCGGCCTCGAGCTGCTGGGCCAGCCGCGTGCTGGCGGCCTCGCGCAGCCGGGCCTGCTCACGCTCGCGCTCGGCCTCTTCGTCGGCCCGACGCAGGTGCTCGTCGAGCTTGCGCCGCCGCTCGAACAGCACGCCCTCGAGCTTGTTCGTGCACTCCTCGACCGTCGCGAACGGGCAGTAGGCCGGATCGCTGCACCCAGCCTTCTTCATCTCGATGTAGGCGTCTTCGGCCAGGGTCTTGCGCTTGAGCTTGCCCTCGTTGATGGCCTTCTCCTGGCCGCGGAAGCTCTCGCGGGCGCTGCGCAGGTTCTCGGCATGCGCGATGATGGCCGGGCCGGGGCCAGGCGGGCCGGCGGCCGACTCGACGTCGAGCGCGCGGTTGGCCTCCTCGAGCTCGGTGGTGGTGGTCTCGACCCACTGACGGAGGCTCTCGGCGGCGGCGACGTACTTGGACATGGCCTGCTGCTTGAGCAGGTTGCGCACCTGGTCGTCGTTGCGCTTGATGGTCATCATGGCCGACCGGGGCAGGAGCGGCGCGCCGAGGCCGTCGTCCGTAATCTGCTTCATGTCCTTCTTCAGCTGCACGAACTGGTTGTGCTTGGCGCCGCTGTGTTGCGTTGTGTTGACGTCCATAGGTAAGCAAACAAGAACATAGTGGGGGACAGAGCTCTACCCAAGAGCAAGCTGGAGAGGGGAAAGTACTTTCTCTGCAGCTCAGCCCAGCGATTCTTGAGATCCTTCATCTTAAATTTGAGGGCAAACATCCAGAACAGGCTGAGGATTTGTTTCACATCGTTGTTGGCGAGCGCTGCATGGGGGGGGGGGAATGAGCAAATTCAAACAAGTTGGAACCAAGGCGACGGCAGGCATACCCGAGGGGCTCACGTAGCTCGAGTCCACGCCTCCATGTACAGTGAAGTGTTCCAACGCGATCGTCAGATTTTCGATGTTATGAATCTGCAAGAGAGGAACAAATGAGAACTGCACCGCCCAATAATCAGAACTCAGGAGGCAGAGTAGCGTACAAGAAGAGTGGGACACTCTTGATGCTTGGCGACCGGGACGTTGGTGAGGATCTCGGCCAGCTGAATCAAGATGAGGCCGTCCGAGATGTCCTTGCCCACGCTCTCAATCTGCAGGCCCCTCCTTTCGAGCAGGAAGTTGGCCCATTGTGTGAACAGCTGAGCAAAGTAGAAGAGAAAGAAGAAGAAGAAGAAGGGGAGAGCACGACATGGAGGACGATAGCATGAGCACATAATCGATCTTTGGGAACACAGGGAAGAGCGGTAGATTGAACCTTGACGAGACGTTCTTCCTCATCGGCCGTGCGCTGTCTGCGCATCACGGTCTGAACGCTATCGCCCCTCAAAAGCGCAGCTTGCATCTTGCGATCGGCGCCCAATATGCTGAACATCATCGTCAACATCAACATAGAGGAGGGGAGGGGGATGAGATCAAGGCTCAAACATTTTCCATATCATCCGTTGGACCCATTCGCCTTGGAGGTCAGTTGAGAGGTATCTCCATACCTCCTTGACTTTCTTTACAGCGGATGAAGTGGTTGATGAACAAAATCGAGAGAAGCAAGCTGGCCTTGGAACGATGCTCCAACGTCAACACGTGAAGAAGGGGTTTTTTGCAACCGTCATTGAGCTCAGAAGCCACCCCTCCAAGTAGCGTGCTAACCTTTTTTGGTGCCAACCTAGAAAGGAAAGATTACACCGTAATGGCCGATACATAACGTTAATACACGCCTCATCATGCCAAGCTTTCTGTTTACTTATTGACATATTGGCCGATACCCTGCCCTACCACTTCATACTCCTCCGTATGAGGAGACTACACCTCTTTTGAGTACCATAAATAAAATAGTATTGCTGGGAGAGTGTATACAACAGGGAGAGAGAGAAAGTGAAAGAGAGAGGGCTCTCACTGCACGGCACAGTCGCCTTCGCTGTCCGCCGCGCCGCCGGCCGCCGTCTGCGAGATGGACTTGCGCGACTTCTTGCTCAGGGGCTGCGCCTTCACGGCGGTCGTGGCAGACGATGATCGGACAGAGTTGGCCGCCATGGGCAGGTTCTCCTTGTCCACTCCTTCCTCAGCTTCTTCGATGCGCTCTTTCCGCTTCGCGCCGCTTGTAGACGAAGATGCCGCTTCCTTGAAGTGCTGCTGCTGAGCTGCCGCCAGAGCGGGCCGCGATCGCGTAGCGGACTCCTCCCGGGTGGCCGGCGCGCTGGCGTCGGCGCCAGCCGTGAATCGCAGTCGCTTGACCTGGCTCGCAGCTGCCGACGTCGACTCCTTGAGCGCCGCCAGCGGCTCTGCGGTGTCTCTTGGTCGCTTGGCCGTCGACAGCGATGACGCAGACGAGGACGACGAAGAAGACGACGACGATGAAGAGATGATGGTCGACCTCTTGGGCTCTTCGCACTCGGAAGAAGAGGGCTTGGAAGAGAGGGTGCTCGACTTCTCCTTCTCGGCCTCGAGCTGACGCTGAGCCCGCTTGAGTCGCGACTCGAGGTTCTTGACCTTCTTCTCGTAGGTTTGCGTGCTCTGGATCATCTCGGCGTAGCGGAGCGCGTACTCGTCGGCCTCCTTCTGCCTTTCCTCCAACGCCCGCATCAGCTCCTCCACTTCCTCGCCAGCGCCGCTGCCGCCTTGGCCCGAGGCGGTGGTCTGGGCGGCCAGTCGTCGGCTCATCTGCTCGTTCTCCGCCTCGAGGGCTTGGATTTGGTCCGCCTTGGCCTGCGTGTCCTTCTCCAGATCTTCGAACATGGCCTCGATCGTCTTCATCTCCTCCTGCAGCTGGAGGTTGTTCTGTAACATGTAACGTGAAAGAGGGTCAGCGTACAGAGGCCTCTTAAGTGGTTGGGGAGAAGGGCGTATGTACATCGACTTCGGTCTGGAGCGATGCGCAGAGCCGCGTCTTCTCGGCCAGCTGAGCCTCCAGCTCCTTTCGGACGCCGGCCACGTCTTCGAGATCGTGCTCGAGCTGTCGCACGCGGGCCTCGCCGTCCAGCTTGATCCGTGTCAGCTCGGCGCCGAGCCGCTCCTGGTCTTGCCGGGCCGCCGCCTGAGCCGCGAGCGCGGCCTCGAGCTCCTCGGTCTGGGTGGTCATGAGCGCCTGGATGTCCTCCATCGCCTTGGTCGTTTCGTCGATGCCCCGCTGCAGCGCTTCGTTTTCCCGCATGGCCTCGCCGAGCTTGTACTCGGCGCGGGCGGCCTCCTCTTGCAGCTCCGCCACGCGCTTGCTCTCCTGGCCCAGCGACTCGCGAAACTCGACAACATCGCGCATCAAGTCGCCCCGTTCGCGGAGCCAATCGTCGCGCTCCCGCGTCAGCGTCTCGAGCTGGGCAAACTCGCGTCGCACGGCCGTGAGCTCCTCCTCCTTGGCTACTTCGACCTCCTTGATCCGCGAGTACTCGCGCTGCAGGTCGTGCAGCTCCACGCGGGTGAGCTCGAGTTGCGTGCGCAGGTCGGTCTCCTCTTCATCGCGCTGCTGGAGTCGGACCTTCAGCTCGTCGACCTGCTGGAGCTGGCTCGTCAGCTCGCCGACCCGGCCCTTCAGCTTGCCGATCCGGGCCTGCAGCTTGTTCACCTGCTGGGTGTACTCTTCCTCCCTCTGGCCCATCAGCGCTGTCATCTCCTCTATCGCCGTCTCGAACTCCTGGAATTGCGTCGGGTCCTCCTTCTCGCCCAACTGCTGGCCGAGACGCTGGGCCTCGGCCTCGCTCGCGGCGAGGGCCGCAGTCAGCCGCTCGACCTCCGACTGCTTGGCCTCGAGCGCGGCCCGCAGCGCGTCGTCTCCGCCCGCCCTGGGCAGGCTCTCCTCGGCCAGCTCACGGAGCAGCTCGCACTCAGCGGTCAGCTGCTGGAGCTTGGCCTCGTTCTGGTCGCGCTCGGCTTGGAGGTCGGCCGAGAAGCAGGCCGTCTTGGCCTGCAGCTCCTCGGCGTACTGGGCTGCCTTGACGTTGGCATCCTCGCGCGTCCTGGCATGCTCGGTCTTCTCCTCGTCGAGCGCCTTGGTGAGCCGCTCCACGGTCTCCTCTAGCTCCCGCGCCTGCTCTCGCAGATCTGCGCTCTCCCTGGTGGCCGCCAGCAGCTGGTTCTCCTTGTCGGCGAGGGCCTGCGAGATGCCCTTGTTCTCGGTGTTCTCGCGGATCGCCTCTTCGGCCATCCCCTGCAGCAGCTCGAAATCGGCCGCCATCTTCTGGTCGCTGACCTCGCGGTTGTGACGCTCGGCGCTCAGCTCGTCGGCCAGTTGGACGCACTTGCCGGCGTTGGCCTTGAGCTCCTCTTCGAGCAGTGCCAGCTTGGCCCTGGCATCCTCGAGCTCGCGTTGAGCCTCGGCCGAGGCGCCGCTGTCGCCTGATGAGCCCTCCTGCTCGAGGGCACGGCGCATGCGCTTCATGTCGTCTTCGGCCTCCTTCAGCTTCGTCGCAAGCTGCTCGCTCTGCCTGGCGGCCACCATCACCTCGTTCTCCTTTTCGATGGCAGCCTGTGCACTGCGCTTGAGCGCCGCCTCGCGCTCATCGGCCTCCTGCTGCAGGCGGTCGAGCTCGTGCCTGAGGTTGGCCCGCTCGCGCTTCGACGACTCGCGCTCTTCGGTCAGCTCCCGGCGCAGCCCGTCGGCCTCGAAGCGGCTGGTGTTGAGCTCGCCCTCCACCGCGTCCAGCTTCTTCTTGCACTCCTCCAGCTTGCGCGCGCCCTCATCCCCGTCGCTCTCGGTGCTCGATCGCATCTCGGCCAAGGTCCTCTCGCGCTCGTGAAGCGACTCGGCGAGCTCCTGGGCACGCTTCTCGGCGATCATGAGCCTGTTGTCCTGGTCGAGCACCTCCTGGCGCAGCCTCTTTACCTCCTCCTCGACGGCGCACCAGGTCTCTCGCTCGGCTTCGAACTGCTTGTTGAGCACGTGGAAGCGGCGCTCGTCTTCGTCGTTAACCGTGCGCATGCCCTCGCGCTCCTTCCGCTCGCGCTCGATGGCTTCCGCCCATGCCGACTTCTCTTCGGCCAGCTTGGCCTCAAGGTCGTGATACTCCTGCTTGGTCTGCTGGAGCTCCTCGTGGCCGGCCTGCAGTTCCTTTCGCAGCTGCTCGGCTTCCTCGACGCCGGCCTTGAGGGCCGCGTTCTCCTCGCGGGCGAGACGCAGGACCTCCTCGGCCTGGTCGAGCTTACGGCGCACGGCTTCGATCTCCTCGGCCTTGCGCATGCTGTCGGTCTCGTCATCAACCACCTTCTGCTCGGCGGCGCGTAGGCGATTGCTGGCCTCCCTGAGCTCCTCGGCCAGCTGGGCTTTCTCCTTGGCCTCGGCCATTAGACGATTCTCGGCCGCCAGCACCTGCTGCTGCAGCTCTTCGAGCGCCTTTTGCTTCTCCTCCAGGTGCGCCCGCTCGCTCTGCACCTGCTTGTTGAGCACGTGCCACTCTCTCTCCTTCTCCTCGCTCAGTTCCTGATATTTGGCCAGCTCCGCCCTCTCCTGCTGCCACTCGCTCTCTCTCCGCTCGTGGACCGTCTTGTGTTCGGCGAACTCGGCCTGGAGGGCCGCGAGATCCTCGGCGTTCTTGCTGTGCTCGTCGGCGAAGCGCGCGATCTCAGCCATGGCCTGGTCGAGCTCACGCTCGATGGACTGGTGCCTCTCCCTCTCGCTCAGCAGCGCCGCTTCCTTCTCTCGCGTAAGCTCGTCGATCTTTACCCTCAGCTCCGCGCATTCGCCGTCGCGCGCGTCCAGTTGTAGCTGGACCGCGGCCAGCGCTTGCCGGCCGTCCTCGATGATGGCCTCCATCTCCTGAATCTCTTCGTCCATCGCTTCCTCCTCGGCTGCCAGCCGGCTCTTCTCCCTCTCCTTGATGACAGCAAGCTCGTCGAGCACGCGCTTCACCGCTTCCTCGTTCTGGGCGACGAGAGAGTCCACGTCTTCCACAAACTTGGCCCGCTCCTCGACCCACCGGCTCCGCTCGCTCTGCAGCTGGTCTTCCGCCTCTTTCCTCGCTCGCTCGCCCTCTTCGATGGCATGCTGGGCGCGATCGCACGCCCTGAGCCGATCCTCCTCACTGGCCGTTATCGCGTTGACCTGTTCGGTGAGCTGCGCGACCTGCTTGTCGCGGCTCTCGATCTCCTGCTGGCGGGCGGCCAGCTGGCTCTCCTGGTCGATCAGCGCCTGCTGCATCTCCTCCAGCAGAGCGTTCAGCTGCGCCTTTTCTTGGGCAACCAGCGCCATCCGGCCATTCTCGCTGGCCTTCTGTTCGGCGATAGTCGCCTGCAGCACGTCGAACTCGGACCTGAACAGCTCAACGCGTAAGCACAAAATGATGTGGTGTTAAGAAAGAGAAGTGAACAAGAGAAATTCTAGTACCTGAGGGCGGCGTGGAGGCGCTGTTCCTCGCCCCTGGCGTCGCGCTCGGCCGTTAGTTGGTTGCGGACCTCCTCCAGGCGCTGCTCGACGGCCGCCAGCTGTGTAGAGAGCTCCTTCTCACGTGCCAGGTGCAGCTCGGTCTTCTCCTCGATGACGGCCCTGAGGGCGGTCACCTGTGCCGCGAGCTCTGCGCGTTCCCGGGAGGCAAACTCGATGAGGACGGTCTTCTCGGCCACCTCGAATTTGCGGATCTCGTTCGCGTCACGCCAACGCTCGCTCTCCTCGCGCGCGAGATTCCTTTCGAGCTCGAAATCCTGCGCGTCCTGCTTCGCCAATTCCAGCTCTCTCTTCGCGATGGCGCATTCGTCCCTCCATTTCGCGATCTCAGGATTGTTGATCAGCTGCGCCTTGTGCTCGGCCTCGAGTTGCGCGAGCTGAGACGCTAAATCGCTAATCGTCGCCTCATTCGCGGCGCGCTCCTTGGCCAAATCCTCTTCGAGTCGCTTCTTCTGCTCGACGAGAGTATCGTGGGCTTCGAGCCGGGCCTTCTGCTCCAGCTCCAGCTCGAGCTTCTTCTCGTCGACGGCGAAGGTGAGTGTCGAGCACAGGCTGTAGTATTTGAGAGCCAGCTCCCTCTCCTGCTCCAACTCTTGTTGAAGCAGATCGACGTGCTTGTGGAGCTCTTCCATCTGTAATGCAAAAGTGAGGTCAAATTTAGCACGTCTCAGGACGGTGAGGGCAAGCATTGAACGCAAACCTGAGCTGGGAGACTCGAGGGAGGCTCCAAGGCAGCTGTGTTGAAAATGAGACTAACCGCCGATGCGGCGACCGCCACAGTTGATGATTGATCCTCGATCTCCATGATCAAGGAAGAAAAAGACGCAACAAAGATTCAGATGCGCCCTCCTCACCACGCCGTGCCAGATGATGAAACTTGCGGCAGTGATCAAAACTGGAAACGCAAGGTCTTGTTTTGGCGCCAAAATTTCGCGCCAAAAAGCTGACGTGTGCAACCGTAATGCAAAACTCCCGGCTTCAGCTACCGGTCGAGCTCTTCGATCTGCTCTGGAGCAGGGAGCTGTTGAAGCGGAGGGAGAGCCGTCGCGACTTTCTTCGCTCGGTGGCGCTCTGCTTCGTCGCCGCCTCTTCCTCTTCCTTCCGTTCCTTCTCCATCTCGGCCTCCAGCATGTCCTTGAGGTTGGGCATGGTGATCGATCGTCGCGCCTTCTTTGTCTCCGCCACTGCAAAGGAAAGAAAAAAGAGAATACAAAGATGAGTGTTGCTCCTCTCTAATGCGTGCGTTGCACCGCAACATACCTTGCGCTCGCGCGCAGAGCTGGTCGAGCTCGTTGACCCACGCCTCCTTCTCCTCGGCGGAAGAGGCTCGGAGGTAGAGCACATTGTCGTTGCCCGACTCCGCCGCTCCGTTCACCTTGGCCCCGCGCGAACCTCTCGACCCTCGCGAGCCGCCACCCGACTTCTTGCGATCCGCCAGCGCAAACACGTTATCGTCGCCTGTAGCACACAACACGTGTAGCCGGGTCAGCAGCGATGGATGCGTTGCATGTGCGTGCGTGCGTGGGCGTAATCACGACGGGTGGTGGAACATACCGAAGAGCAGGGTGAGATCCTTCCCCGTGCTCTGCGTGGTGATGTTCGCCAGCTTGAAGAAGTACTCGAACTTCATCGTGGACCCCTTCTTTACCGTGCAAATCTGTTTTACATACGTCCACAGCACTGGTGTTGTTAGCGCACTGGTGCTTTTCACCATTCAACGCATCCATCACGGGTGCATCGCTCGACGGCTGGCGCACCAGAATGTCGGTGAACAAAATGAAGCAGCGCGGCACAAAGTTGCTGTCGGGCGGCAGGCACACGTCGAGCATGCCCTCCCGCACGAACACCCGGATCGTCTCATCGAACACGTCCTACATACGTATGTTGTGCGTTCATATAGAAATATCACAGGTTAGGTCTTACGCGTCGGCGCTATGTTGAATTCATGTGGCCACATGTGACATACGTACCAGTTCCTTCTGCTTGGACGGGAACGCGAGGCTAGCGTAGATTTGGTACATCCTCTCGGCGCTCTCCTCCCTCTTCCTGCTCTCCACCACCGCCGTGTTGATCTCCCTTTTTGAGGTAGACACCCCCACACGTTCGTTAGCGCGCCACGCTCCTCTTAACGAAGGAAAAAAAAAGAGCACCGGGGAAGCAAGCGTACTTGATGGACGCCAGCAGTTTCTTCAGCTTGGCGTGTTCGCCCGGAGCCGAACACATCATCGTTTGTCGCACCAGGTCCTATTGTGGTGTGTGTGTGGTGTGTGTGTGTGGTGTGTGTTAAAGGAAGAAAGGAGTGAATGCAGCGGCGCTCAACGTTGTGGCGTACGTTGAGAATGAGCTCGTAGCGCGGCAGGCGCTGGATCGGGAGAATGAGGAACGACTCAACGTCCATGCCCGTCTTGTTCATACACTCGTCAAGGAACTTGCGGAAGCGGGAACTGGATCGCTGCAGCTTAATGAGCAGCTCGATCGCCGACGGGTGCTTGTTCACGTAGGTCGAGTAGACCTTCAGGAACGGCATGAATGTGAGGAATGCATCGGAGAACGTGCACCCGCCGGCCTCAGCTGCGTTCAAATCCACAGACGAAACCACATGACGTCAGCAACGACCTCAAGTTCGAAGGTGGTTGGCAAGGGCGCGCACCTCGCCTGAACTCGGCGAGCAGGGCCTCGTGGATGGCGTGGAGCGGCGTCACTCGGCTGAATATGAGGTCGACCTGGCCGGGCGACAGCGCGCCCTTGCCCTCGTTGGCCAGCGTCGTCAGCGGGACCACGAACTCCTGCACATCCACACAAACCCTAACGTCAGTCAATCGCGTGTGTCGTTGGTCGTGTTGCGTGTTGCGTGCTGTTGGGCACCTGGATGATCGTGTTGAGGTTCTTGACGTAGTTGATCTCGGTGTCGATCAGCTCTTGCCACAGCATGTCCGTCCGCTTCTTGCGCTCGGAGCGTCCACCGTCATCCGCCGGCGGCGCACCGGGCGATGCCACCAAGCCCAGCAGATCCGCCTTCTGGAGCGAGCGCCACACGACCGTGGGCTCCATCGAGCGCAGCTTGTGCAGCTGCGCGCACTTCGCATCGGGCGAGGCCGTGCGCGACGTGGTCGGAGCCGAACCGCCACCGCCGCCGCTACCAGCAATCGACAAGTCTGCCCAACCGCGCGGCGACAGCCGGAGCTCGTCCTTGCTGCACCCACTCTCGTCATTCTCCTTCGGCAGCGGCAGCTTGAGCCGTTCATCGTCAACGTCGCTATCGTCGCCGTCGTCGTTGCCATCGACCGCATCAGCGACTTCGTCATGGTTATCGCCGCCGTCGTCGACAGGGCCGGCCTTGGGGTCGAAGCGGCGTCCCTCGTCGGACAGGCTGAGCTGCTTGAAGTGGCCGATGGTGCACAGGACCACGTCGGCGCTGCCCGACCGCTCCCACTCCTCTACATCGTCCTCGGCCGCCATGAGCGCGTCGCTGTCCGAACCGCCGCCGCCAGCATCTTGTCGCTTCTTCTTGTTGATGCTGGATGATGACGACTTGGTCTTCTTCTTCTTGATGGGCGTGTCGGGCAGATCGTTCCAGGTCAGGGCGCCGGCAAGGCGCGATGCCGAATCACTCGATTTCGACTTCGCTGCCAGACTGATTTTTCCAGACGACGCAGAGAACTGGGCATTCGAGGCTGCGTAGCCATTTGAAGATGGCGAAGTAGTGGAAGATGGCGATGGAGATGGAGATGTAGAGGAGGCAGATGATGAAGAGGCGATGCGTGGGTTGGGCAGGGTGGCCGCGAGGGCCTTCAAGTTCTTTCTGGTTTTCTTTTTTTCCTCTTTACTCTCTTTCTTTTTCTTCTTCTTCTTGCTGCTTCCACTTTCACCGTCGCCGTCTTCTCCATCTTCGTCTTCCTTCACCTTTTTGCTTCCCTTCTTCGTCTTCTTCCTGCTGTTAGCGAGGCTGCTCCCGCCGCCCGATTTCTTCTTCTTTTTCTTCTTGCCGCTACTTCCATCGCCGTCGCTCTTCTTCTTCTTCTCCTCATCTTCTCCATCCAAGGCACTATCCTTCGAGACCTCCCCTCCTTCTGTTTCATTCTTTCCAACCTTTCCGTCATCTTCATCGTTCCCCTTTGGCTTCTTCTTCCGTCGCTTTCGTTCTTCGCTTTCGCTCTCCAGTGCCTGCTCGAGTGTGACCGCGCCCTGTGGTGGATAGAGCTCTCCTTGCATGCCTCCTTCTTGTTGATGGCCGTTTGTGTGTTTCGGGCTACTAGGTGCCAGGGACCATATAATTATATAATAAAATAAATAGGATTTTTCCCTTTTTGTTATTCGTTTCAACAAAAATGGACTGGAACCGAAATAGTACCCACAAAAATAAAACAATAAAAAAACAACAAAATAAATAATTAAATACTTCCATCTCGAGATGTTTGTGCCGAAGACGCCGCTGGGGCGGGGCCTGGCGCTCTCCGCGCTCGTGGGTGTGGGCGGCCTCGGGTGGACCTCCTACCGCCTCCTCTTCGCCCAACCCGTACACGCTCGCTAATCTCAAATTCGTGTAAAATCTCCAGATCGCAAGATTTAACCTCTAATCTCTTTTCTTTTTTTTTCTCATCCCAACAGCCCCAAGTGTGGGAGAAGCACGTCGTGCCTCACGGACCCTTGGTTCCCCTCGCCGGCAACCTCTGGCAGGTACTTGCAACGTGTGCCGTGTGCCGTGTGTGTCGTGCCGTGTGTGCGCCAACCCACTTGCCAACCGCAAGCGCGTCTCTGCGGCACTGGTCTGAGCACAGGTGACCGGTCGAGTGGAGCCCAAGTCCGACGCGGTGATGAGGAACATGGTCGTCTATCGCCTTCCTCGCTCCGACGCAACTCAAGACGACAGCACCGAGCCACCGGCTGTCGCCCCCATCTCAGCTGCCAGCTCCACACCGGTCGAGCCCAAGGAAGAGAGCCGCGAGGAGCTCCTGCTCCACAGCGTCATCGCACTCAGCGACGAGGTGCGTGTCGTGTGTGTGTGTGTGTATGTGTGTGTCGTGTGTGTCGTGTGTGTCGTGTCGTGTGTCGTGTGCACTGTGGTGACTGGTTCCTGGGACGAACAGGGGATGCAAGAGCTCGACAACCTGGGGCGTGTCAAGTACATTCTCGTGCCCTCGCCGTTCCATCGCCTGGACGCCGCCGTCTACAAGCAGCGCTACCCCGATGCGCAGGTCATCTGGTCCGTCTCCAACGCAGTCTGACCAGACGAACTGGCTGACTTGAATTGTACGAAACTGATCTGGGTCTGTACGTGGGGGGTGTGGGGCGTGGGGTGGGTCGGGCAGCCCCAAGAGCATCCGCAAGCAGGTGTCGAAGGTGGTGCCGGTGGACGCGGTCGTCGAGGACGTGTTTGGCCACGATTACGCCTCGCAGGGGCTCAAATGCTACACGCCTGGCGCTGGTCTTTACATTCCTGGTACCTCATGCGTGTCGTGTAGTTGGTGCGTGTGCGTGTGCGTGTGCGTGTGCGTGTGCGTGTGCGTGTGCGTGTGCGTGTGCGTGTGCGTGTGCGTGTGCGTGTGCGATGGTGCTGTCTTCTCATTCAGTCGTGTGCTTCATCAGAATTGGTGTACGAGCTGCCTTTGAAAGAAGAGAAGGACGCGACGAAAGAGATGGCCACAGAAAGCGACAAGAAAGCGCTGGTGTTCTGCGATCTCGTCGCCAACGTCGCCGAGGGTCCTTTCAACGTGCGAATTCTGGGCATCGTCACCGGGGGCAACAACCCCGTCGTTCCCTGGATGCCGCGGTACCTCGACACACTTATCAACATGACTTGACTTTTCCACCGCACACGCACCACCGCACACGTACCACCGCACACGGTCATCAAATCTGAAGCGTGTGCGGTGCGTGCGGTGTGCAGGTACTTCTTTGTGCGGGACAAGGCGCAGACAAAGCGATTCTTGGAGACGCTCGGTCGGCGAGACGACATCGGGCTGCTGGTGATGGCGCACGGCGAACCGGTCAAGTGCGGACCCGACGAGATGAAGCGCCACTTGGCCAACCTGGCTGCCCAATTCTAAGCCATCAACGAAGACAAGTGTTGAATACATCAAAGGGCTGCAATGGCTGCGCTGACTCTTTCCTGGAGGTCTGGACACTGTTGGATCAAATCGTGTACCGTCGAGCTGGCCATCTGCGTGACAGGCCAAGGGCCTTTAGCATTTCATAGGGTGGGGGACAACCGTCGACAATAATTAATCGAAATTATCCAATCCTGTGCTGTCTTTGATTTCTCTTGGCCAGTAAGCTTTTGCCATCACTGAAAGAAAGAATTTTTTCGCTTTTTGAATTCTTTTTTTTCTTCAGGATTTAAGAAGAAACAGTATGCAAAGGGAGGTCTGAACTATTTAGTTGGGTGTTGTACCTCGTCGGGGAAGGCGGGAGCGGTCAGGAATCGAACCGTGCATTGCATAACACCGGACCGGCAGTCATCATCCAAGTCTGTGTGGAGGGTGTCATTCGTGTCGGCTGAAGTTTTGTGATTGTCGTGTCGTGTGTCGTGTGCCGTGTGTCGTGTGGTTCGTGTTGTGTTTATGTTCACTCTTGTCTTGTGAAGGGCGGGTGGCGATACGTGGCCAGAGCCCAAGCAGGAAAGTGATGGCGCACAGGTCGTGGCCTTGGCGGTGCTCTTCGATCGTGTCCATCAGGGCTGCGCAGGCCAATTGCGCCCTCGGTGCCTTGTCCCGCTTGAACCACTCGAGCACGCACTCCATCACCTCCGGCAGGCGGTTCAGCTGCGCTCACCGCCAATCACGAACCAACTAATTAATAAACATTAAAACTCCGGTTCAGCTGCTACCACGCACCGGAATGTGAGCGATGCCCGCGAGGTAGCCGAGGAATGCGCGTTGAACCGCGGCCTGCGTGAACTGTGTTTCCTCCGCGGCGAGCTGGCGGAGGAGGGCGAGCGCGTGGACGAACACCTGTGGAGCCGTAGCATCTTCTGCTGCTGTTGGGCTTGGTGCGGGGCTGTAGCGGCGCAGTTCGCTGGAGAACAGGACCAGGAGGCCTTCATCTACCAGACGCGACAGTCGGTCGTGGTCTTGTTTGATCGGCGGACTGCTCGCGAGCAGCTCAGTTATGGTGCGACAACATCTGAGGCGCACTTGGGCCTGGCCGAGGTGGGTGGTAGACACAGATCCACAGTGAGCGCATTCCCTGTGTTGTGTGAGAAAGTGTCGTGCGTGTGTGCTGTGCTGTGCTGTGTGTCGTGTGTGTGTGTCGTGTATGTCGTGTGTCGTGTGTGGAAACCAACGAACCACAGGATCGTTGAGCGTTGCAACGAGGAATGCCCAGTGTTCCTCCACGAAGGCTTGCATCTCGTTGTGATCCCAGACTAGCGCCATGACCCCAAGCAGCACGAGACCGCATTCGCTGTTGCCGCACCAGTGGATCAGTACTAACGACATAACAATGCGCGCGACAAAAACGCGAGAGAGAGCACAGGTCTGTGGGCCCTGCGCACCGGAGCTGCCAGCTGCACTCGGGCACCAGCTGAGAGGTCGTCACCTTGCTCATAGCTCGCCACAGCGGCTCGCATGCAGTGAGCTGGGAGACCACCATGGGCAGCATCACTGTGTAGCGGAAGAGAGTGAGAAGTCCAGTGGTGCCCACCATCACGGGCACCAGAAGGAGGGAGTGTACCGTCGTGCCGCTTGGAGCACTTCTCCTCGCGTTGCAGTGTGGTCCGGCACTCGTCGAGGAGATCATGCAGCTCTGGCGGGAGGCGCTCCAGCAGGTTGACGCGGTTGCCGGTGGCAGGGTCCCAGCTGCGTTCGTCGTAAGCTGCGACGCGGGCGGCAGCGAGTCGCAGCAGGCTTTCTACCCCCGGCTGGCTGCTCATGAACAGCCGGCTCACCGCCTTCGCAATCCTATGTGGTCGGCTCCGTGTAGGTTATGTCGTTTTCGTCGCGCGTGGGTGGCGTGTGCGTGTGCGTGCGCGTGTGCGGTGTGACGTGCATACATGCAATAGAGTTCATCCACACCACGGCCCTGGTCTTGGTAGTGGTTACTGATGCGGTCAACCATCGAGATCGCCGCGGCCACCACCCGCACGTCACAGTGCTGTCCTCGAAAGAGAGTGAGTGAAAGATGTAAGAGGCCAGGCTCGTGGCAATCAATCCTTCATCACACGCGTAACCGACCGCACGCGTACGTTCAGACCATGCGGCGCCGCGTCCACGAGAGACTCGAGCGAAATGGTAGTCTGGCCCACTGTGGGCACGGTCAAATGATGCTCCGTCACAGCTCGATAGAGCTGGGCGAGCACATCAGCGTCGGTCTCTTGGGCGCAACGCTCGACCAGGCCCTGGCGGAGGTGTTCGGGTGGGTGGTGCGTTGAGTGGGCTCGGCTCTTCTGCGTAACGGGTTGCTTGTCGACATCACCGGGGCATCACACGTACCTGGACAAGGCCGGGACACTGGAGCCGAACCAGAGTTTGGAGCGCGGCGCAGCGAACGCGGGCGTCAGCTGCCCCGTGGAACAGGCGGCGCAGCTGGTGGAAGGTCCTGGAGCTGCTGATATCTTCTGAACCCTGGGTCAGCGGTAGCAGGCGAAAGAATGGAGCCGATGCAGCCACGAATTTAACGGCAGCTGAGATGCACACAAGACGACACGACACGCGACACACGACACACGACACACGAAGCTGCCGGTGAGCCTGGAGGCGAGGAGAAGATAAGATAAGAGAAGCACCAATCACCACCGTGGTGTGGGGGTGGTTCAGCAAGCACGAGGTGAATCGGTCATCGAACGCGTCAAGGCCTCCTTCGTCAAGAGTGCCTTTGGAGCCTGTGCTTACGAGCGCGCGCGCGCGCGGCCATGGTGAGAGTGCCATAACGCCCACCAAAGACAAAGACGCAATGTACGACACACAGCGCAATGTACAACACACAACTGACCCTGCGCGGCGCCCGTGTGTCGAAATTGCTGGAACATCAGCAAGATGCCGCCCAGTAGGACCACTGCGGCGCTCTTGCCCTCGGGCTTGTCTTGTGCGGCGGCGGCGGCAACCAAAACTCTTGCCCAGAGGCGCCGTGAGACGGCCAAGACCGGCTCATCGCACTGCTCTCCACACAGCTCAGGCCGCGGACAGTCGCCTCTGGACGCGATGGCCGCGGTGAGCAGCAGCCCGGGTCCCAGCACGCACAGGGCCTCCTCCTTGTCCTTCACATCTTCTTCGTCATCATCCTGCGCGTCGTCATCATCGTCGAAGAGCCACCGCACGAGCGCACGGATGACAGCGCCCCCCCGATTGTCGGTCTGACTCAGAAGAGTCGCCGCGGCCGGAGCGAAGTGCCTCTCCACCTCGCTTCGGTCCTGTTCCGTCCAGCCCTTCGGACTACCGTCCAGCCACTGCTGCGCCCGCATTTCCGGGCTCAGCCCTGTGCGGCACGCTCGCCATGCGGCCAACATATCTTTGTTTGATTGATTGAGTGCCCTCGTGGGTGGAGAAAAGGCGGTGGTTGGAGTGGGGGGGGAAGCCCGAAAGCAGGAGTGGAAAAAAAGAAAACGTTTTAACAACAATAAAAATAAAAAGAATTAAATTAATTACTAGTTGGGCAAGCTTTGGCAGCTGAGGAGGGACGTGGGCAGCTGCAGGGGCTGTGACGACAGGCCGTGGCTGGCCTGGGGCGCTGGCGAAACCAGTGGTGCCGCTGGCGGCAGCGCTGCCACGGAGGTGGTGGGAGGTGCACAACCAGGCAGGTCGAGGGCACTACTACTGGCAGCCGCGGGGTGGGGCGAGGCCAGGGCCAGGCGCGACAAGAGGACCATCCACCGGGGCGTCGCGCTGAGCCGCTGCCCCGATGCCACATTGTGGGACGGCTGTGGGCCATGGCACGGGTGAGTCGCACGCAACACATCTGCGACGCACACAACACCTACACGCGGGAGATAGGGGTACCTCGTGTATCTTTTCGAGGCGGTGAACCATCTGGTGCCCGTTGAGGTGGCTGAACAGTGCGCGCAGGTTGTCGCCCTCCTCGAGTATGCGCTCCTTGTCCATCACCAGCAGGCTGGTGGCTTCCGCCGTGTGCCGTTCCAGGAACGTGCACGACAGCTGCAGCACTTCCGCCAGCGTGATTGTGTCTTTGGGAGAGAGAGTGTGTGGTGTGTCGCGGTGTGTCGTGGTGCGTCGTGGTGTGTGTGTTGTGTGTGTGTGTGTCAGATACTGCTCACGTGGGGCGTGGGGTGGTGGGTCGGGCAGCCCCAAGAGCATCCGCAAGCAGGTGTCGAAGGTGGTGCCGGTGGACGCGGTCGTCGAGGACGTGTTTGGCCACGATTACGCCTCGCAGGGGCTCAAATGCTACACGCCTGGCGCTGGTCTTTACATTCCTGGTACCTCATTCGTGTCGTATAGTTGGTGCGTGTGCGTGTGCGTGTGCGTGTGCGTGTGCGTGTGCGTGTGCGTGTGCGTTGGTGCTGTCTTCTCATTCGGTCGTGTGCTTCATCAGAATTGGTGTACGAGCTGCCTTTGAAAGAAGAGAAGGACTCGACGCAAGAGATGGCCACGGAAAGCGACAAGAAAGCGCTGGTGTTCTGCGATCTCGTCACCAACGTCGCCGAGGGTCCTTTCAACGTGCGAATTCTGGGCATCGTCACCGGGGGCAACAACCCCGTCGTTCCCTGGATGCCGCGGTACCTCGACACACTTATCAACATGACTTGAGTTCTACACACCGCACACGTGCCACCGCACATGATCATCAAATCTGAAGCGTGTGCGGTGTGTGCGGTGCGCAGGTACTTCTTTGTGCGGGACAAGGCGCAGACAAAGCGATTCTTGGAGGCGCTCGGTCGGCGAGACGACATCGGGCTGCTGGTGATGGCGCATGGCGAACCGGTCAAGTGCGGACCCGACGAGATGAAGCGCCACTTGGCCAACCTGGCCGCCCAATTCTGATTCTTCATCAACGAAGAAGAAAAGTGCTGAACACAAGTTTGGGGACTTGGTGCATCAAAGGTCTGCACTGCGGCCAATGGCTGCGCTGACTCTTTCCTGGAGGTCTGGGCACCGTTGGATCAAGCCGTGTACCATCGAGCTGGCCATCTGCGTGACAGGCCAATTTAATATTATTTTTATATATGGAAAATCTATTATTTATTTATGATGATATCTATTAGATATAATAATATTAGATTGGTGTTGTACCTCGTCGGGGAATCCGCGAGCGTCCAGGACTCGAACCGTGCATTGCACCACACAGGACCGGCTGTCCACATCAAAGTCTGTGTGGAGCGGGAGGGTGTCATTCGTGTCGTGTGTCGTGTGTCGTGTGTCGTGTGTCGTGTGTCGTGTGTCGTGTGTCGTGTTCATGTTCACTCCGTCTTGTGAAGGCGAGGTGACGATACGTGGCCAGAGCGCGACCAGGAAAGTCAGACCGGCACAGATGGCGCGCAGGTCGTGGCTCCGGAGGTGCTCTTCGATCATGGTCACCAGTGCTGCACAGGCCAACTTCGCCCTCGGGGCCTTGTCCCGCTTGAACCACTCGAGCACGCGCTCCATCACGTCCGGCTGGCGGTTCAGCTGCGCTCACCGCCAATCACGAACCAACTAATTAAGTAACATCAAACTCCGGTTCAGCTGCTACTACGCACCGGAATGTGAGCGATGCACGCGAGGTAGCCGACGAACGCGCGTTGAACTGCGGCCTCCGTGCACTGTGTTTCATTCGCGGCGAGCTGACGGAGGAGGGCGAGCGCTTGAACGAACACCTGTGGAGCATCTGCTGCTGCTGTTGGGACTCGCGCGGGGCTGCCGCGGCTCAGTTCGCTGGAGAGCAGGACGAGAAGGCCTTCATCTACAAGACGCGACAGTCGGTCGTGGTCTTGTTTGCTCGGCAGACCGTTCGCGAGCAGCTGAGTTATGGTGTCACAACATCTGAGGCGCACTTGAGCCTGTATGGGGGAGGGTAGGCGCAGATCAAAAGTGAGTGTCACGACACGCAACCGATGTCATGTGAAAACGTGTGGGTCGTGCGTGTGCGTGTGTTGAACGCCAACGAACCACAGGGTCGTTGAGCGTTGCAACGAGGAAGGCCCAGTGTTCCTCCACGAAGGCTTGCATCTCGCTGTTCTTCCACTCCCAAACTTGCCCCATGACCTCCAGCAACAGGAGCCCACTCTCACTGTTGTTCTCCAGACAAAACGGCCAAATCAGGGTGCATACAATATAATAACGATAAACAACTGGACGGGTCGTGACGACCCTGCGTACCGGAGCTGCCAGCTGCACTCGGGCACCAGTTGAGAGGCCGCCACCTGACTCAGAGCACGCCACAGCGGTTGGTGTGCGGGCAGCTTGGAGGTGATGCTGCGCGCCTTATAGGCGCCCACTGCGGCGACCACCGAAGAAAGCGAGGAAGAGTGAGAAAAGCCCAGCGCCACGGTCTTCGAGCGAGCGTGTACCGTTTTGATTCTGCTGCCGTGAGGCCCGGCACTCGCCTATGAGATCTTTCAGCTCTTGCGGGAGGCGCTCCAGCAGGGCGCCGTTGCTCTGGTGGTGGTGGTGCTCGTAAGCTGCGATACGGGCGGCAGTGAGGCGCAGCAGACTCTCGACCCCGGGCTCGCTGATCATCTCCAGCCGGCTAACTGCCCTCGCAATCCTGTGTGTGGTTGGCTCTGGTTTGGTTAGACACGTGTTCGTCTGCGCGTGCGGCGCTGTGTGCATGTGCGGTGGTGCTTGTGGGTCGTGATGGGCATACATGCAACAGAGTTTATCCACGTCCTCGCTACGGTCCTGCCTTTGGTAGTGGGCCATCATGACGCAAACTACGGTTGAAATTGCTGCGGCCACCACTCGCTTGTCGTAGTGCTGACCAAGGGAGCGAGAGCGAGAGCGAGTGCGAGAGAGAGAGATATAAGGTAAGTCGCGCCTGCTCACTCCCTCAAAGCATGCAGCCAACTCCACGCGTACGTTCAGACCACGCTGGGCCACATCCACTACAGACTCGATCAAGTGGAACGACTCCTGGCTCACCATGGCTTGGCCATTGTGATAGAGCTGGGTCAGCACCTCAGTGTCGGTCTCTTGGGCGCACCTCTCCAACAGGTCCTGGCAGTGTGGTCGGGTGGTGTTGCGTGAGTGGTGAACTGCGTGACTAACAGGTTGCTGGAGTATAATCACTCGGGGTGCGTTGCGTACCTGGACAAGGCCTGGACACTCGAGCCGAACCAAAATATGGAGCACGGCGCTGCGAATGCGAGAGTCTGCTGCGCCGTGGAACAAGAGGCGGAGCTGCTGATAGGTCCTTGAGCGGCTGACGTCTTCTGGAGCCGGACCCAGCGGGAGGAGGTGAAAGACCGGAACCCAGGTGGCCAGGCAGTGGACGGCCGCTGCTCTCCGACACACAACATCACCAACACACGTGCAGTTGTAGCCAAGGTGAGCGAAAGAGAGAAGAGACCAAAAAAATGAGCATAAAATGGGTGGGGGCTAGCGTAGTACCAATGACCGCGGTGGTGTTGGGGTGGTTGAGCAAGCACGAGGTGAATCGGTCATCGAACGCGTCAAGGCCTCCGTCGTCAAGAGTGCCTCCGGCCAAGTTGGAAGCTGTGGTCCGAATGACAGACGCGGCCATTCGCATCAGAGACACGCACGCACATGACACGACATTACATGACCCGAACACGACACGCACACGACACGCACGAGACACACCACCGCACACACTCACACAACTAATGGAACGACACGCTCACCGTCACTAGCGGCGCCTGCGTTTCGGAGCACCCGGAACATCAGCGAGATGCCTCTCAAGAGGACCACCACCGCCACTGCGTTACTGCCGTCGTGCGGCTGCTCGTGTGCGGCGGTAACCACCCGCGCCCACAGGCGCCGCGCCACGGCCACGACGCGCTCCTCGCGCTGCCGGAGCTGCCGCGCCCGGTGCTCGCGGTGGCGCTGGCGCTGGGCAGCCACGAACTCGAGCGTGAACTGGGCCACCACCGGCGGCGGGTTGGGGTCGCCGCACAGCTCGGGCAGCGGGCAGTGCCGTGCGCTACGGATGCCCGTGTCGAGCAGCAGCCCGGGTCCCAGCACGCACAGGGCCTCTTTCTTGTCCCTCACATCTTCGTCATCATCGCCATCATCGTCGTCAGTGTCGACGAAGAGCCACCGAACGAGCGCCCAGCTGACGATGTCGTGCTGCTGCGGGTCAATGACGGTCGGCCCGAGGAGGGTCGCGGCAGCCTGACGGAAATGGGTCTGCACCTCGTGTCGGAAATGGTGCGTCCAGCGCTGCATTGTCTGCGTAGGCATTTCTTCTGGCTTCAGCTGAGGCGTTGGCAGCCGAGCACGCCACGCGCGCCAGGCGGCCAACATGTCGTGCACAACTCTGTTGGGAGTTTAGCTTGAATCTTTTTGCACTTTTTAATTTGTAACTTCATCTGTTGTAATTTCTGGAGCACCGGCCAATCCGAAAAACAACAAAAAATGCACTTTTTTGGTGTTTCTATTTGAGTACCAGTGGGCTAAATTCTATCCAAGGCACACAGGATGCATTAGGATGTTGTGAGAAACCCAGTGGGCCAGACTGCCAGTTCGACGCGGCCCCGCATGGTCTGAACGTACGCGTGCGGTGCGGTCGTGTGTTGATGAGAATCAGAATTGGGCGGCCAGGTTGGCCAAGTGGCGCTTCATCTTTAGTTGGGCAAGCTCTGGAAGCTGAGGAGGGACGTGGGCAGCTGCAGGGGTTGTGACGACAGGCCGTGGCTGGCCTGTGACGCTGACGAGACCAGCGCTGCCACGGAGGTGGTGGGTGGTGCAGGAAGGTCGCCGGTGCTGGCTGCAGCCGCGGGGTGGGGCGAGGCCAGGGCCAGGCGCGACAAGAGGACCATCCACCGGGGCGTCGCGCTGAGCCGCTGGCCTGATGCCACATTGTGGGACGGCTGTGTGGGACATGGTTCATGGTGAGTCGCAAGCAACGCACATCGGCGCACCACGCCCATGTGGGCATAGGGTACCTCGTCGACGTGTATCTTTTCGAGGAGGTGAATGATCTGGTGCCCGTTGAGGTGGCTGAACAGTGCGCGCAGGTTGTCGCCCTCCTCGAGTATGCGCTCCTTGTCCATCACCAGCAGGCTGGTGGCTTCCGCCGTGTGCCGTTCCAGGAACGTGCACGACAGCTGCAGCACTTCCGACAGCGTGATTGCGTCTTTTGGAGAGAGAGTGTCAGCTACCGCACACGCCACACGCACCACCGCACACATCACCGCACACACATCACCGCACACGCGGCACGTACCTCCGTCTTGCTCGTCGTTGGAGTTGCCAGCAACGACGTCGTGCAGGCACCAGTCGACCAGCTGCGAGAGGAAGTACTTGATCTTGACCGCGTGGGCGGGGCTGCGCACGAGGTCGTTGCCCGTGAGGAGGCGGTTGAAGAGCGACACGTCGAGGTGGTGGAACAGCTGCTTGCACAGCTGGATCACGACGGCCTCGTAGACGCCCTCGGCGATCAGGAGCTCGAACAGCGACTCGATGATGCCCTTGAACTCCTTGACGCACTTGGACGTCTCGTAGTCATCGTCCGGTGCCGGGAGCGGAGCCTCACTGTGTGCGCACACCATCATCAACAACGGTATGATTCGGGAACAACGCGACACACAACACGACACACGCGACGGAAGTGTACGGTAGTAGTTTGGCTTTCATGAAGCCGAGGCCGCGCAACGTCTCCCTGGTCGAGCGGGCGAACATGCGGATGCCGGCCTCGGCCGCCGCTTCGTGGTGCACCACCGCCTGCCTCGAGGGCTGGACTCCTTCGCCGCCGCCCGTGCCAGTCGATTTGGGGGACAGGGCCACGGCGGCCGGCAGCTGCGGCTGCGCCGCGGATGAATGGGCCGACGACGACGACGGCGGCGGCAGCTGTTGCTTGGGCTGCATGAGCGCGGCGATGACCGGCTCGATTGAGGCGCACGCCAGCGCAACGATGGCCCGGTAGATCCGCAGGACGAGATTGTGCAGCTTCTGCAGCCACAGGAACGACATGTAGTTGGGATTCAGCGCCTCTTCGGCATCGTGCGCCTGGGCCTGGGTCTGCCTCGGCTGGCGTTCGGCGAGAGTTGCGTCGGGCTGGCTCGAGGACTCCTCCGCCAGTTCGAAGTCGCGTTGGTCCTGGGGATGGTGCTGGTGCTGAACCCTAAACTTGACCTTGGCCACCCCGACACCGCTCTCGGCCGGGTCGGGCACCGAGTAGTAGACCGCCGGATGGAAGAAGCCTGTTGGGGGAGGGGACGCACGTTCCATTTGTGAGCGCACGCGCACAACCGCACACGCACGACCACGTCCGGAATGGGCGGGGATCGTGGCGTACCGGCACTCTCGGGGTTGCTCTTGAGGCCGTGCAGCAGGTGACAGGTGAAGGAGAGCCAGTGAATCTGCTCCTCGAGGCCGCTCGCCCTCTGCATAGAAATGGAACGAATGGCCACGTCAGCTCTCACTATCTACGGAGAGACAGGTGCCAGACACGAGGTAGGGTGCTGTCTGGAGACCTTGTGGGAACGGGCGAGGGCGCGCATGAGGCCATGGACGAGGGATGTTAGCGTGTCCGCGCCAGCTTCGCCAGCGTTATGCCGCGGCTGGAACACCTGCAGCTGGCCCAGGATCTCCTTCACCGCCGTCCTCGCCGTCCTGTCGTATCCGCAACCCATCAGCACAACGCAGTGGCGTGTGCGCACACAATGGAGTGTGTGCCGTGTGCCGTGTGCCGTGTGCCGTGTGTCGTGTGCCGTGTGCCGTGTGTCGTGTGCCGTGTGTCGTGTTGTGTCGCGCCGTGCGTGATAGTGTCGTACGCTGCTTGTCGCTTGGTCGGGTCATAGCTCCAGACGTGCCGCTCGATCAGTGCTCGCATGTCGACCTCCTGCAGTGTATGCAACGTTCACCTTTGAGCGATCTCTACCTATGCACACCGGGTACCGAGTAGAGCTGACACAACATGGCACGCACCCACTGCAGGTTTACGAGCTTGTCCAGAGCCGGCGTATTGTCGTAACTCACTTGGCCGGCGAAGGCGTCGCTGTTCGAGGGCGCTCGAGAGGTCATGCCGGTCATGCTGGTCGACCGCCGGGCCTTGCCGCGCTTGCGGCTGGTCAGGATGCGCTGCTTGATGGCCGAGCCGCGTGGGCCAGCTCGTCGCACGCGCGGTCGGCCTCGTCGCGTCGCAGCCTGACCTGCTCGTAGCGCTGGGCCACCTCGCGCATTCCGTCGAGCTCGGCCATCACCTGACGCTGCAGCACCTCGATGTCGGCCTCGCACTCGCTGATCGCCGCGCGTGGCCGGCGCTCTTTGGCCTCCCCGTGCCCCACTGGCGAGCCGAGCTCGGCGATCCGCTGCCTGCAGGCGAGGAGTTGATGCTCCCAGGCGGCCACCTGGGCCTCGGAGGCGCGCGACGCGTTGGCCATCTCGGCGAGGGCCTGGTCGAACTCGACCACCTCCTGCCGCCGCTGGCGCAGCTGCTTCTTGGCCTCGCCCAGTTCGTGCAGCAGCCGACGATCGGCCGCCAATTTGGCCTGGGACGAGCTCGACTCGGGCTGTGCTTGCTCCGACGCTGCAGCCACAGCGGCCGCAGCCGCAGCCGCCGCCGCAGCCTTTTGGCTCCGCTTGGCCTCCTTGGCGGCCCGCTCGGCCTCCCGCTCGAGTTGCACGCGCTCGTGGTCGGCCTCCAGCTCCTCGCAGCGCTGGTAGAGCGCGTTGCGGTTGCGGGTCATCATGTCCAGCTCGGCCTGCTTCTCCACCATCGACTCCTCGAGCTCGGCGATGTGCTGCTTGCACTCGGCGTTCCGCTTGCGCTTGGCCGCCAGGCGCCGGGTGAGCTCGTCGACCGCCCTGACGGTGCGCCTCGACCACCTCACGCAGTCGCTCCGACTCGAGCTGTGCCTCGGCGTCAGCGTCGTGGGCGGACCGCAGGGCGAGGTTCTCGAGCTCGGCCAGTCGGGCCTGCTTCTCCATCAGCTCTTCGTGCATGGCGCTCGCCTGGCCCAGCACCTGGTCCAGCGTGCTCTGTACCTCGTTGCGCTCGAGCTCGTTGGCTTCGAGCGCCGCGCGCAGATCCTCGCACTGCTGGGCGGCATCGCGCGCGGCCGCCGCCTCGTCGTCGCGCTCGCGCATCAGCGCGTCAATCTCCGCCGTGCGCCGGCTCAATTCGCTGCGCAGCTCGGCCAGCTGGTCCTCGCGTTCGATGATGAGCGCACGCAGGTCGTCAACCATGCGCGCCGTCTCCTCGCGCAGGGGCTCGTCGGGTCCTTCCTCGCCGCCGCTGTTGCCCTGTGCGGGGGGGTCTCGCGGAGCTCTAGCTCGCGGAGCAGACGGGCGGCGTCGAGCTTGGTCTCCTCCAGCTGCCGCACGAGCTCGTCGATCTCGAGGTGCATCTGCTCCCTCGTCTCCTGCATTTGCTGGAGCACGCCCTCGTAGTGGGCTATCTTCTCGTTGTACGAGGCCTCGAGCGAGCCCCTCCGGCTGCTGCTGCTGCGGCGCGGCGTAAGCTGGTGGTCGTGCTGCTGATGGTGCGAGTCGCGGTGCTCGTCACGGTCCTGGCTCTGCTGCAGCACTTGCTTTTTCTTGTAGCCGTCGAGGTAGAGCTGGATGTAGCGCTCGGCTTCCTCCTTCTCGTGCCGCTTGCGCTCGGCCTCGTCGACTCCGTGGTCGTGGTTGTGGTCGTGGTCGTGGTCGTGGTTGTGGTCGTGGTCGCCGTCGTTGCCCTCTTCGCCATCGGCCTCGCCCTGGGACTCCTTGGGCTTGCCCTCTTCGCCCGGCATCGAGCGCACGCGCACGAGCTACAACGGCACACACGACACGCACGACACGACACGACACGTTTCAGCCACGGCCTCGGCTTCAGGTGGTACGCGCGCAAAGACACACGCACGAACCTGCTGGGAAAGCCTGCGGGCGGCCTTGCCCAAGGACAGCTCTCCCTCGATTGAGCCGATGGACTGCGTCCGCGAAGTGATGGGCATCTCTCGCGGGTTCACCTGATAGGCATCGTGGCTGCTCCCCTGTCGAAGAATGAGAAGAATGGCTCAGCCCAAACAAAGGAAAGATCACATGGTAGTAATCAAATTACCAGAGGTGACGAGACGGCCGGTACGCTTGGTGTGGGCAACGCCTTAAAGTTAAGCACCCTCACTTGAATCTGGGACAACCAGTCCAGTTAGTAACGAGTGGCAACTGAGAAAGTTGAGCCAGGGCAGCTAACCAGGAGCCAGGCGATGTCGTGCGAGGGCTTATTGCGGAGGCCCAGCGGACGCAGGACGAGGTGCTCCTCCGAGTAGGTCGGGTAGAGGGTCAGACGATCCAGATCCAGGGTGGCCTCGTACATCTTCTTCAGCTTCTTCGCGCGCGAGCCAACCACCTGGTTGACGTAGAAGGTGACGGTCTTGTGGTCGCACACGTCGGCTTTGGAATCGAACTTGCGGATGTGGCACGGCACGACGGTCATGCGCCCGCCCTCCCAGGAGCAGGTGCCATCGGGCGCCACCTTGGCGGTCAGCGTGGTGCCCTCCCGCTGCCTGCGCTTGTCCTCCCCGTGCTCGAGCTTGCCGTTCTTGCGCCAGGTCACGCACAGCGTGGTCTGGGGTCCCTCGCCGCTGCTGTCGTCGCTGCCGCTGCTGGTCGGCGACGAGGGCTGCGACACGGGCAGGCCCGAGATGGCTTTCACGCCCAGCTCCAGCTCGACTCTTCTGCTGATGGGCTTGTTGCTTTCCGCGCCCGTGGCATGACCACCATCCTCCTTAAGGAAGCGTCGACTGATGCTGCCCTTCCACCTGAGGGACATGTCGTCCTCTCTCTTTCTCTCTGTTGTGGACCGCTCGTGTGCTACTTGGCCTTGCGTTTGAATGTGTGTTGCTGTGTGCAGCACTGGTGGTGGTGGAAGCGCGACCTCGGGCGCGTGGCTCTGTGGCTGGCATTGTAGTGCAGTTAGTCCCGCTGAGAAGCACCCACAGTCCTGGTCAAATATAAGGGGCCACCACACAACAGGCAGAGAACAAAGGAATCCACCACTACCCGTGTATCGCACCACGCCCACGCAGCCGCCCGTTCGAATCCCACCGCAACCAAACAAAAAAAGAGTCACAGCAGTGGGGGGGGACAAGGTACATAGCGGGGCGACTGCGCAGCGACCTTACCGCATTATCCACTAGTTCATGTGATCAATCGATTGAAGTGCATGCTCCCGAGTAGATTTGCGCGCTGAATTCGAGCAAGAGACTCTTCATCAAGCTTGTTGCACACATGCTAGGGTAGTTGTGTGGCTGTGATTTTGGCCGTAAGCATTTATTTGTTTATTTATTCAGGGTTGGTCGGCGGTGTTGTTGTGCGTTGCAGGCTGCAAGTGGTACGAGGCGTCGAGCCACTTGGTGATCTGGGGCAGCAGCGCGCTGATGGGCTGCGACGCGTCGAACTCGCGCACGGTGTTCGGAGGGTAGAGCAGGCGCACGACGTAGCCCTCTGACCGGTACCGGCGCGTGCGGCGAGCCACATCAGCCGGGTCGTCGTGCTTCCTCTTCTGTACCACGAGGACCCAACCAACACAACCATCAGTCAGTCTCACACTATCACCATTATCATCAGCAGCAGCAGAAGACTACAACACCAGCCATGATGGCAAGCCAACCTGGAGTCGCCGCAGGACCTCTTGATCTCGTGGTCGAAGGGAAGGGGAGGAGAGCTCATCAATCGAATACACCCTGTCCTGCGTGCGATCAATCCTGCGGCTGCTCAGCCGCTTGTTTATCGTCTCCGGTCCCACCTCCAGCACCACCACCTGCCCTCAACCACCACACGACACGCACTGGTCAGCATAGAAGAAGAAAGAAGAAGAAGCAGCAAAGTGGTAGCTGATGGCTGGTGGTCGCACCCTGTCGGGCAGGAGGTCGGCGTTGCGAAATGCCTCGTAGTGCTCGGGCTCGCGGATGCCGCGCTCCATGATCCAGCCGTGCGGGTTGGCCAGCTCGGCGCGCCGCACGTGCTCGGCGATGAGCGGCACCACGAGCTCGATGGGCGGGCGCTGGGTCTTGTCCTTCTTCTGGTAGAAGAAGTCGCGCAGCTTTTGGCCCAGCCCCGAGCTGTCCTCGGTGCCATTGAGTCGCAGGGCGTGGTCGATGACGATCTCGCCCGTCTTGATGGGCGTCAGGCCGTAGTGCTGGCTCAGCAGCTGCAGGACCGTGGTCTTGCCACTCCCCGGCGGCCCCATCACCGTCACCTTCATCATTCCCGGCGATGATGTGGCTCCTTCTTCTTGTTGTTGTTGTGTAGTGGTGGTGGTGGCACCTTGACCTCCCTCCGTAGTTGTGGTGGCGGCCTCCATGTTCATGCTCTGGTGTGAGTTCTGGCTGGCTATGAGCGGAGGAGTTGGCCCTGTTATTGGTTTTGTTCTTGGTTTGTAGTGTGCTCACCGGGCACTGGTTCACCAGGCGGACTTGATGAGGGACCTAAAGTGGATGTCGTCTGCAATCCCCACCCGAACGCCAGCACCTTCACGGAGAATTCGGCAAGACGTACAGAATGACAACAAAATATGTCAAATATGTTGGTCTGCAAATATGTTTAATTATGCTATTTTCCTGTTATTGCCGAGTTTATTTAAAACTGCGCTGATTTCAGAAATCGCCACAACGCCAAGATCGCTTCAAGATGTGGGCCTCGGATGTAGACTTCGAAGCTTCGTGTACGCGAAAGCAGATTCTAATCTTTCGTAATTAATTGATTTCATTCTCGACCCAGTGCTGCAGCAGGGGGACGCGGCCACCGATCTGGTCGAGCACATGACGTGGCGCACCCGGCGCTTCCCAGGCCTGCACCTGCCCAACCGCGCGGCGCTGGCGCGGGAGTGGGCCGTCGCGCGCGGCACCTCGACCCGCTTACTGGTCACGACCCTGCGTGACCCTGACTTCTTCGCCAACACGCCCGCGCAGACCGCGGCGGCCAGCGGCGCTTGGGTGCCCTGGCTCAGCTTCGTGCACTCCCAACCCGAGGTATCGCACACGCACGACCGCATACACGACCGCACACATGACCGCCCACACACGACCGCACACACCGCACACGCATACACGTTGCGTGGCACTCACAACGAATCGATCGCGCCAGGCTGCGCTGGGGGTGATGGGCGATGGTATGCGGGCGCAAGTGGTCGGCGCGCTCGACGTGGTGCCGGGGGTTCGCCTCAGTACCAACTTCGGAGTGATCCCGGCCTCAGCTAACGATCCCAGGTATACGCGTGTGCGTGTGCGTGTGGTGTGCGTGTGCGTGTGCGTGCGTGTGGTCGTGTGTGCGACTGACTAGACTATGGTGGCAGAGGGTCGCTGCTGAACAAGGGTATAGGGTTGATCCCCAAGACCGAGTCGGAGCTGGAGTGCTACGCGATCGACGGGCTCCAGCTCTCGCTGACCCATGCCACTGCCTCGTTGGAGGGCGTCGACTACGTGGTCAACGCCACGGTGTCGGTCAACCCGATGGCCCTCGCGCGCCGGTTCGCCGCCGCCTCGAAGCTGGAGACGCCCAAGCGCGCCTTTCTCGAGCGGTGGCAGCTCGAGGCCCGAATCACACGAATTAAGCCCCTCAACCAACCCGCCCTGGGGCTCCCTTCACTGGCCGTCCAGTACAGCCACCCGCTGGGTCCCGCCCCCGGCGATGGTACACGCACGCACACGGCACACACGCAACCGCACACGCACACCGCACACACTCATAGTTGTGGTATGGCAGGCAGGCGCGTGCCGAGGCTGGTCCTGACGGCCAAGGCCCAGGCGCTGAACACGCTGCGGCTGTCGGTGACCTACGACCCCGTCGACATTCTCGCGGCCCTCGACGAGGGCGCGTCACAGGGCAAGCCGGCGGTCACTGGTGTGTGCGCCTCGGGCGTCCTCTCTGTCTCTCCCTCCGCCAGAGCAATGCAGTGTCTGGGCACTCTCCGGTACGTTGCGTGGCGTGGCGTGAGTGCCCGCCTTGCGCGTGTTGCATTCTTTTCATTCCTTGATGTCGTCTGCAGGTACTACGGGGACGGCTATCGGGCGACGGCCACGGCAGGGTGGGCGGTGGACCCCCGCCAGCCCAGTGCGGCGTGGACCGGCACCCTGTCGTGGGTGCAGCGTGCCCGTAATACCAGCGTCGGCGCGTTTGTCTCCGGTGGCCGATTCAACGACCAACTCGTCACCCCGCGCTTCGGCATCACCCTCACCCACCACATCTGATTTATTATTATTTTATTTCTTATTTTGCTCAAAATAAGAAATAAAATACTCATTTTAAAACAAAAAAAACAATACAAATACAATACAGCGGCGTTGGCGTGTCAGAGCTTGACCTTGAAGGGCATCTTGTTCCCGGGCACGTGGTCCTTGGTGTCGCCCAGCTGGAAGGGTCCCACGAAGCGGATGAAGAGCTGCTCGTACTTTTCGTTGTTCACCAGCTCCATCTGCCGCTCCTCCACGCCTGTGCAGCCCCAAAAAAGCACAACAAAATGTCAGCCGCGTGTGCGCGTGCGGTGGTGCGCGCGGGACAAGAAGAGGGGATTCACCTTTGAGGTATTGTCGCAGACCCACCTTTCGCTGCTCCACCACCTCGTCTTCGAGGGAGCCGATGAGCTTCTTGCCGGGCAGAGGGTACGGCAGCTTGACGTTGGTCTTCCACTTGACCGACTGATGACACGCACGGCACACGCCATGACACACGGCACGACACACACAGCACGACACGATGCACAAATTAATCATTAATCATATATGGACGCAGGCGGTGCGCAGGGAGCGAAGTGACTCACCTTGTGAAAGTCGCTGAACTGGGAGTAGCGACGCTGGATCGTCCACACGCAGTCGCCCCACGTCACTCGTATTCGGTACAACTGCCAATGCACACCAAATCAGGGTTTTGTCGTTTGTGTGTGTGTGTGTGTGTGATGTCGCGTGTCGTGTGTGCAGTGTGGTGCGTGTGTTGTGGTACCGTGTAGGTTTGGCTGTTGTGTTTCTCAATTATGGTTTCGTCGAGGAGCTGAAGGGTCAGCACGGGCGCGTCCTTCTTCTGGTGCACGTAGACCGACTCACGTTGGCCCATTTCCAACTTGCCCGCATTCAGCTTTTCTGTGTTCACAAACGCGACGAGTCACACACCGCACACACCGCACGCTCAGTGACACACGAGAGGGCGCACGCACGGATGTAGTCGCGCTGCTTCTCCTTGGTGTATTGCTCCTCCTCCTTCTCGAATTCCTTCTCGCGCTGTTTGAGGCGCTCTTCCTGGAGCACCCTCTCCTTTTCCTTCTCCACCTCGCGCAACAGCTTCTTGAGCTCGCGCTCCTCCTTGGTCATCTCGCTCTCTCCTGGCCCTACGGTTGTCATCCAGTGAACCACATCAGCGACCTTGTCGTGACACACACAGGTACACAACACGCACTGTCGCCACGCACGTACAACACGCACCACCGCACACGCACACGCACACACACCTACAACAGGCCCACCGCACACGCACTACCGCACCACCGCACACGCAACACGACACGAGCAAGTACGGGTGGAAGGCTGAGGCGCGGATATATAGCGCTGGTCGGGCGACGTCGATGAGGAGCCGCCGAACAGGGAAAAGCCGCCGGCGGCCGCGCTGTTGTATGTAGAGACCGGAGCCGAGGCCGACCCGCCGTAGCCGCCGCTGCCGCCATTGCTGCTACCTACGATCATAGGCCTGGAGCGGGCCGGGACCGAGGGCGGAGGAGTCGCGGCGGACGACGGAGACGCGGACCACCCGGCCGACCGCGCATTGACCGCCGTCGGCGGCGATGACCGGGCCAACGACTGCGACGGCGGTGAATAGGCGGCCAGGGTGGTGGCCGTGTGCGAGGGCGATTGGGTTCGAGCGTAGCCCGGGCGGGCCAGCGGCGCTGGATGACTGGGGCTGTTGGGCGACGACGTCGACGTCGGGGAGGACCGGCCCAAGTGGCGAGGCGGCGCACCGCTGCCCGCGGCGGTGGTCGTCTGTGGCTGGCGCGCTGGGACCGGTGGCTGCGTGCGCTGCTGCTGCTGGGCAAAGTTGGCGGTGGGTCCTGTCGCCGCACGCGCACGTGCCTCTGGCTTCGAGAAGTCCTGCCGCACACACCGCACACACCACCGCACACAGTGTCGGTTGGTTGGGTGCTGCTGCAGGGAGAGGAGAGGAGAGGAGAGGAGAGGAGAGGAGAGGAGAGGAGAGGAGAGGAGAGGTGGGGGTACCTTGCGTGGGCCGAACTGCGCGGGAGGACTGGCTCCGGGTTGGGCTGGTGGCCGCACGGGGGCTGGTCGGAGGTTTACGGGTGGTGCGGCGGGGGTGCTCGATGCCAGGAGGCCGTGGGGCGAGGGGAGCAAGGCGCCGCACTCATTGCAGAACTTGTGGGTGGGCTTGCGCTGGCTGTGCGCGCATCCCCCAAAATTATGTGTTGTCGTGGCAGGCACCATTTCTTTTCTCTTCCAGTTCTAATCAACAGAAAAACTTTAAAAAAAAATCACAGCTGGATTGTCGAGACAAGAAGAAGCAAAGATGAACTGAGCTCGTTGTGCGTATGAGCGAACGAGTACCACCGAGAGCATGCGAGAGGGCGGCCAACCAGACCGCAGCTCCGCTGGCACTTTCCGGCAAACTGGGCGGGCTTTCCGCGGCATTGTTAGCATTCCGATCGCTGTTTTCCTTTCCGGTATGTCTACAAAAACTTTTGGGTGACGTAGGCTGTGGGGAGAACCAGGGCTTTAATCGATTCCCACCTCCTCCCGGTTGTATGGCCAGCCTTTGAGCAGAGAACTTCACCTTCTATTTATTGCCCTTCACGTGGCGCAAAATGAGTCTTTTAGTCGCCATCATCTGCCTTGTGCTGGGCACCTTTGTGCTGCCAGGCGTCCAGGCCGCCAAAAAGATGCCCACCGCCGAAACCCTCTTCTCTGCAGCCTACCTAGGTACGTCCTCACGTGAATACTAAACAGCCATGTATAAATTCTGCTATTACTAATTTATTTATGAATTTCTGTAATTACATATTTTTATTACTTATTTGCTGATCTGCATGACAGACAGTCCGGTGTTCAATCTCGACGACGGCAGCCTCTGGGTGAGCGATATACAGAACGACCGGGTGCTGCGGCTGCTCGACGTCTCGCCCAAGACGGATGCCGCCAAGCGGCTGGCCGGCACCAAGGGCAGCAACAAGGATAAGAAGGAGCTGGCCGACCTCGTCATGTCCCCTCCGGCTCCCATCAGGCGAGACAAACCCTCAGTTCTTCCACATCGGCAATTTCTTACCACGTCATCGTGCGTCTTCTGGTGGTGCAGGACTCCATCCGGCCGTGCGCGAGGGATTGCCTTCGACCAGCGCGGCCGGCTGGTGATGTGCGAGTCCGGCGGACGCCGAGTAACGCGCCTGGAGGTCGATGGCAGGGTAAGTCTTGACTCGCCCGCCGGTCTGGGCTGGGCAAGAAGAGAAGATGTCGCATCATCACCAAGTCTGCTGCATGTCGTGAGGCTAACGATACATCTGCTTCTCACACGGCCAGTTGACGGTCCTGGCGGAGAAGATCGACAACAAGCGCCTGAACAGCCCGGACGACCTCGTGATCGACAGCAAGGGCCGCATCTACTTCACCGATCCGCGCTTTGGCGCCAGGTACCCGCACCACCCTCTGGCAAATAGATTTCATCCACGAACACGTTTTCACCATTCCACAGGGACGACATGGACATGGTGACCGAGGGCGTGTACCGCATTGACGTCGACGAGTATCAGGGTACGCCGCGGCCTTGGCTGGCTTGCTCTAAATGATATTTACGTGAAACAACAACAATCACAGGTAAGCACAGGGTGACGCGGATCATGGACAATAAGTACGTGAAGCGACCGGCGGGGGTGGTCCTGTCGCCCGACGAAACGAAGATCTATCTGGTGGAGGCCCACCCGTCGTCCCCTCGCCTCGTCGTCTTCGAGCTCAAGCGCGACGGTACCGTCGTCGACGCGCCGCCCTACATCGTGCACGACTTTGACAAGGGCAAGGGCGGCGACGGCCTCTGCATCGATTCTCACGGTAAAAGTCCGCCCCGAGCTCTGACGTCTGCAGTCGCTCACGCTGGAGCGGGGGAGGTGGTGTGTGCATGCAGGTAACCTGTACGTGGCCGGCGGCTCGAACTCGCAGTCGCAGAACCCGGCCGGCGTCTACGCCTTCTCGCCCGAGGGCACCCACTTGGGCTTCATGCCTATCCCTGAGGTCCTACAATGCCCGCACACGCACGACCACTGGTCAGTGCGACATACCCATACCTTGAACCGGCCGTTGGTGTGTGTGTCTGTGCCCTGCAGGATGAGGTGGTCAGCTGTCGATTCGGCGGGTGGGACATGCGAACCCTCTACGTGACTGCTGGTGGCGGTACAGCCTGACTCTGACATTGCTTGCCGTGTGCGTGTGCGATGCTGCGTGTGCGGTAAGGACTTACCAGGGCGGGGTCCCGACTGAGTGCGCAGGCATCTACCAGGCCAGGATGCCGATTCCAGGGTTCAACGCCAACTTCTACCCGCGGGAGGACGAGGAGAGGGAAGTACACGTGTGGGAGGACGAACCGCCGCCTCCTTCGCCCACACCCGCCGCCACGCCTTGCCCCATCGACGAACGGTACGCCGCCCGCACCGTGCTTAGATCTACCAGCCCAGAAGAAGAAGAAGGGGTCTTAGCAGCTCAGAAGGCCACAGGGGAATGAGGTGTGAGGTACTGATGGGTGCTGGGGTGTCGGGTGGCGGCAGGGTGTCGGAGAACGGAATGCTGAGAGAGAGGATAGCGGAACTGGAGCAGGAGCTCGCGGCTCAGGAGCAGAAGCTGAAGGAGCTGGCCGAGGGCTCGTCAGCGCAGGGGCTGCCGCGGCGAAGACGGCGACGAAGGCTCGTGCGGAGGCGGCCGGATGACTATGACGACTACGACGAGTACGACGACGACTACCCGGACTACGACGACTACGACGATCGGCGTAGCGGCGGCGGCGGACGACGGAGGTACGCCGACGAGGAGTGGGAGGAGTGGGAGGAGGTGTACGACGAGCGGGAGGTACCACAGCCAAGCCGAGGACTGAACCCCAACGGCGGAGGAGGCGGAAGTGTCGGCAACGGACTGAGGCGGCCGCCACAGCCGGTCAAGCGCCGGGCGGCGATCCGACAGGTCAAGGGCGAAGACCCAGAGCAGGGCGGCCAGATGAGCCGAGGAGGCGCGACTGACCGGAGGAGCGACGTGAGGCACATCTTCGAACGGGGATACGACGAACTCTGACGCGACGCCAACGCAAAAAGGTGAAACAAAGAGGCATGCAGGGTACCTGCTTGGCTCAGCGTCGGGCTCTTCGCTGTCAGGGCTATCGCGCGCTCGCGAATAAAAAGAAACTTGAGTTACGTAACACAATGGGCGAGAAGAGAGATGACTGGGAGGGGGTTTCTCTATTGACCCTACGGGTGGTGCCTATTTGGCACCGTATCGCTTGAGCAGCTTCGTCACCTCGGCAGAGCCCACTTCGATGTCGCGCGCAAGCTCGAGGGTCGTTTTGCCTGAGGCGTCCTTCGCGTTGACATCAGCGCCCAGCTGGCAGAGGGCTTCGACCACCTCCGGCAGTTCGGCCTGCAGAGCCAGATGAAGTGGCGTCGTTCCTGAGTGGCAGACACACACACACACAATTTTGCATGAGCGACCAAAGTGCGAAACCAATGGCGAGCGTTCAGCATACCGTTGGCTTCCGCTTGGTTGGGATCAGCTCCACTCTCCAAGAGGAGAAGCGCAATCTGGACATTCTCGTGGTCAATGGCCGCATGCAGAGCCGTAATGCCGTCCTGTAGTAGCAAGCAGGTGAGTGCATGTAACACAATAGTGCACAGAAGAGGGATGCTCACCTCGGGCGTGGACGCACTCACGTCCGCTCCGTTTTCGATCAACAGCTGCGCCAGGGTTGCATCGTCCTTTTCGCTTTGGGCAGCCAGGTGCAGAGGCGTGAGCCTGTGGAAGATCAATCGGGGGTTGTGAGTGGAACGCCACAGCATCACCAAACCCCAGCAGGCCCAAGCCAGACTTGCCCTAGGAGTGGAGTCACACGCACCGTTATTTTCTTTGATGTTGACGTCAGCTCCTTTCTTGAGAAGGAGGGTGGCGCAGGCAGCGTGACCGCCGGCCACGGCGAGATGCAAAGCCGACAGTCCTTCATCATTCCGGTTATTCAGCTGAGCGCCGCTCTTCATGAGGAAGGACAGACAGCCTGTTTTGTTTTGCACGTGCCCGTGCGCGTGCGTGTGCGGTGGTGCGTGTGTGCGATGAGTGTTAGGCAGAGCAAGTCCGGGTGCATAGGAGGAAGGCGTACCAAGGTGGCCCTCCTGGGCTGAAATCATGAGCGCGTTCCAGCCCTCGTGCGTCTTTTCCTCCATGAGCGCGCCGGCATCCACGAGCTTGCCCATGCCATCGAGATTACCCGAAAAGGCCGTAAAGTGGAGCGGCGAGATGCCCGCGACCAGAGTGTCGTTGATGTCTGACATCAATGAGAGCCGCACGGAAAAAGTTTAGATTCACCATGACACAGAACGTGTGCTACTCGACAGATCTTAAGAGAAAGTGTACCTGCGCCGGCCTTGATGAGCATGGAGATGCAGCCCTTGTCGTCGCTGCTCTGTGCAGCTCGGTGAAGGGGAGTGAGGCCTTCGCTGTCTCTCGAGCCGACAGAAGCCCCCTTTTCCAGCAGGAGCATCGCCATCTTGGCTTCATCGCTCGTCACCGCCAAATGCAGCGGCGATTCTCCTGCAGAGGAGAGAGAGAGAGAGATTGGAAGGTCAGACCTTCCAACAGTGACTCTGCCAAAAGCCAAATGAGCGCATGTACCCTTGAAGTTCTTCGAGTTCACATCCGCACCCTTCTCGAGCAAATAGGTCACAAAGTCTCCTGAGCCCAACCTGGCTGCCGTGTGTATGGGGTGGTCGCCGTCCTTGTCCTCCGATGTGATCCGAGCCCCGTGCTCGACCAGCAGCTTAGCACATTCCACGCTGTTGGCCAGCGCCGCCTGGTGCAGCGGCGTAAGACCTGGATGGGATTGATGATGATCAATCAGCACATGGCCAAGCTGTAAGCCAAGCCGACACGCGGCAGAACCCGAGGCGAGGGTAAGGGTACCTTCTTCATCATGCGCTTCGACATCGGCGTCGTACGAGAGGAGGAGGGAGACGCCACGCGGGAAATCGTGTGAGCAGCAATAGTGCAGCGGCGTGCAGAAGAGAGCGTTTTTGTAGTTGGGGTCTTCGCCTCGTCGAAGCAGCGTTTCCATCAGTTTCTTTCCTCTGTACAACGCTGCAACCTGCGCTTGCAACGCACATGCAACACACACACACCCCACACACACACACACACACACACACACAACGTGCACGTTTGATGTTGGTTGGTGGTTGGTTGGTTCGCTGGATGCTGAGCCCGAGGACGGCGTACCATGAGGATACTGTCCTTCCGCTGCGCAAAGTCGGCGTTCTGGGACATAATCTTTTCCAGCAGCTTGATGTTCTGATCTCGCACGGCCATCTCGATGGAGTCTCCTGCGAATGCCTTCTGGCCCTTGTTGAAATCATTGTCGTTCTGCTTCCACCACGGGTCCTTGCTCTTGGGCTTGCTCTTCCGCTTTTGCTTCCGCTCTTGCTCTGTCTGCTCCTGGTAGGTGGCAAACGAGCGACGATGGATCATCGACGACGCTCTCGCAGCGATGCCTCTTTGCTGTGCCGCGGTGGAGGGCCAAGCTCGAATCGTGGAAGAGTGATGCAAGTTGGAAAAATGGAGCGCACGGATCGAAGCTGCCAAGCTACCATTAGGCGAAGCGGAGGTGTAGGTGCGGTTGAGGAAAAGGGAAAGGGAAGATGAAGGAGAGCATGCCCGATTAACCGGGAATCTCGACCCGGCAGATGTGGCCGTGCGCAATCTCATCTTTCACGCTTCACAGAAGGAAACCAAAAGAAATCATTTTTCCTCCATTTAGCAAATACCCTGAAATGTGACGTGGATTTCGTACTCCGTACCAATCAGTAAAAATCAAATTGGTGGTAACACAGATCCAAGAGACAAAGAGATAGAGAAGAGGTCAGAAAAGAATGGAGTCGCCTGAGTCGTACTTCAAGTCGCGCATCGTGTGCGACGAAATCGTCACGTCGGATGTGGACAACGAGCCTGCCTCGCCCGATTCCACTTCGCCCAGCCCCTCATCTCCTCATGCCGAATTGGCGACCTGCGATGTCGACGTCATCTCAACAATCCGTGACCAAGAGACGCCAGCTCCGTCTTCCGCTACGCAGGAGGAGAATGGAGGAGCTTCGTCGGCGCCCGTGGCCGAACTGCCCTACAACTACACTCGTCTCTGGGGCCTGGGCACCTTGAACGTGTTCGCCGATTGGATGATTATGAAGATCCTCAGGTTGCTCGCCGCTGAGGACCTCGTCCAGCTGTCACTCGTGTCGCGCGCCTTTTACATCTATTCCGACGAGAACGATCTCTGGAAGGATCTCTGCATCCGCAAGCATGCCGGCGACTTCCGGTACCGTTCCTCTTTTCTTGCCATTTTATATTATATTATATTATTATTATTATTATTATGCATAATTTATGATTATTTATTCATCTTTTTATCTTCGACAGGTACAAGGGTACGTGGCGGCGTACGACGCTGCTGCCGAAGGAAAAGGACATCCCGACGCCCTACCAGAAAATTCCCGTCCCGGGCTTCCACTCGGACTACCTCTACTCCAAGTGGTCCGTCTCCTCTCTTTTGCGTGCTTTGATCTCACATGTCCTTGCGCCTGACATGTAATTAATAATTGTCTTATGTGCGGAATGCGTGTGCGGCGTGTGTGTGGTGTGTGTGTGTGTGCGGTACGCGTGTGCGTGTGCGTACGTCGTTTTTTGTAGGTACCGCGGGAATGTGTCGATGGCCCACTTCTCGGAACTGCCCAAGGATCTGCCTCCTCATCTCCAAGTGCCCCGCCGCTCCGGCCTCACGGTGAATGAATTCATCGAGGAGTACGTCAAGCCCAACAAGCCCGTCATTCTCACCGACGTCGTCACCCAGTGGCCCGCCGTACGGTCACACCCTGCCACCACTAGCTGTTGTTGTTGTTGTTGTTGTACAACTAGCCCGTTGCGGGCTTACAACCCACACTCTTGACCATTCCTAACACTGAGCTCTGCTTTACTCCAACAGTGGAAAGAGAAGTCATGGACCAGGGAAGCGCTGATCAAGAGGTTCCCAGATACGCCGTTCCGTGTCGATCAGACAGTACGCCGCACCCCCTGAATGTAGCCGTGACCGCGAGTCAATAGCTGTAGCATGTATGTGTGTACACACGACTGACGGACGAACTCTTTTTCCCCCACAACAACTTTTCAGGATGACGCTGGCCAGAAGCTGAATATGACGCTCAGCGATTACTTCCAATACTGCAGCCAGACTCAAGATGAGGATCCCATCTACGTGTTCTGCCCGTAAGTCATATTTCTTCGTCGTGTTGATTTATTTTATTTGTGTGAAATGTAAAATATTAATTCTCCTTCTTTTTCTGTAGCCTTTACGGCGATCGTGCGCCCAAGCTGCTGGAGGACTATGAAGTGCCGCCGTACTTCCCCGAGGACTTCTTCTCACTCATGGGCTCTGAGCGTCCCTTCTACCGGTGGGTCGTCATCGGCGGACCTCGCTCGGGTAAGCCACACCCTATGTTTACATTATGCTCTCCGACTTGTAAATATTTTTCTTCATATTTCTTTATATTTATAAATATAATTATATTTAGATTTATTTCTTTACATTTACATTTACATTTACATTTACAATATGCGTGCAGGTTCTCCGTTCCACCTGGATCCGTTCAAGACGTCGGCGTGGAACGCGCTCCTTGTTGGACGCAAGAGATGGGTGATCTATCCGCCCAACCAGGTCCCGCCATCCGGAGTGGATGTGGACGAAGACGAGGATACGGGCGAGATCGACTACACCGGCGAGGACCCGATCGTGTGGTTCCTGGAACACTACCCGCTCATCAAGAACAGGTAACCCACTCCATCCCAGAGTCAGCCAGCCTCTCAGCTCTATGTGTGGTGGTTAACGTTGTGCGGTGCGCACCATGTACATAGGGATGTGAGCCAGCACCCGATCGAGTGCATCCTCGAAGAGGGCGAGATCATCTACGTGCCCACCAATTGGTATGATTTCATGAAGTCTACGAGTCCTGTCGCATGTTGCACGAGTGTTCATCGCGCTTGGTGGGTGGCAGGTGGCACATGGTGTTCAACTTGACGGAGACCGTCGCCGTGACGCAGAACTTCTGCGACTCTCACAATTTTGAAGACGTCTACAAGGACCTCGCCAAAGACAAGGAGTTCAAGAAAGGTACCCAGCGCTTTGTTATTATTATTATGATATAAATTGACCTGATTTCTTTGCAACGCCAGGTGTGTACCTCTTTTCGGAGAAGATGCTGATGATGCGGCCCGACCTGATGGCCAAGGTCACCCTCCCCAAGTCCTATTGGAAAAAGAAGGAGAAGTACCGCATTAGGGTACTACCTCCCGTCCACTTCCTCTCTTCTTCACCGCCCCGATTCGCTTTTGTGAGCGTGTGTGTGTTTGTGTGAGCTCACCACCTGCGCACTGCCTCATCAGGAGTTGGAGAAGAGGGAAGAGCTGCGGCGCCAGGAAGAGGAGAAGCAGGCCACGGTCGAGGAGACCGAGTGGAACGAGTCGGCCTTCTGGCGGGTGCCGCCGTCGCTCGACGACCTCGACGAGGAGGAACGCGAGGCGCTCAAGAACACCAAGGTCCACGTGCCGCCGCTGAGCTTGCCCAGCTCCTCTTCCGAGAGCGAAAGCGAAAGCGACAGCGATAGCGACGACACGACCAGCGGCGACAGCGGGAGCGGGAGCGAGAGCCAATCCGAATCCGAGAGCGAGAGCAACACGGAGAGCCACGACTGAAGCAATACAATGAAAAACTGGTAAGAGCTCAACAAGCGGCAAGAGGACAAAACAAGTGGTGGTTAACATCACAGTTTATGAATGTAACATGTTCTGGGGTTGATTGGTTGCGGTGGTGTGGTGGACCCCCCACGCCACCACTTCAGTTTACACGGCGGTGGCAGCTGTTGCTTCAGTCGTCCCATTCGTCTTCGTCGACGCCCTGCAGCGAGTCGCTGGGCGGCTTCCACGCTTCCGGTTCGCTCTTCATGCCCATGATCTGCGCAAGCCCACGAGCAAGGCAAGAGGAATGTGAGAAATTGAGAAATGTGAGAGATGGACCACGTTGCTCGAGTTGGGTCGCACCTTGGCGCCCCAGCCGCCCTGTACGTTCTCGCCGGCGTAGTCCGGCGCGCTCTCCTCCTTCTTGGCGATGGTCTCGATGAACACCGAGTTGCCCTTCGTCCGCAGACTCACTTGGGTTCCCTGCATTCCTCGCATTGGTCAGGCCTGGAAGGGGCGGGGAGAGGAGGGGAGGTTGGGCGGGCGGGACGGCCGCAAGTGAGAGCACCTCCTTGATGTCCAGCGGCTTGACCAGGGTGGGCTCGCCCCAGAACTCAAAGCGGCCCGCCACCTGCGGGTGCAGCGCACTGGCCTGCTGGTCGCAGTAACCTCTGGGCAGCGCAGCCGCGGTGCCGCTCACGATCTTGGCCAACTGGTCGTTGGTGAGCTTGTACTCGTCTTTGTGTAGTGGCGACGAGGAGAAGGTTAGAACGGGAAAAGAGTGGTTGAGGTTAGGGTGTGGCGGTACCTTGCGCTTCGGTCTTCTTCCAGTTGGCGACGAGGTAGCCGGTGCGCTGGAGCACCTCCTTGCCGTGCGGCCTCGTGTCGACCTCCTGCCCACTGGCCTCGAACACGCGCTTACGCGCCTCCTGCACGTCCACGACCACCACTGTGCACCACCCATTAAATCCATCGTTTTATTGTTTTATTATTTTTATTATTTAGTTATGTAAATAGAAAAAGAGTTAATTTGTGGGCTGGGGGAGGTACCGAGGTAGCGGTGGTGGCGAGGGTCGTCCGAGACGATGGAGTGGGAGCGCAGGGGCGCAGCGACGCGGCCTTCCAGCCACGCCCCCTCGTTGCCGGCTCGGGCGGGGCTCGCCTTGCGCGACTCTTCGGTCTGCCACGACCCGGCCCACTTCGTCTGCCCCGTACCAACACTCAGATCCGTGGCGTGGTGAATCATCTTTCTTCTTTTTGTGCTCCTTCGAAGAGTGTTGCTCTTCTGGTGGCGCAAGTGCCCGTCAATTAATCGTGTGGAGAGAAAAAGAATTACCTTTATTTCTTTTGTTCTTTCTTGAATAGAAAAGAAAAAATAGATAAATAAACGCGGCTGATCGGGGGCAGAGCCTCAGACGAAGGTCGCAATGGCAAAAGCGGCGATTGTAGACCAAGTGAACCACACGCATCTCGTCCTCGAATTTGATTTTGAACGTCCAAGCGCAAAGGTTCCCAGCACCGCCGCATTTCGATTTAATCTTTGGCCGTTAGCCCCTCAAATGTCTTGGCTCTGATTCTTGTGCAGGGACGGTGCGAGCTCACGCTCACGCTGGCCGTCCCCGCCACACCCACATACGCTCTACTCGCACTCAACTGCCGGCAATGCCGTACGTGCTTCTTCCCTCTTTCCCTTCATCTTCATCCACAACCCTGTGTGTTGCTTAGCTCTTCCAACACAATGCAGTGGTGAGTCGGGTGACCTGCAACGGAGAGAGCATGACCTTCGTGCTGCGCAACTACCTCGAGCGCATCGTGCACTCGGGAGCCCATGCCGACGCGAAGACCTTCGAGGTGTTCCACCGCGCGGCGCTCTCCGCCTCAGAGGACGGCGAGCTGATCATCGAGCTGCCGCCGCACCTCCTCGCGCCCACCTCTGTCAACGCCACCGGCGAACAAACATGCCAGGTCACGATCGAGATCCACTACACCCTGCCCGAGCCGAAAGCCGGCCTCCACTTCGTGCTGGCACACGCCACGGCCTACCCCAACCGATCACCACGTACGGCTTTGTTTGCTTCTACACAGTTACGCATGTGTGTGCATCTGACTGTGTGTTGTGTGTGGTGTGTGGTGTGTGTGTGCAGACATGTACTCGCAAAGCCATGTAGAGGGCGCACGAACATGGTTTCCGTGCTTCGAGGCCGAGCGTTCGCCCTTCACCATGCAGTTCACTGTCAAGCCCGAGTTCGTCGGTACGTGTTACTCTCTTCTTGGAGTGTCCCACAGACACAACGGGTGGCTTGATCGTTGCGCTTACGCCACCCTTACCTTCATGGCGGCAGTCGTGGCATCTGGCCAGCTTGAGAAGCAGACCCTCGAGGAGGCCACTCTCCGACGTACCTTCCACTACAGGTACCTAACTCACACCCGCCTTCGGCCTGTTCAAGTTGTGGCCGTGATTGGCGTATGGTTGCTCACGTGTGAGCCTCGGGCGTCATTGGCAGGATCGACGAGGCCACCTTCCCGGCGCGGATAGGCGTGTGCGCCGGCCGGTTCGAGATCGTGGTCGATCCGAACCTGCCGTACATCACCAGCTTCTGTCCGCCGGGCAAGAGCAAGATGCTGGCCCACACCACGGCGTTCCTCTCGCAGGCCATCCAATCCTACGAGGAATTCTTCGGCGTCAAGTTTCCCTACGAGTCCTACAAGCAAGTCTTCGTGGAGGACGCCTATACCAAGGTAATGCATTAGCACCCAAGCACGCAGCGCAGCAGACCACTTCGAAGCTCACCCCCGAGCGGTCCTCTCCGCCTGCAGGAGGATGCCTATGCGGGACTGTCCATTTTTTGTACACATTTGCTGCACGACGAGACGATCATCGACCAAACGCTCACCAGCCGCCTGATACTGGCCGATGCTGCTGCCAGACAGTGGCTCGGAAACTACATCCCCATCAGGTGGCGCATACCTCGAGCGATCATTGCTTGAACACAGCCCCGTCTAATGTATGTACGCGTGCATGTAGGAATACGCAGGATTGGTGGCTGATGGAAGGTCTCGCCGGTTACGTGGCGCTCTTGTGGTACCGAAAATCGTTGGGCAACAACGAGTATCGGCTGCTGCTGTATCGGCAGGGACTCTTCGTGTGCGACCGAGGCCCAGATGTCGTGTTGGCCAAGTGCGGGGTACGAACCAACGCTCCCCCCTTTAATTCCCTATTTTCGCCATAATCATTTTTATGATGGGCTCATCAATGTTGTTGTTGGTCTGTTGCCAGGTTGTTGGAGCTGAAGAGAATGTAGCGCTGTGGAAGGCACGATTAGTCGTCTACCTGCTCGAAAAGCTGCTTGGTACGCTATACGCGTTGCGGTATAGCCAGCGAGTACTCGTCTTACTCTTCGTTGTGCCCAGGTCTCGACGCCATGAGGAAGGTGGTGCAGCAGCTCATCGCACCACCGGAGGCCCAGGCCGGCACCCTTCCGCCCACGCTCTCGCTTCATCGATTCCTAAAGCTCATCGCCAAGCTCACCGGCCACGACCTCAAGAAGGACGGATTCGACAAGCGCTGGATTCACGGCTCGGGCTGCGTGGAGGTCGAGTGCGGCTTCTGGTTCAACCGCAAGCGCCACCTGGTGCGCTCTTTTCTCCGCTCTGCCTCATTACTGTCGCACATAACATCGGCCGGCTGATGGCCACACCACATCCGCGCACGCACACAGATCGAGTTCGCGGTGCGACAAGGCGGTAAGGCGGAGAGCAACAAGCTGGCCGTGCGAGTGCACGAAGTGGACGGCGCGCACGACCATTTGCTCGATCTGGAGGAGGACCTCTATGGCACCGACCTGCCCTGCTACTCCCGCCTGCGCAAGAACCGCAGGAAGAAGGGCCAGCCCGGCGAAGGACCCGAAGTAAAGCCCCCTTCTAACCGCACCACCGCACCGCTCTCTTCTAACGCCACCACGCCCAATGTATTGTGCAGGAAAAGGAGGACGAGAAGCCGGATGTGCCGCAGCCACGGTCGGACACTCCCATTCTCTGGATTCGCATTGACCCCGAGTTCGAGATGCTGCGGTAAGCCCAGCCCAGCCCCCCAACCCAACCGAGACCATTATAACACTACAACAACATTGGTTGCTCATTCACACATTTTTTGCTTATCTTTGGCCTTGCAGAAAGGTGCAGTTCCGCCAGCCGGAGAAGATGTGGATCAATCAGATCGAGTTGGACCGAGACGTGGTGGCGCAGTACGAGGGCGTGCAGGGCGTGGGCCAATGCAACTCCGCAGCTGCGGTCGCGGCTCTCGCCTCCCTCATGGAGAATCCGCGAATGTTCTATCGCATCCGCGCCTTGGCTGCTGAGGCCCTCGGTTCTATACGAGGCGAGGTACATACCAGCTACGACTCCTCTTCCCTCTCCAGACCACGCTCACCACGGCTCGACTCCCAGGCAAGCGCGGCAGCTCTTGAGGCGCTGCTGCGGTACTTCCGTTCGGCCTATTTCTACGATGGAGACGAGAACTCTCAGATGCGACCCAACGACTTCACCGACTTTGCGGCCTACCACGTACAGAAGGCCATCCCCGTCGCCCTCTCTCAAGTGCGTGCCCTCCATACTCGTTCGTCGCACGTGTTGAAGCGCTCTCGACGTACTCGTCGCCATCCAGCTCAGTCGAGCTATGTGTTGTACATTCGTTGTTGTAGGTGAGGGACACCGAAGGATTCACGCCGGACGAGGTGCTCGAGTTCCTGCTGCATCTGCTCAAGCAGAACGACAACACGGGCAACCCCTACTCGGACTACTCGTATCTGGCCACCGTCATAGAAGCCCTGGGTGAGCTGACCACCTTTCACCCCACCCCCCCATGGCACTCGCTTGGAACTGCTCCCGCACTGACTCGCCTGTCGTACATGCAGGCAACACGCAGCCCAAGTCGAACAAGGGCTGGGACAGCATTCTGAAGCAGGTCCAACGCTTCATGCACCTGGAGCGGCTGTTGCCGTCCTACCACAACCGTGTGACGGTGGCCTGCCTCAAGGTCATGAAGAAGATGCAGGCCAGCGGCAGAGCTCGGCTTGACCTCGACCTTTTCACCTCCTACACCAGCTACGGCTACTATCGCAAGGTATGTGTCACTCTGCGTTGTGTTCATGCGTCGGTGGTGCGTGTGTGTGCGTGTGCGTGTGCGTGGCTGACACTGGGCCAAATCCCAACTCCTGGCCACCAGGTGCGCATAGTGGCACTGAAGGCGCTGGGCGAGCTGGGCCTTCCGCAGGGCGATGTGGTGCGGCTGGTGATGAGCATCATCGAATCCGACCCCGATCCCTTCGTGCGCTACAAGGCCGCACATCTCCTCACCTCCCCCACTCGCCGACTGCACGACCAAGCCTGCAACCGCATCTGGAGCTATCTCAAGTACCCCCCCACACGCACGCACGCACACACAACACACACAACACACACAACACACACACACACACAACGCGCAGACACACGTACACACACGACCGCACACGACCGCACACGCACACAAGGATCGTTTGCTAAGCGGTCTTTTCGCAGTGGACCTGTGTCGGCGTGGGATTTGCGGGTACGGCTGGCGCTGATGGAGGCCTATCGGGTCAACCTAGGCGAGGGCCTCCTCTCGCTCTCCACGTCGTCCGGCTCGCTGCTGGCCCAGGTCGAGGCCAACGCGCCGCCCATCGACCTCTCTGCCATCCGCGAACCCGATCGCCGCCGACGCTCCGAGGTTCCCTTCCTCTTCGCTCTCCTTCTTCGCTCTTCTTCGCTCTTCTTCGCTCTTTTGCGTTGGTGCTCACGCACCACTGTCGGCCGTGCAGGGCAAGCGGCGAAAGGCGAGCGAGGTCGACCTGGAGCAGGGCACGTTCGTGGCGAGCATGGACAGCAGCACTCCGGGCAAGATTAGGCTTGTGCGCGCCAAGCAGCCCGGCGACAAGCTCGGGCTCAGTAGCAGCACTGGCGGCACGACCGCGCCGGGTGTAGCCGGGCTCAGCAGCAGCAGTGGCATCAACAGCGCGCGCTTGGACGCCACCCCGCTCGGCAAGAAGCCAGAAGACGGCGACAGCGCGCCCGTCGTCAAGCGCCTCAAGCTCAAGCTCGGCGGCGAGTCCATCTCGTGACCAGCGAGGCCTGCAACGTTGCACCCGTCGACACAAACTTATCGTTCGAACTTATTGCGCCTATCGCCGAAGCTTCGCAATCGTTGGTTTCTCTCTTTGTTTCGGTCGTGCAATACAAGATGGAAGCTTCCACAAGATGGTTGATGCTGCTCGCCCTGTTCGCGTTCGCGACGTCGTCGGCTTCGGCGTCGTTCGTTCCCTCGGGTGAGGCGGGGTTGAACGACGCGGTGCCGCAGCGCTGGACGGTGAACCTGGACCTGCCGCCGGAGCAGAGATGGCCGTGGCCCGCCATGCTGCCCTACTACGGCGGTGCGCTCGAGCACGCTGTGGAGATGATCGGGCAGTTCATCCCCAAGGAGTACACCTCTGTAATCGTTGGCATCGCCGAGGAGATTGGTCGCATGGGCTACCTGGGCGAGTACGGCGGCGAAATCGCATCGGTGGCCAAGGCTGCCAACATGAGCCTGGGCGAGGCCGTGCTCCTCAACCTCATCTACGAGATCGAAGCCGGTTGCACCTCCATTGTCGCTCAGGGCACCGACGGCACCATCTACCACGGCCGTAAGCCCACCCATTATTGATATTGCAATTTATTTATTTATTATTTATTCCTTCGCTTTTTCATTCTTTGTCCATTATAATCATTTATTAATTTCTTTATTTCTTTTTTTCTTCTTATTGCAGGTAATCTTGACTTCAATCTGGCGGGCCTGCTGCGCAACCTCACCATCGAGGTCGACTTCCAGTCCAAGGGCCAGACGGTGTTCACAGCCACCACCTATGCCGGCTACGTGGGCGTGCTCACCGGCATGCGCCCCGGCGCCTTCTCGATTTCTCTCGATCAGCGCGAGAGCGGCAGCCCCATCGAGAACATTCTGATGGTGCGCGCTCACGAACACGCGCACGTGTGGCGCACAGAAGCTAACCACACTTTTGATTTTGTACAATAACGAATCAGGCCCTGTTCGTTCCCGGAACCACCGCCTCCTGCTTCCTCATCCGCAACACCCTGCGCGACAAGAGTGCGCTCTCTTCACCTCCTTCATCATCATCGTCATCATCAGCTTCTTCTTCCAGATTTTGCAATCTCATGCAATCGTTATGTCGTGTGACGACACAGCCACCTTCGCCGATGCCGTTTCGGCGCTCTCCAACACTCCTCTCGCCGCTCCCGCGTACATCATCGTGGGCGGCACCCAGAGCGGCGAAGGCGCCGTGATCACCCGCGACAGGTACGCGTCAGCGCTGCGTTGCACTGCGCTCGTCCGATCAGTACTCATTGTGGCCGCTAACGCGCAACAGGGAGTACGCCAGAGACGTGTGGTACATCGACGTGAACGACGGTCGGTGGTTCGAGGTGGAGACCAACGACGATCACTGGAGGGCTCCTGACGACCACAGGCGCGGCGTAGCGAACCAGTTAACTGCTCTCTTCTTTGGCTTTTCTACTCTGAGGTCGGTGACTAACCTCAAGAGCGCCACAGGGGAATGGAAAGACTGGGCTGGACCAATGTGGGTCTGAAGGGCATCTTCGATGTGCTGTCCACACACCCTGTGCTGAACGGAGTACGTGCCACCATCCACTCTCCCTACACGTGGACCTTCGGGACGAGGACGGCTTACATGTTGGTCATAAAAGGGAACGACCTACACCACGCTCATGTCGGCCAGCCTGGGCAACTACTCCACCGTCGTCCGTTCCTGATGAAGCATCACCCCCATTTTGACACAGGCGATTTGAACACTACAACTTTTTTTGGTATGTTGATCACACATAACACAGGAAAGTTGGTCACCCATTAGCAAGCAGCCCTCTTAGCTCAGCTGGTAGAGCGCACGACTGAAGATCGTGAGGTCGCTGGTTCAAACCCGGCAGAGGGCAATCAAGGCCTTAACTTTTGTTGCTCCAATAACTGAAGACGATTTTCTCATCTTTTTTTCTTCCTTTTTCTTTTCTTTTTAAAGTGGGTCATGATTAAAAGCAAAAGCTCGTTGTGCGGTTTGGCGGGTCATGTTGGCCGCCTGGCGCGCATGCCGCGCTCGGCTGAGCCCGGAAATGCTGGCGCAGACAGCGAAGCGCTGGATGGCCCGTGACCGACACGAGGTGGAAACTCATTTCCGACGGGCCGCAGCGACCCTGCTTGGGCCGACCGTCATGCAGTCCAACCCGCGGCAGCACGACATGGTATCTTGGGCGCTCGTTCGGTGGCTCTTCGTCGCCCCTGACGACGACGCGCACGATGGCGACGATGTGAAGGACAAGAAAGAGGCCCTGTGCGTGCTGGGACCCGGGCTGCTGCTCGACACGGGCATCCGTAGCGCACGGCACTGCCCGCTGCCCGAGCTGTGCGGCGACCCCAACCCGCCGCCGGTGGTGGCCCAGTTCACAGTTGAGTTTGTGGCTGCCCAGCGCCAGCGCCAGCGCGAGCACCGGGCGAGGCAGCTCCGGCAGTGCGAGGAGCGCGTCGTGGCCGTGGCGCGTCGCCTGTGGGCGCGGGTGGTTACCGCCGCACACGAGCAGCCGCACGAAGGCAGTAACGCAGTAACGGTCCTCTTGAGAGGCATCTCGCTGATGTTCCGGCTGCTCCGAAACGCAGGCGCCGCTAGTGACGGTGAGTTGTGTGCTGTGTGCTGTGTGCTGTGTGCAGCGGTGCTGTGCGTGTGCGTGTGCGTGTGCGTTATGTCGTGTGGTGTGCGAGTCTCTGATACGAATGGCTGTGTCATTCGAACCACAGCTTCCATCTTGGCCGGAGGCACTCTTGACGAAGGTGGCCTTGACGCGTTCGACGACCAGTTCAACTCGTGCTTGCTCAACCACCCCAACACCACGGTGGTAGCTGGTACTCCCCCAATTTTACGCTCCGTTTTCTTCCTCTTCTCCCTTTCGCTCACCTCCGCGCGTGTGTCGTGTGCCGTCTTGTGTCGGAGCGCAGCGGCCTTGAACTTCCTAGTCACCTCGGCTCCATTCTTTCACCTGCTCCCGCTGGGTCCGGCTCCAGAAGACGTCAGCCGCTCAAGGACCTACCAGCAGCTCCGCCTCATGTTCCACGGCGCAGCGGACTCTGGCGTTCGCTGCGCCGTGCTCCAAACTTTGGTGCAGCTCCAGTGTCCAGGCCTTTTCCAGGTACGCAATGCGCCCGCGAGTGATTACATGAAGCGACCAGCAACACTGCGTTCATTCACCCAACTCGCTCAACGCACCCACACGACGCTCCAACACCACACGACCACTGCCAGGACCTGTTGGAGAGGTTCTCCCAAGAGTCCGACGCTGATGTACTCGCCCAGCTCTATAGAAAAAGCCAAGTCGTGGTGGAGCAGGAGTCTTCCTGCTCGATCGACTCTCTAGTGGATGCGGCCCAGCGTGGCCTAAATGTACGAGTGCAGTCGGCTGCCCGCTTTGAGGGAGTGGCAAACGACTTATCTTGCTCTCTCTCTCTCTCTCTTTCCATTGGCTAGCACTGCCACGAGGGAGTGGTGACCGAGGCGATATCGATGGCCATGTTCATCACGGCCCACTACCAAAGGCAGGGCCGTAGCGAGGACGCAGATAAACTCTGTTGCATGTATGCCCACCACGACACAAGCATCACCGCACAAGCACCACCGCACACGCACACGCACACGCACACGCACACGCACACGCACACGCACACTTGCTAACCGAACCAGAGCCAACCACACACAGGGTTGCGAGGGCGGTGAGCCGGCTGTTTATGAGCAGCGAGCCAGGGGTCAAGAGTCTGCTGCGCCTCACTGCCGATCACATCGCAGCATACGAGAACCACCGCAGCGGCGCCCTGCTGGAGCGCCTCCCAAAAGAGCTGCAGGATCTCATAAGCGACTGCGCCTCACAGCAACTCCAGGAGAAGAGCACATCTAATTCGGCGCTCTTTGCGCTGGAAGATGGTACATGATCGCCCCTGGCCTGAAGGTTGTCCTGCAGCGCTGTCTTCTCTCACGCCTTTCCTTCTTCAGTGGTCGCCGCAGCAGTGGGCGCCGGCACGGCGCACAGCATGACCACACGGCTGCCTGCACACGAGCCACTGTGGCGTGCTCTGAGGAAGGTGGCGGCCTCGCAGCTGGTGCCCGAGTGCAGCTGGCAGCTCCGGTACGCGTGGGTCATCTATTTGGTTTCACATCAATTTATTTTATTTTTTATTGCAGAAATCTGATTTTTGTGTGGGCCTGCGTGGGGGGCGTTTTGACCGGGAGAACAACAGCGAGAGCGGTCTTGCGTTGCTGGGGATCATGGTGCGGGTCGGGACGAACAACGAGATGCAAGCCTTCGTGGAGGAACACTGGGCATTCCTCGTTGCAACGCTTAACGACCCTGTGGTTCGTTGATTTCCACACACACACACAACACACCACACACCACACACACACGGCATCGCACACGACACATGACACACGACACATGACACACGACACTTTTTCACACAACACATGGAATTGACCACTTCCTTCCCTCTCGTTTGATCTGTACCTGCAGGCACAAGTGCGCCTCAGATGTTGTCACGAAATAACTGGGCTGCTCTCGAGCAGTCTGCCAATCAAACAGGACCACGGCCGACTGTCGCGTCTTGTAGAGGATGGCCTCCTCGTCCTGCTCTCCAGCGAACTGTGCCGCAACAGCCCCGCTCCAGCCCCAACAGCAGCAGACGATGCAGCAACGACGACCACTGAGATGATGTTCGTCCAAGCGCGCGGCCTCCTCGTCCTGCTCTCCAGCGAACTGTGCCGCAACAGCCCCGCTCCAGCCCCAACAGCAGCAGACGATGCAGCAACGACGACCACTGAGATGATGTTCGTCCAAGCGCGCGGCCTCCTCCACCAGCTCGCCGCGAATGAAACACTGTTCACGCAGGCCGTGGTGCAACGCGCATTCCTCGGCTGCCTTGCGTGCGCTCACATTCCGGTGCGTAGTAGCAACTGAACCGGAGTACTATTTTGATTATTTACCTGGTTCGTGATTGGATGCAGCGGGACGTGGCGGAGTGCGTGCTCGAGTGGGTCAAGCGGGACAAGGCCCCGAGGGCGAGGTTGGCGTGCGCAGCCCTGGTGACCACGTTTGATGAGCACCTCCGAAGCCACAACATGGGCGCCATTTGTGATGGTCTGGCTTTCCTGGTCGCGCTCTGGCCAGGTATCGCCACCCCGCCCCCCAGACACACGACTCGCGCGGTTCGCGGAAACACTCGGGAACAAACCACCGCACACGCACACGCACACGCACACGCACACGCACACGCACACACGCACACGCACACGCACACGCACACGCACACACGCACACGCACACGCACACGCACACGCACACGCACACACGCACACGCACACGCACACGCACACGCACACGCACACGCACACGCACAAAGCTGACACGTGTGACACCTTTCCACTCTATACAGACCTGGATGAGGACAGACGGTCCAGTGTGGTGCAATGCACTATTCGCGTCCTGGCCGATCTCGGATTCCCTGACGAAAAGGTGTTTGCTTTCTAGGTACTATTTAGCGAATTGACAATATTGACCTGAAAATCTCCACGCAGGCCAGCTTGACGATACACGGTTTGATCCAGCAGCGGCCAGACCTCCTGGCAAGAGTCAGCGCAGCCCGCCACGATCTCTGAAAGCAAGTTGTGCACATCGAACTTGAATTTGTAGCCAATAGCCTGCCTGACTCATGCGCGCTGAAGCTGGTGACCATCTGAAGAGAGCCGGATCGAGAACAAGGGTCAACCCCATCAGCCGAGCGGCCGTGATGTGGCAAGGGTGGTCATCTCCTCCTGCACCTGGACTCCAATCTCTTTTTATTTTTTATGATTGTGGCTGTTACACCCGTGTTGCTGAGAAAACACTACATGTCGTTGCCGGGAAGGATGTCACGGATGCGCGTCTTGAGGTCGTCGTAGTTCTCGCGTTTAGCAGCGGCAAGCATGCCAGACCAGATGGGGGGTGCTAGGTGGCGCTCCCAAAAGCGAATGATCTGAGTCTCGTCCTCTACCAGGCGGATCTCCTCGAAGGTGGTCATCGAAAGGCTGTGGAAGACGCTCCGCACTAACATCTCGAGGTCATCGCTAAACCGTGGCTTGTAGGTGCTTTTCTGTCTCCGGCGTTCGAGCACACGAAGCGGAGCGTGCTGCAACGCTCCCGAGTCACGCTGTTCCCCACCTCCGTCGCACAGCCCCAATCGTTCAGAAACACCTGTTACGTTGTTGGAGCAGCTTGCATAAGAAGAAGTCTCGTTGGTGGGTGGTGGGTGGTGGGTGGTGGGTGGTGGGTGGTGGGGTAAGGGATACCATGCCAGACTCCTGGTCTCTGAAAAAGTTAGGAAGGCGCACATCGCGGTGAACGAAGTTGTGCTGGCCGTGCACGGTCTGAAGAATGTCCACAAGCTGGCAGAAATCATCTGCCGTGGCCACTACCCGCTGTATGGTCTGCACACAAATTCGTCCGTATCATCGTGTGTGTGTGTGTGTGTGTGCGATCAGCCGCATGTTTCAATGTTGAAGAGAAGCTGGGATGGGGAGTCACACGAACCGTCTCCTTCTGTGGGTCAAAGTGAGACAGCCTGGAGGCGAACTGAACCCCTACAGGCTGCAGCAGAAGCACAAGGCCCTGGTCGTCGCGGGCGATCAGCCGGGGTACGCGGGGCACCACACTTTCAATCTTGCGCAAGATGGCGGCTTCCTGTTGAAGGTGGTACAGCTTGTACGTCGAATTGAATCGCTTCACCACCACTTCGGCGCCTGTTTGTTGTGGCCAGTGGGCATGCGGCCGGCCAAGTGAGAAGAACGAAGAACGAAGAACAAAGAACGAAGAAAGAAGGAAGATAGAAGTCAGATGCCCAATTTGTACCTTGATGCATGCCGCTGTACACGACAGAAGATCCTCCGACGCCGAGGAGCGGGCCCATGACCACCGGCTCCTTGTCGATGGTGATGTCACAGGCTTGCGGTTGCCGTATGACACCGACCGATGGGTGTCCTCGAGAACGACAGCCAGGTCTTCCTTGTCGGGGAAGTTTCTTGAGCTTCTCCGACCAGTAGGGCTGCACGACCCGAATCTCGTGGGCGCCCGCCGCCGGATGGCCGCTCTCGGGAAACAGGTACTCCTTCATCGCCCGTCCGCCCCTGCCTCTGGCGGGCACCATTGGGCGTTGTGTGGCGACGGAGAACCACGCCTCGGGGGCTTGGGCCTTGTGAAGTTGGTCGTAATGATCGGAGAAAGTCGATGGCGTGCTCCCTGCCCATTGCCCACCCACCCTTCCTTGGCTTGGTACCGCACAAGGGAGAGAAGAAGAAGACTTATTAACGTACGTTCCGATCGGTCCTTTGCAACCTTGATGGCGAGCTTCTTGAAGTCGCTTCGGAGCTCTTGCACTTCCTCATGCACCATGCGCACGTCTGTAAGTTTGAAAGTTGAGGAGAACGGTGAGCAATCCACACATTTGTGTTCACCCCTGCTGAGCGGCACCGCGTGCGGAAGCTGGCCGCTGCGGGCTGGGTGCCAAAGTTGCGCCAGGCCAAGCTGCTGGCACTAATATTCCCTCCCCCCTTCCTTTGATGTCACTAACGAAGAACAAATCAATTTGAGGCTTAACGCACGGACCTGGTCCTGAGGCCTCCTTGATTGCTTGCTGGACCGCCGAAAGAAGGCGCTTCTGATCACCTGGCTTGGCGATGCCCATTGGCGCGAAGTCATTCGTGTCAATGAGGCGAACTGAGACCATCGTGATGAAGCCCGCTTCGCTCAACCTTGGTAGCAAGTCGCTAACCTCTTGTGCTGCTGCCCATTGCTGGACCTCCTCATTGGCTTCAACTTCCATGTTTGATTACATCTTTCGTGTGCGATGATTCCTTTTGACGTTTGCTTTCAATAAAGGCCAAAAAGGAGTCGGACAGGTCCTCACTGCTGGGCTGGCGCGATGGTGACGGCGAGGGGGTCGTTCCAGTGCTTCTCCTCGTTGGTGTAGTACAGATAGGCGCGGCTGGCCGGACCCGTGTAGACGCCCGGAATTCTCGCCACCACGTCAACGCGGAATTGGACCTGTACACCACGCACGACCATGATAGTTTGTTTTTGGATGTGGCTGGGCGCTCAAGGCTTAACGCTGCGCACCTCTTCGCTCGGCTGGAGCTGGCGGAAGTAGCAGCACACCTCCCTGCCGATGACCTCGTAGTAGGCGATGGTCTTGGCCTTGACCAACTCCTTGAGCTGGTCGTGGCGCGGCTCCAGCCCACCGGGCAAACCGACCTGGCCAACCACCAACCAGCCGCAAAAAGGTCAGTCACTGCCCTTTCGGGGCGATCGCGCGCGGGGTCTATGGTACAATGGCCAGAGTCATGGGCTGGCCGTCCTTATCGTCGACGTTCTTGAGAGCCACGCGGATCTCGCTGCCCTGACCTTCAACCAGCTTGGTGTCCTTGAGCGTGGTGCTCAGACGCACACGGCAGTTGTCGTGGTTATCGGGCTTGGGCTGTGCGTGTGCGTGTGCGTGTGCGTGTGCGTGTGCGGTGAGCATAATGTGAGATTCAGAGGCAGAGCGCATGGGAAGTATGGCAATGTACCGTGAAATAGGTGATGGCGATGGAGTAGGGCATCTCGGCGCCGCCCTCCAGATAGAGCTCGAGTTCGTTGTCCTGACCCGCCTTGAGGCTGTGCGCGAACGAAGGCAGCGTGATCTTGTTCTTGTCCTCTGTACAGTGACAAGGCAACACGTTGCACGATGAGCCGATTGCGTGAGCGCGACCGAACTCGCTACTTTGTTGCGATCATGGTACTGGATACGAGTTGTGTGTCGTGTACGTGCGCGCGCGTGCGTGCGTGTCGTGAGTGTGGCATAGTTGTATACCTCGCTCCGCGTCGTCGGTGCGGACCTTGGCCGCCACCTCGCCATTGACAACCATGCCCAACTCCCCGGCCTCGGGCGAGGCCTTGAGCAAGTCGTACTCGATAATGGCCTAGGTGTGTGCGGCAAGCCGGGGTCAACACTTCACCTCGCAGACGCACACATGACAGACACGCACACGCATCACTGCACACGCACACGAGTGAAATGCGTACCTTGAGGGCAAGGATGGTGGACTGGGTCGAGCCGAAACGGCCGTCCTTGCACTTGGAGGCCACCCACTGCATCGACTGCTCCACATTGGGACGGAACTTAGCGTCGCCCTTGATCCATGCCAGGATGGCCAGCGACGACGCCTCGAGGAGCAGACCCTCGCCGTAGCTGCACGTGATCGAAGTGAAGCGCGTGTCGTGCATGCTGGTGGGGAACACACACACATCAGGTGAGTTGTCTGTGATGCAAATAAAATGCACCATTGCGGCGGCGGCGGCGACGTACTTGGGGTTGTGCGCGCCGTGCACCGCACCGTTCTCGTTCTGCAGGGCAACCAGCAGCTGCGACAGCGAGTCACCGTCGCTCTTGCGACCCACGTTGTACAGGGCAAGGGCAGTCAGGCCTACCGAGATCCGAGCGAGTGGGTGGTGTCAGCCGCTAGAGACATGCCCGATGCGCAAAGCCTCAGTGACGATAAAACCAAAGCTTAGGCCTGTAGTACCGAGGAAGTAGGGGTCCTTGCTCTTCTCCGACTTCAAAGCCTCCTCGAGCACATGGTCCAGTTCCTGTAGGATAGCACCCAGCAACCGTTAGGTGGCACGACACACGACGCGGCACGTACGATACGACACACACGGCCACGGCCGGCAAGAGTGTTGGGAAGAGGAGGCACCTTGGCAAAGGACTCAGCGGGAAGCTTGGCCTCGGACAGCGCCCAGCAGATGTAGGCGTTGGTGATCTCGACCGGAGCCCGACCAAAGTCATCCAAGGCTCTGCGGTGCGCGCGAGTGGAGAGAATGAGCAAAGCTTCGAACGCGCGCGCGCACACACACGATACACGTACCGTCCGCCGCGCATGAACTGACCCTTGCCGTCCCGCCTCGACAGAAGCCAGGTCTTGACTCTCTCGATGAGCTGAGGCTCCACGGGGTGCACCTGGCTCATGTCGCTGAACTCCAGCAGGCCGTACGCCCTGATAAACCCGCAGTGCACACACACAAGATTATAAAAAAAATAAATTCCAATTCAAATTTAAAAAATAACAATCAGCTATCGAGAAAGCGCGAGCGGGTAGTGGCGGGTACGTGAGGGACTCGCTGGCGGCAGGCTCGCCGAACCAGTCGAACCCGCCGCTGAGCTTGCCTCCCTCCTTGACCTGTAGTCACACAGTCAACGTTTGCCCTGACATTAAGTACAGACACGACACGCACTACACGCGCGGGTGGTGGTACCTCGAAGCCGGTGAGACGCTTGTAGGAGGTGGCGAGGTGCTTGCGCGCCTGCTCCACGACCTTGGCGTCGGCGCCCTGGTGGCACTGGAAATACTGCTGGGCCATGGTCATCGGGTAGGCCACCGACGATGTTTGCTGCGCGCGTTTCGATGGAAAGTGTCGACGTAAAAACGTAAGTTGAACTTAAGGAGGCGGAATACAAGAAAGGGAGACAAAGACTGGGCTCAAGGTACCTCGAAGCAGCCGTAGGGCTCGCGAACCAGCGCGGCGAGGGCCTGGGTGAGGTTGCCCATAGGGTTGAGGTAGAACACGACGTTGGTCTTGAGGGTGGACATGTCGATCTCCTTGGGCAAGACCACGCTGTGCTTGACCGACCCGTTCTTGGGGAGCAGGCCCGCCGCAGCGAACTGGAACGGGAAGCCGTTCGGCACCACGCTGCACACATTCCACATATTCTCTTTTCTAAGTATGCAAAGAATGTGGACCCACAAACAAATGGGCGACCGCTGTACCTGGTCTCTCTGGTGACCGTGTCTTCGAACTTACCGGCGTCGGCCTTGAGGGTGACCATGGCCTGCTGGGCCTTTTCCACACCACCTGCGCAGCGCGAGCGTTTGTTGTTTGTCAGATGTGTCCAGCGCAGAAGTGGGGTAGTGCTACAAGCGAATTCAGGGTGCGGTGGACAGCAGGCAGGCTACGTACGATCGACGACGGTAGTGATGTCGGTCCTGGCGCGGGAGGACTGGGGCACCACCAGCGGACCCGCCGGCAGGCTAAGGGCCGCAAACTCGGCTTCGGCTGCCTTGCCCTTGTCCGCCTGGGTGAATGTCAAAGGTCCTGCAGCGCCGGCCAGAAAGGGGTCAGCCGGTTGCTGAACACTGTTTAAGGTGGCGGTACACGATTGGGGGGCCGGCGAGGAACTGGCGTACCGGTGCTCTTCTGGAAGAGGGCGACCTTGAGGTCGTCGTTGGTGGTGTTGACCACGGTGAACGGGATCGACACCTCGTCGCCACTGGTCACCTCGATCGGCAGCTTGTACTCCACGTAGAACGCGTTGACACTATACGAGGACCGTGCGTGAGTTTGCATGTGCGGTAACGGATGTGCGGTGGTGTGCGGCGTGTGCGTGCGTGCGGTTGTATGTACCTCGTGAGAAGAGTGGAAGTGGCGCAAAGAAGACCACCGCGCACGGAGACGCCCTCAACCCACACCTTGAAGGTGGTGATGCTGTCGTTCAGCTCAAACTCCAGATCCTCCGACCCGATGAGCTCAGTCGTCGTGGCCGCCGTCTGCACGCCACCCCGCAATCACGTGTCAACGCGCGCACACAGAAAACACTCGACACACAACCCTCGCACACAGGGCGTACCCAATAGAGCGTTTCGGTGAAGTCGCTGCGTTCGCCGCCGGGTGTGTAGGGCGCTTTCCTCTTGTGGGCGTAAACGCGGACCACCTGCGGGAGGCTCCTAGGCGCTTTCACGAGCAGCTCGTCCTCATCAAACCGGGGCAGTCTGCGTTCCTTCTTCTTGGCCATCACCTTCTTCTTCATTTTCTTCTTCTCCTGCATATCCCCCTTGTCGGCTCTCTTCATCAGCGGCGCCTTCATCTCCTTCTCCCTGATCGGCCTCGGAATATCCATCTCCGCCGCCATGGCCATGTCCATCTCCATCTCCACTTCCTGCTTCATCACCACCTGCTCCTTCTCCTTCTGCATCATCTTCCCTCGCTTCTGCGGCGCCTTCTTCATCTTGACTTCCTCATTCCTAGCCCGATTCACCATCCTCCTGAACAGCGGCCGGGCTCGCTCTTCTTCCTCCTCGTCGTCGTCCTCGGACTCGTCGGAGCCACTGCTGAGCTCAACAGCCTCCTAACACCCGCGTCCCACACAGTCAGGCGCACAGAACGCCGCAGAACATTTTTTTCGTAGAGGGACGGAGGGAGAGAGAGAGAGAGAGATGGTACCTCCGCCTGGGCGAAAGCGAGCAGCCGCTCGGCCGCCTGTTTGTTCTTGGCCTTGCCCAGCTTCGCCGGCGTTCCCATCTGCGCGAATCACGTTAAGTTCACCGCACACGCACCACCGCACACGGGCGCACTGGCACACGGGCAGAGGTTTCAGGCGGGTGGCGGGCTTACCGTGGGGAGATCACCGTCTGCGTCGGCGGCCAGCTTCACATACTCCTCAGGGTACACGAACGCGAAGCGCCTCCATCCCTGGGTGCCCAGCAACAGATCGGCCGCCAGCTATATTCGCGCGCCCAATCCGTCCCATCAGCAACAGGCCAGCAATATGCGTTATAAAAAATGATGAATAATAAAGAAAGGAAGAAAATAAGGTGGAAAATGATGATCAGGTACCTCGGAGAGGGGGTGGGCGGGGTCGAGGTAGACGTGGGCATCCTCGAGATGGGCCACGTCGCTCTCGAAGACGGCCATGGCGGGCAGGCGCGGGGCCTGCTCCCTCCGCTGCACCATCTCGAGCACCGTATCGTCCGTCACCGCCACGCCAACATGCGCGCGCACTGTCCCCCACCACCACCAATGCTTTAGGAAATTGGCCAGTGCCAGTCTAGACACGGGCTGTTGTACCAGGAACGCCGTTTTCGTCGTAGGTGAATACGCGGAGCTTGACCTTCTCGCCGGGCGAGTAGCGTTGCTTGTTGGCGATCACCTTGATGCCCAGCGAGGCCTTGGGCCTGCGGAGCACCAAACGCTCGGCCAGCGGGATGCCATTCTCACCGAAGACCTTCAGACCGTTTATGTCGTTAGCAGGGAGCTCGGCGCCCGTGCGTGCGTGCGTGCGTGCGTGCGGTGTTTGGTACCGTGACGCGCAGCACACCGTCGCAGGTGGTGGAGGTGGGGAGGCTGAGGGACAGGGTCTCGACGCCGCCGCTCTCACCAATGGCCACGAACGCCGATGTGACCTCCAGATTTTTCTTGCAGACCGACACTCGGTAGCGACCGCTCGTCGTAGCGCCCACCTGGAGTGCAATTATTATTTATTCTTAATCTAATTATTTATTATTTATTATTCGACTGATGGGTACCTTGAGAGCCAAGGGCGTGTCGTAGGTGTACACGTCACTGTCGGAGGAGACGAAAGCGCCGTCGGCCTTGACCGCGGGCAGCTCCTTGAGCTTGGTGATGCCGCTGGGGGCGGTCACGCGGACCGAGTACTGGTGGCCTGGTGCACCCGCGAGCACGAAACGTGTAATCTGAGAGGCCACCACCGGAGCAGAACAACAACAATAACGCACCAGCCTTGGGGATGAAGCCCTCGTTGAAGGTGCCGCGGCCTCGACCCTCGTGGGCCGTAGTGATGAAGCCCACCTTGAGCCCCGACTCGTCGATGATCTCGCCGCTGAAGTCCGCAGGGCCGCCCGCGGGAGTAAAGGCTGATCGTTGGAAAGGGAAGTCAGACGAGTGTCGCGTGCGGGGGTGAATGAGTGAGTGCGTGGCGGGAAAAGGAGTCTGCTATTTACCTTCAACGTAGATCCTCTGGTTGGGCAGGGCGACGAGGTCACCGCTCTCGGGGAAGAAGGTCATGTCGATGTCCCGCAGCAGCACCGGCACAGTTTGACCTTCACCACACCACACGCCATGCGCCATCGTGAGGAATGCAGTTTCCCGCCAGCCACATGACGAGACCACCCACGTACCCGTGGACTCGACGACACCGCCGTCGTTGATCGTGCAGGTCAGGGTGCCCTCACCGCGCTCGATCGTGCGAGGCAGCGTGAACCTGATCAGGCATGTTAGTTTGGGTGTTGATTAGCACTAAGGGGCTTAACAATTGGGAGCTGACGTGACGTACTTGACAGTGTACTTGCCGTTGTCGTCGATTTGGCCCGACCCCTGGTAGACGGTGCTGCCATCCAGAGTCACCTCCGCCGTGACGGCCGCCTTGGCCGGTACTCCGCCCTCGGCACTGTTGGTGCGTGTGGTGCGTTACAGAGAGGAACGGACGCAGCAGCGGCGCGATTTTATGGAAACGTACCGAGAGACTTCGAGCAAGGCTTCGGCCTCGTCACCGGGGCCGTAGCCCTTCTTCACGAACTCGAGCTGCATCTTCATGCGGGCTGCACAAGCGCATTAGCCAATAGTATAGTAAAAAATTAGAAAAGACGATGCGCGTACGAGTGCTGAACTGGCGGATGTTGAAGACGCGCTCCGCCGAAGGCAAGCTGGTGAGTTCAAAAGAGAAAATAAGCAATAGATCACACAAAGAGGTGTCAAGATACGAAGGTGGGTCGGCGTACTTGTGCTGCGGGTAGCTGACTTTAGCTCGGTAGTTGCCACCAGCAGTACCATCGGGAATGGTCCACGAGCCCGCAACCGCGCCAGAGACCGGACCCGGCAGCGCCGTCGAATAGACCTGTGAAAGTGCGCGCCAGCGCAGAGGTGAGAAAAAAGCGAACAATTGGCCGCGGTGATGGTTAGTACTTCAGCGTCGGCGGGAGAGAAGATCTGCAGCTTGGCCTTCAGCGAGTTGGCCAACTGCTGACCTACGGGCGACTGGTCGTGCGCGTCGAGCACCCACCCGCGGAAGTACATCGTGTCCTTGGGCCGATAGATGGCAGCTGTGTGTGTGGTGTGTGTGTGTGTGGTGTTTCCAGACCCAACCAAGGCAACGACGGTCAGTCTTGCGCTTACGTGCGTTGCGGTCAAAAAAGAACACGCGCACCTTGTCCAAGGTGATGTGGGTGACGTAGCGCTTGGCCTCGAGTTTCGCCCGCAGCGTTTCCGCGGCGACCAGGGTGGCGTAGGGCGTTTGGGCAAACTTGTACGGGTGCTGGCCGAAGTTGATCTGCAGCTGGGCGCTCGCATCGACTCCGACTACGATCGAACGAGAGCCACCATACAAAAACGTTAGTTCACCACCAACACCCTTCCATTCTATATTTATCTTGATCTTTATATTTAAAATACACAGTGGGGCGGGCGGACGTACTCGTGGGGTAGTAGTTGCCCACCGGGAGCGGAGTCGAGCCCAGCTCGGCACCGTTCCTGGTGAAGGAGAGCGCCGAGCGGGTGCTCACGTAGCACCCAATCACGTCTCCCGCCTGCCCCCCAACAAAACGTAAAAAGAGAAAAGTAAGAGTTTGCAGAGGGAGAGCACCAAGATGGACAGATGGCTGAAGGTGACGTACGGCGTAGGGCGTGCTGTACTTGGTTCCCTTGCCGTTCTGGACGTAGATATTGCCGTCATCGGAGTGGAACCCGTAGGAGCTGATATCAACAACAAGAGCAACAATAACGACAAGATGATGATGAAGAAGAACGTGGTTAGGCTCAGCTTCCGAGGAAAGGGGGAAGCATAGGTGGCGTGTGGTGTGGACAGGACGTGCGTACTTCTTCTTCCATCCGGGGAACTGGCCCTCGGCGGGGAAGTCGTCTTCGGCCAAACCGATGGCCAGAACGCTACGTCGCAGGAGCAGGGGGAGGGGAAAGTGAGAACTGGCGGCGGCGGCGGCAGCGTGTGATTGGGGTGAGAGATCGACGAGAGGGAGGGGAGGGGACGATGTACCCCTCTTTGGCCAGCGCGTCGATGGTCACCTCGAAGTAGTAGCCCGGGCTGCCGGCGGCGGTCACCGCAAAGTGGGTCGACGATTGAACGGCGTATCACACTTGAGTTAAGGCCAGTGCCTTCCCGCACGACACCGCACACGACACGACACACACGACACACACGACACGACACACGAGGGCGGAAAGGATATGACTTCCTTGCCGGGGTTGCGGCCGGTGTGGGTGAGCACGGTGCCGTCTTCGCTGACCTCGAGCGGCGACGACGCCGAGGGACGCCTCAACCTCGACGGGAAGCTGGGCTGGCCCGTGTTGGACCGGTCGTACACATGGCGCCACACGCTGAAGGCTCCCTCGTTGGTCTCCTCCTGTCAAAGCAGTGCATAATTAATTTAGAATTGCACCACTTTAATTTGTTTTATTTTTTATTCTGTTTCATTTTATATTTTGGTATTGTTTCTTTTTTGAATAATTTTGAAGAGGACTAAAGATGAAAAATGAGGACAAAAGGAAGGAAGGAGGGGGAGATACCGCAGGGCCAGCTTTCTTGTTAAACATCTTTTGCTTGTGTGGGTAGGTGCTGTCGTTGTTGTGGGTTTTGTGAGTGTAAGGACCACTGGTCTCGTCTCACTTTTAGTGCGGTGCCGTTGAGCGAAGGGGCGTCTTGCACTGAAGGGGGGGGACGGTCAATAATGTGGGCCCACAAGACAAAATCAAAGCTCTGAATTTCTATTGGTGCCCTCCAAAGCCCTGAAAATTAATTTTTCCGCTGCCGGTCAGCTTCTGCCTCTTTTTCTGGTTTTGCCCACGTGGCCGTGCTTCTCTGCCGGCACACCCTGCTCTTCAACTGCTTGACTGCCACGCTCTGTGCACCACCTAAACAGTACAAGGTTGTTTCATGTTGTGACTTGGTATGATGATTGTTTTTACAAGCGCACCGCAACTTTCTTCTCCTTTCGGGTTTGAGCCGGTCCAGAGCAGGACATGGGGAAGGTCAAGGTTCACGACGATGACGATGACGATGACGACGACGGATGCTCGAGGCTGAGCTTGAGGTCGTCGAGCTCGCGCTGGAGGTCGTTGGCGATCTTCTTCCACTTGCCGATCTCGTCCGAGGCCTCGCGCACCCGCAGGCGCTCCTTGGCCAGCAGGTCCTTGAGGATGCCCACCAGGTCCTCCAACCGCTCTGAGTTCTGTAGCGCCGCGTCCAACGCGGGTTCATCTAAACAAAAAATAATCATAAAAAAATCGTAACTGTGCGGTTAGAAGCCACCAACACGAACCAAACGTTTGGAGTGGAGTGGAGCGGAGCGGAGCGGAGTGGAAGACGTACCAGAGTCGATGGGGCTGCGTCGTCGAATCTCTTCTGAGGAATTGCGCAGCTCCAGGTTGGCCTTCAACTCGGAGTCGGCCTTGTCCTTCGTCTTCGTATCCCTGAGGGTGGAGGCCTTCGAGTCCAACACCTGGCGCTGGAGCGCTCGATCCGATTTCGGCCGACTGCACGCGTGCGACAATGCCAGTTCAGTCAGCCAGTCAGCCAGCCAGGGTGGCCCGACCAGTCGGACATAAATTAACTCCTACACGACCCCGGGGTGGTCATAAAAATACCTGAGGCTGGGCCGACTCTTCTTCTCGTCCTCGGCCTTCTTGTCGAGCTTGGCGGAGAGCTGGCTGTGGAAGCTCTTCTTGGACCCGAGGCCCGACTCGCCGCTCGTTGTCGTCTGCCTGTCGGCCGGCCGATCGCTGGGGTCCAGCACGATCGGGGTCATGTGGCCGTAGGTCGTGCTCGGCCGGGCCATCGGGCCGCTGCCGGCGACCGACATCCGCCTGGCCTCGCTCTCCGGCGCAACTGAGGCCCGCCGCAAGTCCCCCGTGTTGACCCGCGTCAGCGGTGACAGACCTGTAGGTGGTGGTGGTGTGTGTCGGTCAGTGCCGTGCCCCTGGCAAGTGGCCCGAGAGAGAGCGCGCATCTGTACGTCTCTCTAGGCTCGGTGAGCCGATGTCGATGGGCTTGGACGCGGTGGCGCCGGTGTGCAGATCGATCTCGGGCGGCCCGACTGCTGACGTGGCGGGCGACGCGGCGGCGGCGGTAGCGGGTGGCGAGAGCCCGGGGGAGTTGGGGTGCCGGAGGGCGCCCATGGGCGGAGACGAGGAGGCCGAGCCGCCGGAGGCCGTGGGCGAGGAGGAGAGCTGAGGGGCGTAGGGAGAGGGCGGGGCGTTGAGCGGCGAGTTTGGGATTCCGGCCGAGTTGCCGGTGCCGGCCAGCATGGGGCTCATGTCCTGCGACACGCGCTGCAGTCCCTGCTTGCTGGAATCGGCGAGGATGCTCTGCTTGATCAGCTCCGCCGAGGGCGAGTGGCTCTGTCGGAACTGACGCGGGTCGCTTTGCTGCAATTGTTTGGGAATGGGCCATGTGTGTGTGGTGTGGTGCGCGCGCGCGCGTGTGCGCGTGTGTGTGTGTGCGTGTGTGCGTGTGAGAGGAGCGGATGGAAATCGAGGGCCTCAGCCACACAAGAAGCAAGAATTACCTGAATGAAGGAGAACGTGCGCTCCAAGGCAGGCCGGTCCTTGACCTTCAGCCGGTATTCCTTAAGGAAGCTGAGCACGTGTACTTCTTTGGCGTTCATCAGGAACGGATGCTGTTGATGTCGACGTACAGCAGAGTGGTAAGCGTAATGTGTGCACACGCACGAGCACAGTACACCGAGCGTGAATACGACCTTCAGCAGCTCTTCGGCCTCTGGGCGGTCGTCAGGGCTTTTCCTCAGGCACACGGCCAGAAAATCTGGGCAAGCGCGGCGTTGGTGAGATCGAGCGCCTTTCGGTGCCTTTGGTCACATTGGTACCACCGCACACGAAACGCGGCGGGCAAGTTGTACCGTTGAACTCCTTGGACCACTTCTTGGGCTCCTTCAGCGTCGGCGAACTGCCGTGAATGATGGCCAGCATGGCCTGCATTGGCCCAAACACGTGACGCGGACCACAACACGTCATCAGTCAGTCGACGCAAAAGTAGACGCGGACGAGGTGTGAGAATAGAGAGATACCCGGCCAACGTTCATATCGGCGAGGGGAGGTTTGCCGTCAGCTATCTGAATGGCCGTAATCCCCAGCGACCAGATGTCTGCCTTCACGCCGTAGCTCTCCTCGCTCAGAGCCTCCGGGCTCATGAACAGCGCTGTATGTTGTGTAGAGAGCAGCGCGTCAGATCAACACACACACGACACACACGACACACACACACGCACGCACGCACGCACACACAGGAGCGGAGCGATGAAAAGGACGTACGTGTGCCGGTGAAGGTCTGGGCGCCCTTGGTCGCGTTCTGGAGCTGCACCGAAGTACCGAAGTCGGCTGTGGGCACCAAACGTGACACACAGAGACGAGGTGCGTCGGTAAGTGTGTCGACACAAAGTGCACTTAATGTCAGTGGTCGGTGAAGGGCGCACCGATCTTGGGCTGTCCAGTCTTTGTCAGCAGAACATTGGCCGCTTTCATGTCCCTATGGAGGAGCATGATCATCAGCCTGTGCTGGTGTGTGAGTGGTGTGCGAGGGGAGGAATGAACCTGTGAGCAATATTGATGGAATGGAGGTAGATGAGACCCTTGACAACCTCGCGCAGAATATACGCCATGTCCACTTCGCTGACCTTATCCTGTTGAATGTTCGTTTTCCAAAACAAAAACAAGTGTTAGGGTTAAGAAACGAAGCTGAGGGAAAGCGAAACCACAAAGAACGAAGAGGTTGTTGGGGGGGGGGGTTCAGTACGTGGCCAACTACGTTGAGGACGTCGGTGAGAGAGCCCATGTCGCACGACTCCATCATGATCTGGACATACATACACGCATGTGGAGGAAAATTTTCAGATCAGGAGCTGCACGTAGAAGCAGAGAAGCTCTTGGGCTGGGTACCCAGAGAGAGGAGTTTCGGAAGCACACGCCAAAGTAGGAAACGATCGACTCGCATCGACATTTCTTCAACACGCCGATCTCCTTGCGCAGCGTGTCGATGTCCTGTTGGTGGCATACGCGCCGGAAGGTTGTTAGGAACGTAACGCCGCGCAGGTGAACGAGGCGTGGGCACGTGCCTTTTCCGCGTCTTCGGCGAGCTCCTCGGGGATGGGAATACACTTGATGGCAAGGATGAAGCCCGTGTCCTTGTGCTCTGCTTTGTACACTTTGCCGTAGGCTCTGGTATGTGCGTGACGTGTGTGTGTCGTGGGTGAGACGGGGCGCGTTGCGGTGTGTGTGACGCGTGCTCGCGAGAAGCAATTTGGGGGGGAGCAGTACCCCTGACCAAGCTTGGCGATCAGTTTGAACTCGGACGCGGGATCGCTGCCCGTCCATTGGAAATCAAAATCGACGTGCAACTGCGCGACAACAATAACAACATCCATGTCAGTTGTGGATTACTGAGTCTGAAGAGAGCCAAGGCGTACGCGGTGTTGGGCTCCTGCCGGGGCGGAGATGATGATGGAGCCGCAGCTGGGCTTCTTGTCCTTGGAGGGCTTGGATTCGGGCTTCTTCTTTCTCGTCACCCGGAACTTCTTGCCGACAAAGGTCATCCGCTTTTCCTTGTTTTCCTCCTTCTGCCTCTCGCGCTCCTCCCTCTCCTTCGCTTCTCTCTCCTTCTCTCTTTCCTTCGCTTCTTTCTCTTTCTCTTTCTCTCTTTCCTTCTCCCTCTCTTTTTCCTTCTCCTTCTCCTTCTCTTTTTCCTTGTCGTGCTCTTCTTCTCGACCCGAGTTGGTCTTCTTCTCCTTGCTCCGCATCGTCCCCTGCCAAAATTTCTTCTTCTCCGGCTGCTGCTGAGTGGTGTCCTTCTCTTTCTTCTTCTTCGCGTCGTCCTTTTCCTTCTCCTCTCGCTCCTTCTCCTCCCTCTCTCGCTCCTTCTCTCTGTCTCTCTCGCTCTCGTCCGAGTCCCGCAACGCGTTCTCGACCGCGACACCGGCGGCGCCCATGCCCGGCGGGCCGGCCTCGAGCTTGCGCTCGAGCATGGCGTTGAGGTCGCTCGATCGAATGGTGGCCTGCACGTGGGACTTGACCAGGACCCGCTCCTCGGGCGCGGTCAGCACCGGCTTGGTCGCGCGCGGCGGCGGGGTCGGGCGCGAGCCGGCCGCGGAGTAGTGCGGCAAGCTCGGCAGAGACGACGACAGCGCGACCGGCGCGACGTTGCCCGGCGTCGAGAACGGCCGCACGAGGCGCTGGGCGTTGGCCAGAGACTCGCGAGTCGCGGGGCTGCCCACAGGGGGCAGCTGCGCCGAGGCTGGTCGGAGCAGCGGGGGCGGCGGTTCGCTGGAATGTGAGGAATCCGACCCAGTCGGGCTGACGGCGTGGTTGGCGAGCGGGGTCGACCCCGAGTGGTGCTGCAAGACGCTTAGGGGAAGCGGCGGGATCGGCGGCGGCCCGGTGCTGGCGCTGTCAACAAAGGAGCTCTGGGGGGCCGGCTCGGCGAGAGTCGGGGAGCGCATGGCGAGGGGCGGCGTGAGTGGAAAGTTGGTCGAGCGCATACGCGGGGAGAAGGGGATGTGGGGCTCCTCCTCGGTCTCGGCCTCCTCAGTGATCTCCTCGAACTCCCATTCGTCGTTGTCCATGTCGAGCGGCAGGCCCGGCACGCCGCCTTCGCTCGAATGGAGGCTGAGGGTGGTACCCTCGGTCGCTTCGCCCCACTCGGCGCCCTCGATGCCGATGTCCTCCTCGGCTTCTGGAGAATGTTGTCGACACAGTGCGTAGTGGTTAGTCGGTTAGCCACGTTGCCATGCAACAAGGGCAAAGCCGGCCGTGAGCCTGCGCACCTCGCCATTCGTCGACTGAGTCGGACTGGTAGAGCAGCGAGTCGGCCGCCGGGCCGCCGTTGGCGCACAGCGAATGACCGTCGGTCGTGGGAATGAGGCGCCCGTTGGCGTAGCCGCCGCTGCCGTTCGAATCGGCAGCGAGAGCGTCGGGGAAGGTCTCGGCTGAAGGAGGCGGTGGTGGAGGCGTCGACGGCGGCTGATCCTGCAGAGGCGGAAAGGAGGGCGCGGGCTGCGAAGGCGGAGGCGGAGCGGGAGTGGTCGGCGGCGTGGACAATGGTGCGTGAGCTGCGGAGAACGACGACGGCGATGAAGTCGACGACGACGACGACGACGAAGTCGATAATGAAGCGGATGATGATGAATATGAAGAGGAAGAGGATGAATTGGTGGAGGAAGCGGACGAGTGGTGGGAAGAAGAGGGCGAGCGATAGGTTGCCGGCATGGAGGCCATCAGGCCCGGCATCACCGAGACCGGCCGCGTGCGGGGAGGCGGGCGGGGCGGAGTGAACTTGCCGGCGCCCAGCTGGGAGGAGGTGAACACGGGCGAGGAGGGCATCGTCACGGACCCGCCGGCCGTGCTGACCGGCCGCGCTGGCGGCGGCGTGCCGCCGGCTCCGCTACTGTTGCCGGCCGCCGCGTGAAACGACGGCCGGGCGTGGTGCGGCAGCGAGCCAGGAGCGGTTTGGTTGAGGCCTCCGCCGGTCGGCGGCGCGGCCGATGGTCGGAGCCCTGGACCCAGCGGGGTGGCGCTGTTGGACTTCTCCAGCGCCGGTCTGCTGGTCGACGACCCGAGCGACTGGAGGCCGCCCACGAGTGACCCGGCTTTGCCGGGCGACTTGAGCGGCGGGTTTGGGTCGAAAGCCAACACCAGCCCGCCTGAACGAAAGGAGAAGAACGTTTCGTTTCAGCCGACACGCACATGACAACCACGTCGGGAGGAAGCGATACAGATCAAGAAAAAGAACGAAGACGGTCGCTGGAGGGGAGGGGGCGAAAGAGCGAAGACGACGAACAAAGAGCGAAAAATGAAAACGGATGTATGAAGGAGGGGGGGAGGGTTACGTGTGCCAGAGGAGGACGAGCCCAGGGAGGGGGACGAGGGGGACGAGGTCGAAGAGGTTTCCGAATCGGAGGGGGGCGTGTTTTTGCGTAGGGTACTTCTAGATGGGATGGGCGGGGGCACCCTCGTTGTCGCCATCTCTCGTGCGGGGCGCGTGCCTCAACAGCACAAAAGTGGTGAGACCACAGAGGTCCGAGAAGAAAAGGAAATGGTTGCTTTGGGTCTGCCTCTCTCCGTGGGAAGGGGGAGTAGAGACTCGAATCCCTTCTTTGGGGGCTGAGATGCGCGTGCCCGTGCCTTTCTCTTTGGTCCCGCCCGCCAGGGCTTGAAAACAATTAATAAAAGACCTAAATTATCTGGCTTTATTGTTATTGGTGCCGGAGAGAGTAGTGCCCGGCTTTTGTCGTTGCTGTTTTATTTGTAGTCGTGCGGCATGGTTATCCGTGTGGCATGGTTCAGCCGTCATTGCCCGGTGTGACACAGTGGGCACCACCCAAGCGAAATTGTCAAACACAGACCGGTGCGCCGTTGTCAGGTTTTGAGGCCAGAAAATTCTATCTTTTTTCCCATTTTCTCGCAGCTTTTTCTGTTCGCTGGCTGTGGCCGTTTGTTTTGTCATCGAAATCATCAGATACAGACAGAATCGAGTAGAGCGAAGATGGCGCGTCGAGGAAGAGGTTCGTCATCGCCTGGCCAGCAACGGCAGTAATATTAGGAAGTGGGAAGAGGCGAAAACATGGAAGCAGCAAGATGGACTAACACTTGATTTACCCCCTTTCCTAGATGATGGCAAATTCCAAGACACTCTGAAGGATGAGGACTTCGAAACGAGCAAGGGCGTGAAGGTGGTGTCCACGTTCGATGAGATGGGACTCAAGGAGCCTCTCCTTCGCGGCATCTACGGTTTCGGTTTCGAGAAGCCCTCGGCCATTCAGCAGCGTGCGATCGGCCAAGTGATCAAGGGTCGCGATGTCATCGCTCAGGCCCAGTCGGGCACGGGTAAGACGGCCACGTTCTCGATCAGCGCTCTCCAGCGCATCGACACCACCTCCAAGGAGCCGCAGGCCCTCATCCTGTCGCCCACCCGCGAGTTGGCCTCCCAGATCCAGAAGGTCGTCTACTCGCTCGGCAGCTTCATGAATGTCAAGTGCCACGTCTGCATCGGCGGCACTAACATCGGCGAGGACACCCGCAAGCTCGAGGCTGGCGCCCAGATTGTGAGCGGCACCCCCGGTCGCGTCTTCGGTACTTCTGCCCTCCCCCCAAATCTACGTCCAGAATTCCAATTTAATTTTCCCTCTATTTGTGATGGTCAGACATGATCCGCAGGCGCAGCTTGCGCACGAGGAGCATCAAGATGCTCATCCTCGACGAAGCTGACGAGATGCTGAGCCGAGGCTTCAAGGAACAGATCTACGACGTCTACCGGCATCTGCCTCCTGCCACTCAGGTCGTGCTGGTTTCGGCCACTCTGCCGCACGAGGTGCTGGAGATGACGACCAAATTCATGAACGATCCGATCAGAATTCTGGTCAAGCGCGATGAATTGACGCTCGAGGGCATCAAGCAGTTCTTCGTGGCCGTGGAGAAGGAGGAATGGAAGTTCGAGACCCTGTGTGATCTCTACGACACCCTCACGATCACGCAAGCCGTCATCTTCTGTAACACGAGGAGGAAGGTCGATTGGCTGACGGAGAAGATGCGCAAGGTGAACTTCACCGTCGTCGCCATGCACGGCGCGATGGAACAGAGCGAGCGCGACGAAATCATGACTCAATTCCGAGCTGGCGATGCGTACGCCCCCCCCCCAAACTTTCTCTTCCACTTCTCCGTTCTCTTTGCTCCTTTCCTTCTCTCTTTCTCTTGCATATGCCCCTTTCCTCTCGTTGCTGCCCGTCACAATTCTCACTTACGCTCTCTTCTGGCCTTGGCCTTGGCGCTCATGCTCTTTCGTGACAGGCGTGTGCTCATCACGACGGACATCTGGGCGCGAGGTATCGACGTGTCGCAGGTCTCGCTCGTCATCAACTACGATCTCCCCAACGATCGTGAGCTGTACCTCCACAGGATCGGCCGCAGCGGTCGTTTCGGACGCAAGGGCGTGGCCATCAACTTTGTAAAGAACGACGACATCCGTATCCTCCGCGACATCGAGCAGTTCTACTCGACGCAGATCGACGAGATGCCCATGAACGTGGCCGAGCTCATCTAAGCCACGGACCACGTATTGCCCTCGCCCTCTCTCCTCTCGTACTGCCCGCCGCTATTCCTCTCTGCTCTGTACCGTCCCAAGCACAAGCCACCAAACAACAAAACAAATAAACAACAACACAACCAACAAGCAGCAGCACCAAAACAAACTCAAGAACAAGGAAAGAAGAGAGAACTACACACAAGAAGGATGAGCAGAGGCACAGTATCGAGAACAGACGCGGCTCCGGCAACAACCAGCAAACAAGAAGTACAACCACCAATTACAGGGAGGAAGAAAATGGACAAGCAAGGCCTGTGGCCCAATGGAAAGGCGTCTGACTACGAATCAGGAGATTCTGGGTTCGACCCCCAGCAGGCCTGAAGCTTCTCTCTTTTGTTCTCCTTGCCCGTGGTGCGCGACCGGTTATCCACCAAACCAGATCGCCAGCAGGAGACACACAAGCAAGGTTTCATGGTGTAGTGGTATCACGTCTGCCTCACACGCAGTAGGTCCTGGGTTCGAACCCCAGTGAAACCAATCTTTTTGTCTTTTCTACTGGCAGCGATTTGGTGCAAAAAAAGTGGATGTTTTTGCAACAACTACACCACTATGGTCATGAAATTTTGCTGTGTGGTAACATCAAACTTGGTGTCCACACCACATGCCACTGCTGTAGAGGTTGTGTGAGGTAAGTCTGCATCCCAGACCACAAGGGTATGTGGGAGAGGTTGCAAAAAGCCTCCACCCCACATTTGCCACACAGGAGGATCCCTTGTGCAAGTGACACCAAGACCATTGCAAGGAACCCACACCATTTCCTTATACCTCAATTCTCCTCTCCATTCTCCCCAAGACCATCCCAGCTGATATGGCTGAGCCTACACACAAGTGCAAGTGCAACATCCAGGCAAACAGCTTAGGAATAAGCCCCCCCCACTCTGTGTGGTTTTGTGTGATACAGGGATATTTTGCAAGGTGTTTGCACGAATGTAAAGTGGCACATTGTCATGCTAGGCACATGCGTGTAATTCTGTCTCCTTCTAAGTCAACGAGGGACGGATGGCCGAGCGGTCTAAGGCGACAGTTTAAGGCACTGTTATCTTCGGATGCGTGGGTTCAAATCCCACTCCGTTCACTCCTCTCTTTTGTGACCAGCCGCCATTAAGGTATTTTTGTCAACCACCAGAAGGTGCACACACAGGGACTCTTTTAGCTGCTGTCTTTAAGGTGAGTTTTCCACACCTAAGGTAGGTGCATCAAATATTTTAAGGGCAGGAGACAGAAAAAAATGATTCATGCTCTTCAATAAAAGAAGCAAATGGGCTGAATCTTTATTGAAGACAATGGTTGGTGATGTGTCTCCTCCTGGGGCATGTTGCCAAGGACTCCCCAGTCTCCCAACAACCTGGGTACTGTGTGACCATTGTCATGAATTGGATGCTGTGAATATTAGCTTTGCCCCACTTGAAATGGCCCTGGCAAGCTCTTCCTTGATGAATGGGTGTTGCATCTTGAGGAACTTGCTGTTGTAGACCTTGGGAGAGTACCCTCCCCAAAGCATGTGAAAGTGGCCATGTGCAGTGGCATGACAGCTCCTTGTGGCTGGCAGAGTGCTTGGTGGTGACAAAGCACACCAGAGCAGCAACAGTCAACCTTGGGATCTTCTTGAGAGATGCTATGGTGGTGTTGGTTGGTCATGGGGTGATAAAGTAGTGTGGTGGTAGCATCAACTTGCCTGGTATTGTGCCATCCTCCTGCTCCTCTCTCTCTATTGGAGCACAAAGTGAAGTTGGCATTGGTACATTATAAAATCAAGTGGGCACATTCCCATTTGAGTCAAGGATAGAGCACCCAAATAGGGCTGTCCTACACCAAGGTGGAGAAAATGCACACCCACAAAAACATCCACTTTTTTTGCACCAAATCGCTGCCGGTAGAAAGAAAAGACAAAAAGATTGGTTTCACTGGGGTTCGAACCCAGGACCTACTGCGTGTGAGGCAGACGTGATACCACTACACCATGAAACCTTGCTTGTGTGTCTCCTGCTGGCGATCTGGTTTGGTGGATAACCGGTCGCGCACCTCCACCACCACCAACAGTGGCGCCAGCGCTGCGGTACAGACCCGCATCGTCCACTGGAACTTCAACAACGCCCTGGGCTCAGGGGTCGCCTACCCACTGCCCATCGCCTCCTCCTCCGGCTCTGGAAGCCTCACCAGCAACTTCGTCCCCGCCAATGTCGTGACCTTCACCGGCAATTCGATCAACCTCGTTTCTGGCGAGGTCGCAGGCCAAGATCTGGCGGTGCAAAGCAATGCCAACAACGGCCGCTATGTCGACTTCACCTTCAGCTCGGTGGGCTTCGTCGACATCACCCTCACGCTGGCCCTCCGCCGCACGGGCACCGGCTTCCCCTCGGTCGCCGTGCAGACCGACGGCGTCACGCGCGCCTCCATCGCGCCAGCGACCACCGGCACCTACGAATCGATGACCGTCAACCTGTCGGCCTACGCCGAGATCGCGGACAACGCTACGGCCGTCGTTCGCTTTCTGTTCACCGGTGCCACCGACGTGTCAGGCAACAACCGCATGGACAACGTACAGTTCCTCGGTACGGCCCTGCCGCCCTCGCCCTCGCCCTCGACCTCGCCCTCGCCCTCGCCCAGCGCCCTCGAGCACCTCCTCGCCCACGTCCTCGAGCACCTCTTCGCCCACGTCGTCGCCCTCGCCCTCATTCACCCCTTCGTCCACCCCCTCTCCCACGGCCTCGCCCTCGTCGTCTCCCACCTCCTCGCCCTCGTCGTCGCCCTCGCCCTCATCCACCCCCTCGTCCACCCCCTCTCCCACGGCCTCGCCCTCGTCGTCTCCCACCTCCTCGCCCTCGTCGTCGCCCTCGCCCTCGTCGTCGCCCTCGCCCTCGTCCACCCCCTCTCCCACGGCCTCGCCTACGTCGTCTCTCACCCCCTCGCCCTCGTCGTCGCCCCCGCCCTCGTCCACCCCCTCGTCCACCCCTCGTCCACGGCCTCGCCCACGTGGTCGCCCTCGGCCACGCCCTCACCCACTCAGTCGCCCACCAACTCGCCGACGCCATCCACCACTCCCTCGCGCACACCCTCGCCCACCAACACGCCGTCGCCCACCACATCGCCCACTGCAACCCCATCGTCCACAGCCACGCCCTCCTCATCGAGCACCACCCCGAGCCCGTCCGCGTCCCCTTCGCTCACCCCTTCGGGCTTGCCCTCGGCGTCTGCCAGCCCGTCGGCGGCCTCCGCCCTGGTGTGCCAGGCCGAGGTTCACAGCCCCTCGCGCGCCGAGCTCGACGACCTCAAGTATGTACGCTCGCTACTCTCCGTCAACCTGCCCGGCCGACCGCGCCACGTCACCGCCCTGGGCCTGCGCAATCGGGTGGCGGCGTGCCAGTCCGACGTCGACCAGCTCTCGCTGGACGCGGACCTCGAGGCCCGGCGGGCGAGCGCGGCCGATCCGGCCACCATTCGCGCGCGGTTGCGCGTGATCGACATGGCATGCCCGGTGGTGAGCAGCTACAACGAGCTGAGCTTCACTGGCACCGCAGCCGAGGCCGTGCGCCACTGGAGCGCCCCTGAGTTCGCCGACGTGCTCGACCGGGCCACGCACTTTGGTTTGGGCGTGTGGCAGCTACAGGAGCAGCATGCAACGACGAGCAAAGGCAAGCAGGTGTCCACGTTCCTGATGTCGGTGGTGGAGGTGACCAACAAGTTGAGCGAGTGCCCTCCCATCGAGCTGCCTGCAGCATACCAGACCCCAACAGTGTGATAGGAATAGATGTCGTAAGTTGGGGAGAATTTCACTTTTAAAGCAGTAATGCTATGGTTTGACCATCGGGTGGGTGCCTTCTTCTCGGTGGCCTTTTGATAAACGAACAAGGGTGGCTAGCAAGGCGAGGGGGGGGGTTTAGTCGGAGTCCTCCTCCAGCTCCTGCTCACACAGTCGCTCCTGTGCCGCCACGGAGCGCTGAGACGATGACCTTGCCACTGACTGGCAGGGTGGCCAGCCAATCAACGGCAGCTTGGGTTCACAGGAGCTGGCGCAGTTGGCTGGTCATGTACACCAGGAGACTGACTGCTCATGTGACCATCAACTACCCAAGCAGGTCCAAGGTACAGCTTGAGTCTGCCCTGTCACTGGGGCAAGATTTGGCAAGCTGGGCAGCCTGAGGAGCTGAGCTGCACAGAACCAGCCAGAGCATCTCCACCTCTTTCAGCACGGGCAAGGAGAACAAAAGAGAGAAGCTTCAGGCCTGCTGGGGGTCGAACCCAGAATCTCCTGATTCGTAGTCAGACGCCTTTCCATTGGGCCACAGGCCTTGCTTGTCCATTTAATTCCTTGCTGTGCTCCTTGTGTGCTGGTTGTTGCCGGAGCCGCGTCTGTTCTCGATACTGTTACTCTGGAATTCCTTCCTCCCTGTAATTGGTGGTTGTACTCCTTGTTTGCTGGTAGTTGCTGGAGCTGATCAGGTATCGATACCTGCTCCTCCTTCTTGTGTGTCGTTTTCTCTTGCTGAGCGTGTTCTTGCTTGTCTATTTCTGCCTTTCTTGTCCTCCTCGTGTGCTTGTTGCTGGCAGTGTTGCTGTGCTGCTTGTGCATCACCGCTCTGGTGGCGTCCTGGCGAACTCTGATTGTATGTGCACGCGGGTCCTTGTTTAGTGTAAGGTTTGTATTGTCAAAAAAAGGGTGTTCGCCTGGTGCGGCCCTAGTCGTAGGGATGGTATCGTCGGTCCCCGCCGCCGTGGCGAGAGCGGTCGCGGTCCCTGTCGCGGTCCCTGTCACGGCTGCTACGATCAGAGCGGTCGCGGTCCCTGTCGCGGTCCCTATCGCGGCTGCTTCGGTCGCGGTCTCTCCTATCACGGTCGCGGTCGCGGTCTCTGTCTCGATCGTCGCGGCGTCGCCTGTCACGGTCGCGATCCCTCTCGCGGCTCCTGTCGCGGTCTCTCCTGTCCCTGTCACGATCGCGCCTGCACCAGCACAAATCAACAAACCCAATTAATTCAATTAATCACATTAAATAATAATAATCCTAAGCAGGCACCTGTCCCGGTCATCTCGGTCGCGGTCGCGATCTCTTTCGCGCGACGAATGCCTGTGAACCCCGTAGGACGGCGATATGGCCACCGAGGCGACGGTGGGCATCTCCGAGGGCGGCAGCGGCGGCGGAGTGGAGGAGGGCAGGGGTGGAGTAGTAAAGGGCGGTGGCGGAGGTGGCGGTGTGGACGGCGGGGGCGGAGGTGGGGCGGAAGTCGTCGACGACGGCGGCGGGGGCGGTGGTGGCTGCGCGCTCTGTTCGGCCCCATTCCCCGGAGGCAGGGGCGGAGGTGTGAACGATGGCAATGGTGGCGGCGCTCTTTCGTTCTCCTGATCAGATGTCTAAGCAGGCGACAGACAGCGTGTCAGTCTTTTCAACACACAACAACCAAAGATCACTTGAACAGGGCGCACCCCGTAGTTCTGGTCGTAGGTTCGCATGTCGGTCTGATCGCCTTCGTGCTGGGCACCGTTCACATTGGCCGACACGGCCCCCATGGCGTTGCTGTTGCTGTCGTACAGGTCCAATATCTGCCCACTGGCGGCTGGAGGGGAAGAGAAGAGCCGCACACGCGCGGATGACGTCAGCGTCAGGGATCGCACACAGTACGGGGAGACTGGAAAGGGGTCGTCGTGGGGGGGGGATGGGTACCTTCCACGTCTTCGATCTTGATGTCAAGCAGCTCCCACCAGGGGCTGGGCAGCTCATAGGCCAGCATCTTGGAAGCCAAATAAATCGCTGCTGTTGCTATCAACTGCGGCTTGTAGTGCAAGCACAGGGTCGTTCGCAAACTGAAGTAAAGCAGAGAGTTGAGATAGAGACCAGGGAGAGAGTCGCATTGGGGCGAACGGACGGAGTGCGCACCTGTCGTTGACAAAATTCCATGCGGTCTGGGCCAAGTTTCGGTTGCCTGTAGAGCCGGAGAGGAGAAAAGCGAGTGAGTAAGTGAACATGTGAACTGTTGGCGATGTAGAGCGGAACTGTTCGGTTGTGGGGCCGTACCGTTGATCTTTTTTACAAAGTTGAGGATGTATTTATAGGGATGCTCGACGGTCAGATCGAAGGCGATGGTCTGCAACAGAACCCGCTCCAGCTGAAGCACTTTCTCCTTGAGCTCCAGCGACTCCTGCACGAACAACGCGTGTGCGGCACCACACAAACATTCATCGACGATCGTCAGAGGACCACGCACACACACTGTCGTAGTGAGCAAAGTGCAGGGGGTCGGTGCGTACGGGGCTCTGCGGCTTGAGGGGCTCCTTGCGTTGGATCTCGTAGGTGACCGCGATGACGTCACGCAGCTTCTTGGGCGTCTCCTCCACTTTGCCCGCCAGGAACAGACACGTCGTGGCGATGAGCTGCCGCAGCCCCACCGCAAAAGGTTAGTCGCTACATGCAGGCCGCTGGTGGATTAGATCCGAGAGGTGAGGAGGAGGCAGGCTTACGTGGCGCTCATATTCCTTCATCGATCGTCGCGAGTAGAATTTGTGGAAGAAGAAGATGGCTGTCGCAATCGACAACTGAGGCCTTGGGAAATAATTGGGGAGATGAGTGGAATTCAAGACAAAATTAAGTAAACTGGATGGCCAGAGTGTACAGCTTGAGCTTGATGCCGGCCTGCTGCAGGAAGTCACAGGTCTCTCGTCTGTGACGAATTTCGAGCTGGGGCGGAACGCCATCGCGTACCGAGGGAGAATCGGCCACAGGTGGGCGCGATGAACCCGAAGAGCCTCGCATAGAGGCTGTCATCGACGCGGGGAAGGGGGACGATGCCGTTGTCGTACCTCCACCTGACGCGCTGCTCTCCATGGTGTGTTGATTTTCAGAAAGCTTATTCTTCTTTCTTTCAATTTCTTTTTTTTTTGATCTTTTTCCTCTGCGGGAGTCTTATTCGGACGGGGTGAAGGTGAGGCGAGCGCTGCACCGCACCACCACAACTTGACCCAGGCTTCAGAGTGGCATGGAGGCAAACATAAAAAAACAACATTAAAAGGTATAAGCTTCAGGCCTGCTGGGGGTCGAACCCAGAATCTCCTGATTCGTAGTCAGACGCCTTTCCATTGGGCCACAGGCCTTGCTTGTCCCTTTCATTCCTCTCTGTGCTCCTTGTGTGCTCTTACTGCGATTTTCCCGGAGTGCCCGTGGTGCTAGACGGAAGCGGGGTTGGGTGGAGTGTGCCACACCTCCTCGCCCCGTTGCAACTCGCATTCAGGCGAACTCGGTGGCTAGCAAACGAAGGTTCAAAAAGATGTTCCGCTGCCGGGAATCGAACCCGGGGCGCATGGGTGAGAACCATAAATGTTACCGACTACACCACAGCGGATTGGTTGCAGGGCAAACGGCATTGAGCGCCTCGGAGATCCCGTGTTGTTGCACTAACTTTCGAGCCGTGTGGAGTCAGCTTTTTGTTTGCCCAGATGCAACAGGAACACGACCCTGGACTTTGGCACTACGAAGGGAAGGTGCGGCAGCCTCGGGTGACCGCAGGCCAACAGCAGAGCAGCCTTGCCTTTGCCGTGCCTTCTTCCTCCTTCCAGACGCAAGAGCAACAGCCTTGCCACCTTGCAGCGTGGGTCGTTGGGCGAGACGTACTCCCATCCCCATTATTTACTGAACGCCCTCTGCTTATCCTCGTTCCTATTTGTCTGGTGCGCTCAGGTGTTTGTCTTCACGCTTGGTGCTAGCGCGGAGGTGCCTCCAACCGTCTTGTTGCATACGACTTGCCCTGAGGTACCATACGATCACCTGCTTTGTTGCATTGTGGCGTGCTAGTTATCTCAACCCTTGCGGCCCAATCAGGAAAAAGAAACGCTGAAGACGTGCACCTGGGCTGCTGGCAATCAGTTCCAGCTTGCCGTGGCCGGCCGCCTGGGCGTTATCCGTGTCTTCGGGGTCTATGAGGGGCTTCATGTCCTCCAGAACCTGGTTGGTGCGGGAGAATCTACACCCCCCCCCAATCAGCTCCACCACGCTAAACGAGTGGACCAGGTCACACGGGCTCTGTGAACCACCTGTGCACCAAGCCTGACGACCCGGACATCATTTTGTCTGCCTCCACAGATGGTTCTGTCCGAATGTGGAACATCTGGTATGTCTCTTGCGTTATGAGGAACAAGAGCTAACAACCTTGAGCACAGCACAGGGAAATGCCTTGCCATCTACAGTGGTGCGCTCCAGGGTCACCGTGAGCCAGCCACAGCATGTGTACACATCCCTTCAAGTTTTTCGTCGTAGTGAAATAACAAGTGACTGACAACTCTCAAGTCCTTTCACATCAGTGGCCAGGTTTTTGCCAGTGGTGGTGGTGAGGCAATGCCCCTCATATGGAACCTTTCCCACCTCAACAGCAAGGGTTCAGACCTTGCCAGCAACATCTTTAGAATGTACATTCCCCTTCAATGATCTATCAATTCAAAAACTAAAGCAGTGCACAGACCTGATTGGAGCACCAAGAAGGCTCATGCACACATGATTGAAGGCATCATGTGGTATGGTATGTGGTTATTATCCCATGTTTTGCACCACAGATCATTTTCTGATGGTGCTCTTTGTGTTAGGTAACTCAGTTTTGTCTAAAGCAGTTGGTGAGCCACCTAAATTATGGTTTCTTATCCCAGTATGTATAAACCAGCTCCCTACTGGTAGAATTTTGTTCTGATTGTCAACTCTCAGCTGGCTGGGAGTGAAGACAACCTGCTGCTGGAACCTCATGAGCCAACCAACCTTGTGCCTTCAAGACCCTCATTTGTGCGTACCTATGATGGAATGCCACTGCAGGACACCTTCTCTACAGTGGCCATGGACCAGGACAAGCACTACCTTGCTGTGGGTTTGTTCCCTTTGCTTTAATTCTGATCTTTAACTTAATTCTGATTCTCATCTACAACAGGCTCCCCCAATGGTGTGGTCTATGTCTGGCTGGTTGACCACCCTCACCAGCCCATTGCTGCACTCATGCCCTTCTCAACATCCAAAAAACAGGCCATCCCAACCATCACTGCTGTGGCCTTCAGTCCAGATGGCAGGAGCTTGCTTGCTGCCACCAGCAAAGGGCAACTCCACCACTGGCACAGGGTTGAGCAAGCCCAATAAAGCCTGTCACCTGCAAACAGCTGGAAGACTCCTCCACTGTCATCCTTTACAAGCCTCTTTTATAAAAAGTAGTTTACAGCACTTCATTTGTGGCACAGGGATTGAGGAGGGATGTAGGGCAAAGGACACATAACAGGGTTGGTGGGCTCCATTGACTTGTCACTGCTGGTGTTTGTTTTGGTCTGCTGTTGCTTGTGCTGTTGGTAGGCAAGGGAGACCAGCTTCAAGACCTCCTTCATTGGCGTGTTGGGATCCTCCTGTTTGATTTGTGCATAGTTTTCCTGAAAATCTCCAACTCAATCATGAAGCATTGTTGCTCACACAACACATACATGACACCACAGTACCAATGCATGAACACATCATGTGGGGCAATCATAGGGTGACACTCCAAGTCAGTCAATATCAAAACAAAGCACTGTGGCAAGTATGGAGTGTCCAGGTTGGGATACACCTTCTCAGCCTTTCACGCCCTGTGATACAAGGACTAGGATGAGCACACACACAAGGGGGGCAAGTGATCAGAGCAGTGGTGTGTGGCGCTGCTGTGGTACCACTTGAAGAACAGCAGGCTGTGTGGAGGGTTGAATGTGTTGTCAAGCAGCCAGGCAGTGGCATGGCAGAGCTTGTGGCACAGTGTGTTGCACAGTTGCTTGTACTTGGTCAGCACCTTCACCAAGAGCTTGATTGCTGCGCTCTGCTCTCCCATGCACTGCAAGAACAACAGATAAGTGTAAGCACCAAGCATGTGTTGCATGCCATGGCACATGCCACACACACACCTTGCAGATGGTCCATCCCACAGTCTTGGTCAGCCAAGGGGCCCACATGATCAACATATCAGTGGGCAGCTGATCACCAAAGATTTGCTTGTTGAACAGATGTGCTGTCTGCTCCCTTCTGTTTCTGAAAGTTGACTGCTTACCACTGCACATGCACATGCACATGCATGACAGAACACACAATCACACATGTCAGATTGAGCAGACAGCAAGGGCCAGTGGCTGGCAACTTCCTCGAGTTGCCTGGAGTGATGTTCTCCTTGTTGGCTGCAGGTTGCCTTGGGGTGGTGGGAGAAGGCATGGCAATCATGGTGCCCTTGGTTGTTTGGACAAAGGGCATTGTGGGTGTGGCCACCATGCTCAAACCTGAGGGAGGTGTGTGCACCATGGACGTCAAGATGTGATCATTGCTGTCTGAGCTGTCATTGTGGTCATCACCCTCTGTACTCTTGCTCTTGCTCTCACTGGACTCCTGGCTTGGACACTGCTGCTGTTTCTTCTTTCTGGTTTTCTCAAGTGCTTCCTTCTTCCACTTCAGCTCCTCCATCTTTCATTCCAGCTCCCTCTTTGCATTTTCTTGGCTCCTCTTTGTGTCCACATCACTTGAATGGTTGGCATCACCTTGGTGACTTGGCTTGTTGGCGGCTCTGTGGCTGGCTGGCTGGCTTTGGTTTGTGTTGTTGTTGGCATGAGTCATGGCAGGCTGTGTGTACTTGATTGATGCCATCACACCTGTCTTGGCGTACCATGGTGGTGACACTGTCTTATTCTCCTGTTTGTTCTTTGTTTCCAGCTTCTTTGTCATGGTGGGCACTGCAGTGTCATCACTCTTGCTCTCACTCACTTTGCTCTCTTGATTGCTTTTGTTCTTGATGTTGCTGCCTTCATTTTCCAGGCTGAGGCTGAATTGAGGAGCTTGTCATTGTTCTTGGGCTTGGGGGCTGATTTGGGGCTTGCATGCTGTGCAGAGTGGCTGCCTTCTTGTTTCAGCCTCCACACCTGGCTGGTGTGGGCTTGCAGCCTCTTGCCACTGATCTTGACACTGTTGCTGCCCTTGTTGCTGTCACTGTCCCCATTGCAGCACTTTGCCTGATTGTGCTTCTTTGTCTTCTTCATTGGCATCAGCCTTACTTGCTTGTGAGCCTGAATCTTCTTCTGGAGTCTATCAAGTTGCTTCTTCCTCTCTTCCACCTTGGGTTGCTTGCTCTTTGTGCACACACTCATCTCCTCCTCCTCCACCTCATCATCCTCTTCTGCTTTGCTGGTGCTTGACTCAGAAGGTGAGTGTCTTGACCTGCAGCTGACACTCTTACCAGCCCTCTTCACCTCCTCTGCCACCTCCTCCTCACTCTCCTCCTGTTTGGACTTGGCCTGGCTGCATTTGTTGGTGAACTGGCTCTTGTCTTTGTCTTTGGCTTCATCCTCTTTGTCCTCCTCCACATCAGCACTGATGTTGCTATCCTCTGCTCTGACAACTTTGTTGTTCTTGTCATCATTGTCATCATTGTCCTCACTAACTGGCTTATGCTCATACTCACTCTCACAGACTTGCACCTCACCTTCAACATTTTCTTCACCTCCCTTTTCTTCAGGTGAGGCATCATCAACAGCCTCTTCTGCCACCTCATAGCTGTGCACTGCCTCCAAACTTGTGGTCATTTGAAATGAGAGGTCACAAATGACTGTGGGATTTTTGTTGTGCTAAAATCATGTGAGATTTGACATTTTTGATTTACAGGTCAGTTTTGAAGATTTTGATCTGCATGTGTGATTTTGACATGCTAGACTGCTGCTTATAAGTGATATTGAGATAAAAATTCACTTTTTGTCCAGTTAAATCCCAGCAGCCGTGATTTTTCCTTTTATGGTTCTGTGCGCCAGCCGTGCAGGAAAGGACCGAAAAAAACGTGCGTAGTCATCACGTACGCGTACACAATAAAGTAAGTGTACCAAAACATGTACATGATAGAAATTGGTCATTCCAGAGCTTGACTGATGGCCCAGTTACAGCATCATATCTCTCATTATGATGGTATTTTAATCTGCCATTTCTCAAGATGCTCCCAATTTTGTCTTGCTATTCTTAAAATAAAACTATTTTTGAGTTGTTAAAAGTATTTTTATGAGCTTAAACTCACAAACAAAATCACTTTTCAAAATGACTGGACCTCTCATTTCAAATGACCACAAGTTTCCACCTCTTCTTATATATGAATCCACAGCTGGGTTTGCTGCCTCCCCAAGATCCACTGGTCATCATTCTCCCTCCTCAGCCAGAAGCTCTTTGTCCTCTGTTTCTGAGCTGATGTCCTCCTCCTCCAGCTCCTCCTTGGCTGCTTTGTCCTCTGATGGAACATCAATGCTGGCTTCAACATCTTTGTCAGCTTGCTCAACACCAGCAGGGACATTGATGTCAGCAGGGCAGCTCAAGGCATGAGATGAGCTCTGCAGTGCAACATTGGATGCATTGATAGGCTTGGGAGAGTTAAGGAGGTTGAGGGCCTTGAGCCTGTAGATCACCAGTGATGCCAGATCTTCCACTTCTTTGCCATCCAAGTCACTGTCATCATCTTCCTCCTCTTCTTCCTGGTACTCCTCCTGCCCATCCATGAGTTCATCTTCCTCAACCACCACATCTTCCTTAACTTCCTCAACATCCTTGCTGTCTTCTGCCACTTTGTCCACATGATGGTTGCTCAGCTCTTCCAAAGAGGCACTGTCATCATCTTCCTCCTCTTTGTCCTCAACAATTGGCATGGCCTTACAGCCCTTGTGCGCCTCTATCACCTTACATTTGCAAATGATCTCCTTCTTCTCTATTTCATCCTCTTCCTCCTCATTGGATTACCCTTCACTGGTGCTCACACTCTTGCACTTCATCATTTTTGACTGTTTCTTCTTCTCTGCCAGTCTCTCTTCCAAGTCCTAGTGCTTGGCGCTCCAGGCAGCCTTTGGCCTCTTCATCCTCACTGCCTTCTCCCTCTGCTTGTCATTGTCATTGTCATTGGAATTGTCATTGTGGCTGGTGGCACTCTGGGTGGACTTGATGTGGTGGCCTCTGGGTGCTGAGGCAGGTGTGGGCTGGAAGGCAAGTGGACGTCTGAGAGCATGCTTCTGTGAGGAAGGTGTTGGCATGGGCGTCATCAGCACATTGTCATTGACCTCATTGCAGTCTTGATGCTGGTCCTTCTTGGAATGACACAGCAGTGTCTTCAGCTTGAGGCCCTGCTGATGAGTGGACAAGAACAGGGTGTGCTTGTATGGTACTGTCAGTTCAGATTGTCACCTGGATTGTGTTGATCTCGACCCTGCTCAGATCTGCCTCAGACAAATCTGAACTCCAACTTGGCGCCAAAACCTCAACGGCAACCTCTTTGCAACAGGAAATTTGAACAGAAATTTCATTTCCTTGTGTAGAGGCACAGGAAGCGCAGCAGGCAACGACCTCTCTACATAGCCAGCGACAGAGAAGCCACAGCTCAACAGCAGTCACGCGTCAAGAGCAACATGAGCATGTGGAACGCTCTGGCGTCGGCAGCCACAACGTCGGAGGTTCAGACTGAGCACGCAGGGCTGCCTTCGGGAGGGAGTCTGCCAGCCATCTCTGCGGTGGTTTCCTCGCTTCGAGCGATGGTCTCTGCAGCCCCAGCCAAACGTACGCGATCACCCTCTACTCGGAAGAGAAAGAAGAGCCAAGAAGAGAGCCACTCGCAGAAGTCAAAGGAGAAATCGACAAAGAAGAACAAGTCGGAGAGGAGCAAGAGGAGACAGAAGAGGGCAACGAAAGCAACCAGGAAAGAAAAGAAGGAGAAGAATAAGAAGGAGATAGAGGAGCGCCCAAAGCCAGCAGAGAACGAGGAACGGACGGTGGAGACCAGCACAGCCCCGAGCATCGGCGAGGTCGCCAACAACAAGCTGCTCGCGCCACAGGCGCAGGGCAGTGAACTGAGCGAGGCGACTCTGGCCCTCATGGACTCTTCTGAGCCACTCGACGGCGACATGTGGGAGGAGGTGGACGAATCCGTCCTGCTCCAGGACTTCCTCGAAGCCGATTCTTCTTGGCCCGGCGACGATCACAGCCTGATCCCGTCGGAGCTGTCGGATGAGGCCGGAACGCAGGAGCTCCTCACTTCCAACTCCCTGGAGACCGACAGCAAGCACGTAGTGGCCTCAGTTGCTGCCCCTGCGGGATCGAGCCAGGCCGGTCTCCACGGCGCTCCTCAGCAAAAGAGAAAGGCTGCCCAGAAGTTTAAGCCCCACGAGCTCGACACCCTGAAGGCGTTCTTCCTGGTCGATCCCCTGCCTTCCCACTCCGCCAAGAAGACACTCGCAGATCAGATGGGGACCAGTACAGTGCGCATATCGACATGGTACGCCGTAAGCTTGGTTGGGGCAACTCTTGGCGACTCGACACTGATTCCAACGACATCGAGCAGGTTCTCGCGCCGACGATATAATCAACGACTCAGTCAGCGACTTCAGCAGAGCATCCAGTCCAGCGCTGTCGCCTCAAAATCAGAGAACGACGACGGCGACAGCTTGACCGAGGCACGTACCCGCAAAGCTCCTCTAGCAGAAGGCCACTGTTCACCTCCAGCTATAATGACAGATCGAACTCGAAGAGAGTGAGCTCGCCTCCATACTCGGCGATTCTGCCTGCCAACCACTGCCGCCTCCCAAGCCAGCCAGGTACACTAATCCAACCACTTCACCGACCATGCTAGAGCTGAGTACTGATATGGGGGTGTACAGGGGAAGGAAGCCTAACCCCGACCGTGAGCGAGAGGGGTGGCACAGCTGCGCTAGCGACTGTGGCTCTCCTTCAAGCGACGAGGGCACGGAGATGTTCCAATGCGACGCATGCCAGCGGTGGTTCCACCTCAAGTGCCAGGGAACGGCCAAGAGCGAAGTCCAGCCCGGCGTTCTGTTCTTCTGCCGCGCATGTGAGCGCAACCGCGCCGGTCCGTGACCGTTCACCTTTCACCTACACTCTTCCTCCGCTCGCCCTTTCATTCTCCCCAACGATCAGTCGGAGCTGCATCTCCCAGTAGGGAACGCGCCAAGTCTCGTATCTTCATTTTTCAGTTCTTTCGTTTTCGTTTTCTTCTTCTTTCTTCTCTTTTTGTGCCGCAAGCCATGTGTCCACGTTCGACCTTACTCCTCCAGGCCGCGCTGTGCGTGGTTCTGGCTCTCGCCTTCAGCGGCGGAGTCACACGCGTCGAGGCTGCCGACAACATCGCACTGCAGTGGTACGAACTGCAGGACCGTGTCCTCTTCGCGCCTCTCGGCTCTGGTCCCGTCCGCGGACCCAACCGAGTACGCAACCCCACCCCCCTTTCTTTTTTGCGATTATAACAGTTTATTTTAATCAAAATAAAAAATAAAAATTGGCGTGGTCACGACAAAAGGCGACAGCCGTGGGCCAGTCGCGGGCCATCTTCCTGCTGACTTCGGCCGTCTACGATGCCTGGGCGGTCTACGACTCCAAGGTACGTGGGCACCGGTGTGTTGAGCGTGTATTTGGGGACTGTGACGGGAGTTGAGCGCAATGCTTTCGCTTCGGCGCAGGCCATTCCGTCCACGTACAGGTACGAGCAGAGCAAGGTCCCGCGCATGCGGGGCAGCAGCGCCGACATCAACAAGGCCATCTCCTACGCCGCCTACCGCCTCTTTGAATTCATGCATGTCGTACGCACCCTCACCCTCACCTCCACCGCCAACGAAACGCGCCCATTGCCGCGTGACGCACAGGTTTCGCGCATACATTCGTGCGGCGCGCCTGACGGTTGGTTGACTGTTTGCAGGAGGAGCCTCTAGTCCTGGAGGCGGCCAAGGCCAAGCTTCAATCGCTGGGCTATGATCCGGCAGTCAACGGTACCGACACCAAGACGCCGGCTGGGTACGCGCCTTCATTTCTCTTACTCCCGCGAAATTCTCTAACGCTCTCCGTTTACGCAACTCACAAACGACACATGTGACACACACGACGCGCGACACACGGCACACGACACACGACACACGACGATGTCTAGCGTGGGTAACTTTCTGGCGGCACGCATTATCGGGGCGGCGAGACTCGACGGCACCAACTCGGAGGGCGATCACCCCGGATCAATCCATCCCAATGAGCCCTACGCCGACTACAGGCACGCGCCTGGCCAGATACACGGACTCGTGACGGCCCCTACTTACCCGTGAATTCGCGTGTTGTGCCGTGTTGTGTTGTGTTGTGTTGTTGTGTGGTGTGCGTGTGCGTGTGTTTTTTGACGCAGCAACTACCAGCCGATGAATGCGCCCAAGTCGCTCGAAGAGATCAAGAACGATCCCTGCAAGGGCATAAATTCGCTCGACCACTGGACGCCGCTCAAGGAAGACGACGGTACCGTGCAGGAGTTCAACGTCCCCTACATGCCCTTTGTCACCCCCTTCGCTCTCAACAGGCAATCCCCCCTCTCCTCTTCTCTTTCGCTCTTTATGTCACTCTTCGCTCTTTCTTTTGTTCCCCTTTGCTGACGTCCCGTAATCGGGCAATGACAGTGCGACGGAGGTGGTGATGCCCGGCCCGCCGATGCCCAACACCGCTCGCGAGGCCGAGTTCCGCCAGCAGTTCTTTGACTTGTTCGCCTACAGCGCCAACCTGACCGACGTACAGAAAGTCGACGCCGAGTTTTGGGTACTCGTCGGCAGGTCCACTCTTTCTCTCTTTTTCTTTCATTCCCGCACTAATCACCTGCCGGCGGTTTTGGGGAGCGCAGGCCTACGCCTCGGGCTCCGAGCTGTTCTACAAGATCACCTTTGACTCCGCGCGCAATCTCAAGCTCTCGCTTCCCGACACCGTGAAGCTGCTCTTCGCCCAAGGTGCGCAGCCAGTTGGCCAATGACCGCCTGTCTCGGTAAAATCGAAGTTGTTGATTGGTTCGTTGGTGCCGTGGTGGGTCAGGCGTGGCTGTGTGGGACGCGTCGGTGTCGTGCTGGACCTACAAGCGGATCTACACCTCGGGCAGGCCGACCACGGTCATTCCGTGCCTCTTCGCCAACACCACGGCCGAGGCGTGGATGGGTCCCTATCAGGGCCGCGGCCTCATCAACGGCAGCCACTGGCAGCCCTACATCGCCACCCCGCCCTTCTCCGAGTACCCCTCTGGTATTATTATATTGTTTTTTATTTTTTATTTTTATATTTATATTAAATATAAAAATATAGAAATGAGTGCTGACCTGAACTGCGCAGGCCACAGCACCTTCACGGCGGCATCGGCGGTCGTGCTGCAGCGTTTCCTCAAGTCGGACGTGTACCACGGCAATCCCGTGGTGGTGCCCGAGGGCGCGTCGTTCAGGGAGCCCAAGATCACCAACACCAGCGACCCGCGCTACATCGCCGGCGTCACCGACAAGCCCAACACCGGACCAGGCACGCCCGGCTACGTGCCCGCCACCAACATCACCCTCACGTACGAGCACGACACGCGACACACACGACACGCGGCACTCGACACACACTGACTTGCGGCGACACAGTTGGAAGACCTACTCGGAGGCGGCGGTGGCGGCCGGCGAGAGCAGGATCCACGCTGGGTTCCACATCAAGTCGGGCAACGAGGACGCCCTCGCCGCCGGCTCTGAGATCGGCGAGAAGGTGTGGCTCGTATGCACCTCGCTCTGGGACCCGCCCGCCAGCAGCAGCCAAGGTACACAGAAATTAACAAATGCCACCACACTTTTTGCTGACGGTCGTGTGTGCCATTGTGTCGTGTCTGTGGTGACTACGACGATGACGCAATGCCGCAGGGTCCAAGAACAGCGGTGACGACGACGTGGGCGGCAAGATCGCGGGGGCGGTGATCGGTTCGATCGTGGGCACGCTGATCGTGTCGGCCCTCGTCGTCGTCGCCGTGCTCTACATCCGCAACAAGGGGAAGCACGGCCACCGCGGTTACTCCTCCGACTACGTCGCCTACAGCTCCTAGAGCTACATTCCTTCCCCCAGTTTGTTGCCAGGAATGTAGAGCGTGCACGGCGTACTACACGTATGCATAACATAAATAGTTGTGTGCAGGTCGGGGTGGGTCATGGTTCGTGCTTCCTGGGAAAGAAGGCGACCGGGTGGTCGCGGTAGTGGTCGTAGGCGGCCTGCAGTTCGGCGATGCGGGCGAGGTTGTAGCGATGCGGGGCGAAGATGCCTTCGTTACCCACCCGCGTGCCTGTGTCCTGCGTCTCCTTCTCGCCGTAGAGCGCGAGCAGCCGCTTCTTGGTCCGCTGGAACACTCTGGACACAGCTCGTGCCACGTCAGCAGACCGCACACGCACCGCCGCACACACGCACACACGACACATGGGGATGATGACGCACTCGTCGGGCAAGTCCAGGTCGTCGGCGTACTTGAAGCCGAGATTGGCGACGGTGCGCCAGTTGATCTGCTCCAGTGGGTCGTACAGGACCTGGCGCGCCTCCCACCATCGCAGCGCCTGCTGCTCCTGCTTGGCCGTGGGGTGGACCGAGAGGTGCTCGCCGCCGCACGACGACGCCTGGGTCTCGCTGGCGTCGTCGCCCGCGTCGCGATCGACGCTGCCCGCGCTCTCCGGTGGCTCAGCGACCACTTCGGCGGCGGCCTCGGCTGGCGGGGCGTCGAGGTGTGTGTCGGTGTCTCCGCCGGTGGCCTTGCGCTGTTCGCCGATGGCTGAGGCGAGTCGCGCCTGCCTCTCGCGGGTCTTCTGGCGGCTGGTCGGGCTACTCTCCCGCACTGCCCTGCGCTTGGCCTCCTCGTGCTCCATGACCTGCAAGAACTGGCCCAGGAAGCCCTGGGCCTTGGCCACCATCTGCTCGCGCACGTCGCGCGGCAGTCGCCTGATCTCTTTTTTGACCCGCCGCCGCTGTGGAGAGGCGAGCGGGACGTCAGCGTTGATTGAGAAGAAAAGAAAGCTCGACGACGAGGAGGAATATACCTCTTGCGACTGCCGGTGGAGCTGTTCGAGGAACACGCGCAGCGGCAGTTCGCTCGTGGCCACACTCGACGACGAAGATGATGATGACGACGACGATGATGTTGAAGATGAAGATGAAGATGAAGATGAAGGAGAGGATGGAGAGGAAAAAGGTATGGAGAGGGCTGGGTCGGCGTATTCGTGGTCGTCCATGTAGTGGGCCTGGTCGCAGAGATCCCACTCCACGTCACCGCCGTCGTCCGGCCAAAACATGTTGGCTGCGCGCATGGAGAGTACATCGGGCGCGCCGAAGAGGAGCGATTCGAGCTGCTCCTCCTTCTTGGGCAGCTCCGTAGGAAACGATTCGAGCAACGACCTGTGCCGACCCCGAACTGAGCTCAATGATGACGTGGCGTGTGCCGTGTCGTGTGCTGTGCCGTGTGCCGTGTGTGGCGCTGGGTGGCTTGGCGTACCGGTAGTCGAGAAGTTCGTCGAGGGAGACGGGCTGCAGGGTCACCTCGAGTTGCTCGTCGGGCGATTGAGGCTTGGGAACTGCGACACGTCGTCGTCGTGGCGTGGGTTGCGGTGGCGCTGGCTGATCGTCCGCTTCGTCGGCTTCGTCGGCCTCTTCCCTGTGGCCAACACCATCGTGTGAGGGTTGCCTGAAACGCACACACCGCACACACCGCACAGCACACGCACAGGCGGGGCGTACTCTTTTAGAGCGGCGACTTGGGCCATGATACTCTGCAGGCGATCGGCGTGGAATTGCCCAAAGCGGCGCTTGAGTTTGCCCAAGGCAAGCGTTCCGCCCTCCGCCACGAGCGCGCGGACGACTTCGGCCTCGTTGGCCTCCGTCCACTCCTCCTTCCTCCTCTTCTCGCCCGTGAGGCCCATGATGCGATCAATCATTTCCTAATTTTTATTCATATTTTTGTGTTTTGTGTTTTGTGTTTTGTTAGTTTTTGTTTTAACGTTTATATAAATATAAATATAAATAAATACATGAATACATAAATAATAAAAGGGTACCTGCTTTCGGTAGGTGAGGCTGGTGTTCTTCGGTCGCATCTTGTGGAGGGCCTCGATTGGGAGGTAGAGCATGTTCTCCTTCTCGCGCAGCCGGTCGGTGAAGACCTTCATCCGCTTCTCCTCGAGCTTCTGCTTCTTGAGCGCCTGCAGCTCGTCCCGCTTGTTCATGATGGCCTCCCGCTCGCGCTTGCGCTTGGCCACCTCCTCCCGCTTCTTGCGCCTCGCCTCCGCCTTCTCCCGCGCGGCTCGCTCGACGCTGCTGACCTCCTCCGCCACCTCCTCGAGCATCAGCTTCTCGCGCTGTAGCTTGACGGACGGTTCCACGACCCGACTTGGCCCGAGCTTGGGCGCGATCGTCGCCGCCGACGCCTCGCTGGCGATGTTGTTGACGGCGTTGACGCTATCGACACTCTTCGCTCTTTCGCTTTCGCCTCCGTCTTCGCTTTCGCTATTCGCCTTTTGCATGGCCGCTCGGCGCCTTCGCTGTCGGTGCGCGTCGCGATCGAGGTAAGCCTCGCGGCGCTTCCGGTGGGCCTCCTCCTTCCGCTGCGATACGAGGCGGGAACGCTCCTTCATCTGCCTCTCGGTGAGCTCGCCCGTCGTGAGCAGCGCCACAACGAGACGCGTAAGCAGCTGCTTCTTCGTCCCCAATCGCGACAAGTTCCTACAACACACGACCGGCCAAGATATATAGAAATAGATGATTAGTGATGAATGCGCCAAACAGCACCAGCGAAGGCGAGGGCGGTGGTACCTTTGCTTCAGGGCCTCTGCCAGTTCTGATTGCATGAGGTCGAAAGGGTAGGTATCTTTTTCTCTCCTCGCCTCCTTCTTCACAGCAGAAGCTTCATCTTGTTTCTCATCCCTGTTCTCTTCGTCCTCTTCGTCTTCGTCTTCGTCGTCGGTTTCGTCTTCGTCTTCGGTTTCGTCTTCCTCGCTCTGGCGCGTCTTCCTCCTGCGCTTGGCCGCTCGCTCGTGCCCTGCTTCTTCTTCTGCTTCTCCTTCTGCTTCTTCTTCGCGCTGTTCCTTCTCGAGCTGGGCTCGTTCGCGCTCGACCTCTGCTCTCCTCCGCTTCTCCCTTTCGATCGAGTCCCGCAGCAGCTCACGCATCTGCGCCAGGGGCCGCGGGCGCTGCATGGCAATGCCGCGCTTCCGCAGGGCCGACCTTACCTGCCTCGGGTTCATCTTTTCTATCACCTCTGAACACCACGCAAATCACATGTGAGTGTGTCGTGTGTCGTGTGTCGTGTGTCGTGTGTCGTGTGCGTGTGCGTGTGCGTGTCGTGTCCAGCGTGTGGTTGTACCGTCATCCTCGCTGTCGTTGCTGGTCTCATCTCCACTCTCGAACAGGTCTGCTTCCTCGACGCCTGCAGACATCATGACAGGGATCAGAGGGTGCAGGCTGCTTGTGGAGAGATTGCGACGAGGCGGCACGTACGGACAATGGTGGGTGGCACACTCACGCTGACGCGTTGTGGTGGCTTGTGGCCAACATCTTCCACTTGCTCTTCTTGCTCTTCAAGAACAGGAGTGGGTTGTCTCCTTCGACGACTTCATCTTTGATCACAAGGTAGCGCCGAATCCCTTTGCCTGACACAGGCGGAGATGATGCTGACGATGAATCTTTAAGTACACTCCGCGTTGCAGATTGTCTCCTCTTCTTCTGGCTGGGCACATAATCGGAATCAGAATCGGATTCCGATTCCGATTCCGACACGGCAGAGGAATCCGTTCCTTGATTACTATCGTCATCCTCGCTGTTTCCGTCCATCTCGCTCATCGTAAATCTTGCGATGTGTGCATTCTGTTGTTGTTCCATAATTTGAGGTATTTAAGGTATGTTCGAGTTATTTGACGTGAAATTCGTCAGATTCCGAAAACGCATTTTTGCTCTTTTTTGTTTTCTGTGGCGCCAAGTTTCTTTCCACTTCTGCTTTCGCACCTACGGCTGGCCGTCTGTCGCGTGCTTGGGATCTGGGATATACGACCTGCAACGAGAAGCTCGGCTGAGCTGTTGTGCTGTTTACGTGGCGTATCATTCCGCCCTCGACGACTCCGCTGTTTGTGCAACTTTTGCATAAACCATTACCCCTACACACCGTTCGAGATTTTCGAAATCGGCCACAGACCAATCGCGATCAAATATGAATCATCTCGCCCCCACATCAGCAACTTCTTCTACGTCCACGTCTATGCCGGCAAAGGACAAGATCTTCATCAAGGATCTGATGGTGCAGGCCATCCTGGGCGTCAACAAGGAGGAACGCGTTAAGCGGCAGAACATCAACATCAGCATCGTCATCTTCCACGACATCAAGCAGGCCGCCCTACACGACGACGTGCGGCACACCATCAACTACAGCCTTGTCTGCAAGGCCGTCGTGGCCTACACCGAGGACTCGCACCACTACACCCTCGAGTCCCTCTGCTCCGGCATCGCCAAGATCTGCTGCGTCCAGTTCGGCGCCGCCGAGGCCATCGTCCATGTCGAGAAGCCCTGCGCCCTCTCCCTCGCCCGATGCCCCGCCGTCGAGGTCCACCGCACCCGCGACTTCTTCCTGGTGCAGGAGCCGCTCATGCTCCAGCAGAGCGCCGCTCAGGCCCAACACCAGCAACAGCCACAGCCGGCAGTCGCGGCTCCGGCGGTGGTGGCGAGTCCCGGCAAGCCCAAGGACGACGCGGCGGGCGTGGCGGAAGAGAGCAGCGGTGGTGCGGCCAAGAAGAGCAACAGCGTGCACACGGCCTATCTGGCGCTGGGCAGCAACCTGGGCCAGCGGGAGGACAACATCTACAAGGCGCTCAAGGTCCTGGCCGAGTCCTGCGACATCATCAGCACCTCGGCCCTCTACCAGGTTCGACATTGAACACGACACACACCACACGACACACGCACACACGACGCACTGGTGCTCACAACTGATGTTCTTGGCTCCGCTCAACGTTTGCAGACGCCTCCGGCCTACGTAGTGGATCAGCCGGCCTTCTTGAATGCCGCGTGCAAGGTACCACTACTACTCTCGCGAAAGAGGAGAGAACAACGACAAGGCCGCTACACGGCTACAGGTGCCTAACACGTCACGCGCAACAAAACCCAGATTCGAACGAAGCTCACACCCGGCGAGCTGCTCGACTTGGTCAAGAGCGTCGAACAGAGACTTGGACGCACGACCGGAGGGGTAAGTAATCGCGTCTCTCTCTCTCTCTCGCGCGCGATCGTTGCACTTCCCCCGCTCTTCCCCAGGGTGTGCAACATAGTGAGACTCATGGCATGATTGGCATGATTGACATCAGATCCGCTTTGGTCCGCGGTGCATTGACGTTGACATCCTGTTCTACGACTCGATCCACGTCCACCGCAGCGATGAATCGCTGATCATCCCCCACTCGAGGTACGTCAGCCTTTGTGCACTCAACAAAGGAGAATCCAAAGCTTTGCTCGAGGCTAGCCCTCACCTTTCTCTTTTCTTCTCTTCAAGAATTCCTGAGCGCGACTTCGTGCTGGGTCCGCTGAAGGAGTACGTCGTTCCACTACTACCCGCTACTTTCGTTACAAACAAGTCCTAACCTTCTTCTTCTTCGCGCTGTTATCATTCAGCATTGCTGCGGACTACGTGCACCCAATTTTGAAGAAGACGAGTACGTAGTGCTTAGTGTTCCACTCTACTCAGAGAGCGATATCGCACATCGTGTGTGCTGACTCCAGGCGGTGGTGGACCAGTCGCGCAGCTGTTCCATGAGCTGCCGCAGCACAAGCTGTACCGAGTTACGCCCATCCGCTCGCAGCTCTGGACCTGGAGCGAACGCACGTTTGTCATGGTGCGCTCTTACAACCCACTCGAGTGTCCTTTCCTGAATTCTTGCAAAGACATGAGCTTCTCACTCCGCACGCGCACAGGGCATCATCAACGCGACGCCCGACAGCTTCAGCGATGGTGGCGACTGCTTCGATATCGAGACCGCCGTCAGGCATGCCAAGGAGCTGGTAAGTAAGCCATGGACTTGCATCCATCCAATCGATCGACGCGCTCTGGTTTCAAATGTGTGCTTTGGTTGGCAAACACTACTGCATTTCTTTTCTTTCCTTTTCTTTCCTTGGCTTAAGGTTGAGGGCGGCGCCCACATACTGGACATTGGCGGGCAGTCGACCAACCCCAGGTCCACGCTGCTCTCGGCCGAGGAGGAGGTCAAGCGGGTGGTGCCCCTCGTGCAAGCGCTCAGGAGCGAGGCCAACTGCGCCTGGATGAAGGTTTGCCTCCCCCACCCCATCATTCTCCCCAACCCAAGGACAGCTGACCCTCGATTCCTGCCCATCGCTAGAACATCCCCATTTCGATCGACACCTTCTACTCCTCCGTTGCTGAGGAGGCCATCAAAGTGGGTGCGGAGCCGCACACACAAGCTATACAGCGCACGAACACCGCCCGTCCTATTTCCATCAATTGCTCATTCTGCTGTGTGTGTGTGTGTGTGTGTGGGCAGGCGCCGATGTGATCAACGACATCAGCGGCGGCGTGTACGACGAGAAGATTTTGTCGGTGGCTCACCACTACCAGGTGCCGATCGTGCTGATGCACATGCGAGGGTATATAAAATCCCCCACCCACCCACCCACAACAAAGGCCCAGGCCGTTGTTACCGACGGCGCCTCACAAGCCGTCTTCTTGTCTTTTGGTAAATGTCAACCACAGCACGCCGCAGACGATGATGCAGCCGGTCAATACCGACTATGGCGGTAAGATGCTCGACGAGGTGGCCCGCGTTTTGAAGCAGCGAGCCGATTCGGCTCAGCTGGCGGGTATCCCCAGATGGAACATCATCCTCGACGCCGGTACGAAGTGTTTCCACACACACACCACACACACCGCACAGGTCTTACACGTTTTCTTCTTCTTCTTCTTGCTGTTCTCGCTGTGCCTTAGGCATTGGCTTTGCCAAGACGGCCGATCACAACTTGGAGATCCTCCGACGGCTCAAGCCGCTCCACCGTGAGGTATCACTCTTAGCCCCCCCCCCTCTCTAAGCTCGAAGAGTCCCAGCTTCTTATCTGCCTTCGGCGCTTTAGGTGGGGGAAAGCTACGCCATGCTGGTCGGCGCCTCGCGTAAGGGCTTCATCGGCAAAATTGTTGGAGGTACGTGCGCGTGCGGTGGTGTGTCGTGCGTGTCGTGTCGTGTGCGGTGGTTGGCTGTTTCTGTGTGTGCGGCATCGTCGGGGTTCGTCTCACTTTCCTGTGTTCCTTTCAGGCGAAGCCGAAACCAAGCCCAAGCTGCGTGGCTGGGGCACCGCCGCCACATCGACCGCCGCTGTCGCTGGTACCCGCCGCCGCTGCCTGTTGTTCTGTTTTTTCTGGTCTGACTGGCGTTCATTCTTCTTCGACCCCCCCCCGGGACCCACAGGTGGAGCAAACATCATTCGCGTACACGACGTCAAGGAGCAGGGGGAGGTCATCAAGGTCGCCGACGCCATCTACCGCAACAACTGGACCTCCTCCTAGTCGTCTTCTCTCTCTCTTTTTGCTCGCGCAATTGCCGAGTTACAATGCAATCAATTTAAATTAATGGGCCAATGGCACAAGAGGGCTCCTTCCTCATTTGGTCGAAGAGAGAGTTTTGGAACAACCGCCGGCCTTGCGGAGTTGAAAGGCATCGGCCTTGGTGATGGGGAACTCCTTGCCCTCGAGCTCCCTCACGAACTGCTCTTGCACCTGTAGAGTTGTTGTGGGTGAGATGTATCATGCAGCAGACTGAAGAGGGAAGAGATATGAGCTCTGTTACCTTGTCGAGCTCGGACTGTGGGATGGCCTTCCACAGCTCCAGGCTCGCCCACCACACCGTCGCGCACACGACCTGTCTCTCGTCCAGCAGCGCACCTGAACTCTCTTCTGTGCAGCGCACCCACACTGCAGCAAACTCCACTACGATGAGTGCCACTCATTGGGGGGGGGGGTTGAGCGGCGAGGGCGATGCCCGACCTTGCTTGTCGAGGAAGCCCGGGCACGACGAGAGGTAGGCAGTCCACACTCGTTCGTCCGCCTCAATGAATTGGTCCACCTCACCGGGCGGCACCTCAAACTCGAGAAGCTCGACAACTGTGGTGGGTGGGTAGAACTTGTGCTCCATCGTTATGTTATCTCATAATCATACTCATACTTTGATACCTTCGTGTGGCTCGCTCTGCAGAACAACATGTGGCCACAAAACACAAAACGAAAACGAAACGAAACGAAATTTGATTTATGTTCAAGCGCAGATGTTGGGGAAGGGAAGACGGGAGAGGTAGAGGGTGCGAGAGACAGACCACAGTTTGAAGTCGAGCTCTCGCCCGCGTTGCCGCGCTCGCTCCTCGGTCGAGTCGGCCTGGTCCCACCACGCCGTCCGCTGGTACTCCGTGATCCCGCACTGGCCCGTCGAGCGGCCGTTGAAGTGCAGCACCGACGGGAACACGTCCGTCACCTTGTTGTACGGCCTCGTCTTCGCTTTCGCTTTCGTTCTTTCGCCTTCTTCGCTTTCGTTCTTTCCGACTTCTTCAAACGCGGCGCCGGCGTAGGGCCGGAGGGCCAGGTCGTCGCAGGAGAGGTACATGTTGGCCACCAGGTCGGCGTGGTAGTCCAGCGCCACCATGCCCGGGTTATCGACATAGACCAGCTCCCACGCGAGCTGGTCGTCGCGCTCCTCGTAGATGGCAGCGCGGGTGAGGGCCTCCAGCAGGTCGCGGGCGCGGCCCATGTAGATCCCCCGAATTGGGGAAGGCGTAGGGCGTCGGCGCCTTCACCGCTTCGAAGCCTGGTCGAATCCACTCCTCCGGCCACAGATTCCTCTCCGTTCCCAACAAAATACTTCCATTACTGCGCACGACACGACCAATACAATGACACGACACGACACGCGCGTTAGTGTTGTTTTTGGGGTCTAGAGAGGCGGAGGGGTAGGAGGTACGCGTTCTGGCGGTCGAGGCCGCGACGCCAGCTGGCGAGGAGCTCGGATGGGGTGGCGTAGAGGATGGAGTCGAAGCTGTCGATGAAGACGACGATTTGGTCGCCCGGTATGGTGGCGAGGTAGTTGCGCACCATGAGCACCTTCATGTAGAGCGCCTCCTCCCGATTCGGAAAGACCTCGCCGTAGCCCATCAACGTGATGTGCTTGTAGCCCGTGTGGATGGCCGACCTTTTTTTAATAATAATAATAAAAACACGTCACAAATAAATAATAATAATTAAAAAAATGTGCACATTCACAATTGCCGAATTGTGCCGCACACGTGGTGCAACAAAAGTTTGCCATTGGTCAACGCGTTAGTAGCCGAGGCCAAAACGCCGTTGGAGGGCCCTGAAGGTACCGAATGGTGGGGCAGTAGCGGTCGCGATTGCCGAAGAGGAGGACCTCCACGTCGGACGGTTCGTAGGGCAGGCGCACGGGGAGCCGCGCGATGGCGTTGTGGATGGCCTGGGATCGTTCTTTTTTGAGAACAAATAGATCGTTATTTTTTTAAGCGTTCTCGTTCTCGCCGGTTCTCGACATTGCTAAATAAAGATGAAGATGAAGGAAGAGGGAAGATAGGGGACAGACGCAGGTCTAGGGAGGAAGGAAGGGCAGGGACGTACGCGGGGGTGAATAGAACAGGTTGAAGGGGAAGAGATTCAACCACCACAGGACCAGAGCGAGGTTGAGCGCCACGCAGGCCACCGTCCACCAGCGCATCCGGATTGTCCTCATCATCATGTCCACCTCACGCGCTGTGTCTACTTCAAACCGAGCTCGCAGCGATTCGGCCGGAAGTGACGCCTTCACGCGCAACCGTAGGGCCACAAGAACTGGTTCTTCTTTTCTTTTCTTTTCTTTTTAATTTCTTTCTTTTCAATTCGAAAAATTGACCGTCCACAAAATAGAACTCCGATTTTAACTCCGGGTGCTTGTCGACGCGGGCGGCCGGGGCAGTGGCTTGCGGGTGAAGGCCGGCAGGCGCGGCGACGACGGCGTACAGAAGCTGGTGGGCGACGATGAAGGCGATGGTGATGATGAAGAGGAAGACGATGAAGAGGATGAAGGAGAGGTGGAGAAGGTCCGAGCGAGGAAGTGGTTCGAAGAGGAGCCGCCGGAGGACGCGGCAGTGGTGGGGATCGGGATGGCGGTGATCTGGTGCTTGCGCGGGGAGAGCGGTGACCCGGAGGTCGGCGCGATGTTGTTCTTGACGTAGATTTGGTGCGGCTCAGGCCGGCGTGCTGAGGTCGCCATCATCGCCGGCGTTGCCGCAATCGTGACCTTGCGCGGGGACGCCATCGGCGAGGTCGTGTACAGCCGTCGTTCCCTCTCCTCCTCCTGCACCACGGGGGCACAACGTAAGGAATGTGCGAAGAATGCACAAGGAATGTCTGCGCGGTATGTGCTGAATGATGTACCTCCTCTCTTCGCTGGGTCTCTTCGAGGTCGAGCTGGGTGCGGAGCAGAGGCGACAGCGGTCGCGTGGTGGTCTCCTCGCCGCTCACCCACCGATTCTTGCGGCGCACGGGCGGGAGGCTCGGGCCGGCGCTGTCGCCGTCGGCGGCCTTGCTTCCGCGAGCCGACAGCAGGGGCGACGATGTTGAGAAGGCCGAGCCGCGGCCGGTCGCGGCGAGCGGCGCGGCGAGCGAATTGCGCTGAAGCGACCGAAGCTTGAGCTTGCGCGCACGCTCCTCCTGGGGCGATTCGATGCTGATCGAGTGCGGCGAGTTGAACTGCTGCTTGAGCTGCAGCTGGATCTGCTGCTGCTGCTTGCGGCGCTCTTCCTTGGGCGAGTCGATGCTGATCGAGTGCGGCGAGTTCAGATCGGCGAGCCCGGTGCCGCCGGCGCCGGCGCTTCGGGCCTTGATGAAGGCGAAGGGGGAGTAGGGCGAGAAGGTGAACGACGACAGGCGGCTGCCCATGGTCCCTCCGGTAGCTGGTATCGACGACGCCGAGCCGCTGCCGGCGGCGGCTGCGGCGGCGGCCATCATCCGCGCGGCCTCGGCGGGATCGGTCAGGTAGAACTCCGAGCTGCCGAGGCCGTCGCCGGCGATCGATGAGCGCGCGGACCGCGGCGAATAGACGGGCGACGCCGGGTTCTGCTTGACCCAACGCATGATTCGCTTCCGGTGGCCCGTCTTGCTGATTCCAATATCCGCCAGCTCCTCCTCTGAAAGACAGCACTAGCATCAGACTTGTGTGTGTGTGTGTGTGCCGCGTGTGTGTGTCGTGTGGTGCGTGTACCGGTGATAAGCTGAATGGTGTTCATGTCGTCGAAGCCGTCCTGTTGGAAGAGACGGAGATACTCGGCGGGCAGGTTGAGCTCGTTGAGCCAGGCCTTGATCTTCTTCTCGTCGTCCGCGCCCTTCTTCGCACCGGTCTTTTTCTGCTTGTTGGTCTTCCGCGTGGCGCTGCTCGTCTTCTCTTTGTCGGCCTCGCCGTCGTCATTCTCCTTCTTTTTGCTCCTCGTCCTGGTGGAGCTTCCCTTCTTCTTTTCTTTCTTCGCTCGCTTCGTTCTGCTCCCGCCTTCGCCTTCGCTCTTTCCGCCGCCGCGTTTCTTCTTGGCTCTTTTCGCTTTGGTCGACGGCTTGCCGGCCTCGCCGCCCGCATAATCCAGTGTCACCGACTGTGCGGACTTGTTGAGCAGGTTCTTCTTCTTCCGCGCCAGCTCATCGTCGAAGCTGATCACCCGCCGCATGTTCGCCTCGCTTCGCTTCTTGTTATTCTTGGCGTTGTCGGCATCGCTTCCATCGCTGTCGTCATCGTCATCATCGTCGTCATCAGCGGTGGTGGTCTTCCTGTCGTCTTCACTGGCAGTCGTGTGGTCGAGCACGTGGATGACCCGCTCGCCGCTGCCGTTGTGTTGTCCCTCGTCGTCCTCCTTCCGAATCTCCCGCTCGCGCGATCGCATCCGCTCGCGGGCCTGCCGCTGCTTCTCCTCGGTGCCGCTGCTGCTGCTCTTGTCGTCGTGGTCGTTGTCTTCCTGGGCCTCCTCCTGCTCCTGCTCCTCCTCCCACCGCGGCTTCATGTCGAATTGTTGCTCCCCGGCTGCCCTGTTTCCGCGCCGCTTTAATATGGCGGCCGCCGCGGCGCGGGCCTTGTCGACGTCGACATCGTTGTTGTGGTCGTGGTCGTGGTCGTAGTCATCGACCTTCTCCTTGCCCTTGCCCTCGACCTCGGCGGGTGACGACAGATCGTCGCTCGAGTCCTTGCGCGGGCTGAAGCTTCGTTGCGCGCGGAGGTCGTTGCGCTTCTTCTCCTGCTGCTGCTTGTTGAGCGAGACGCTCCGCTGTCGACGGGACGCGCCGCCGCTCTTCCGCCGCTGCTTGCGCTCCTCCCGGGACAGCTTGCGCTTGGCGAGCCGTCGGTCCTCGGTGCTCACGCTGGTGATGGCGTTGGGCGACGGATCGAGGTCCCACTCGCTGGTGAGGGACCTTATCGGACTAGACACGTGCATGCTCGCTCTATAGCTCCGATTGGCCCGGGTCGCATTGCCCTCACGCGTCGACGGCGACTGCGTCGAAGTCGGTTGACCGCGGGAGGTGCGCTCCGCGACCTTCTCGCTCTCGAGAAGGACCAGCGAACGGCGCCACGGCGAAGAGAAGGCAGCCACGGGTCGCATGGGCGAGCCGTTCTGATGCTGGTGGTGCTGCTGTTGGCGGTGGCCCACCACGACGGCCTTGTTCGAGCCGAAGAAAAGCTCCTCCTCTTCCTCTCGCTCCGTGTGATCGCGGGTTGGCGTTCTCGCCAGCACGTTGCGCCGATGGCGATGCCGCGAGGAGTCCTCCGGTTCGACGTCGGATATGAATTCGGCCTCCGTCGTCTCGTCCATGTCGCCGTCCTCACTGCACGCACAGCACCGCATGAGCTACCACCGCACACGCACGCGACAACACACCACACACACACACACGCACACACGGGTGGACAGGTACCCGGCGGATGAGTAGGCATAGCCCAGATACTGAGCGTCGTCCCGGTTCATACGATAGTTGGAAGGTTCCTTCTTTTGTTTGTGCTTGAGCAGAGCCATGACAAGCCGCTTGTCGTTTTGGCTGAATGACGGACGTAATAGAGTGAAGGTCATGAGAACGAGGGCACCACGAGGGGAAACAAGTTTGAGTTTGTGAGTTGTGTGTACCGCTTGGCGATGTCCAACGGCGTGCCGTTGATGCCCACGATGTTGGTGGCCGCCCGGCTCTCGAGGAGCGCATTTACGGTATCGAGACTCCCGCTGTAACACGCCAGATGCAGAGCCGTCTCTCCCGCACTGGAAAATGATGCGAGTTTAGCTCCTATTCCCAAAGCCAGGCTCCGATAAGAAAAAGAACGAAAGCGAAGGCGCCATACTTGGTGGTAGCGTTGATATCGAGGTCCCAATCCCGATGCGCGAGCAGATAACGGACCGCGGTCGACTTTCCCCGGAAGGCCGCATAGTGGAGAACCGTTTCTCCATTCCTGCGAGGAGCAGTGGTGAAGACATGAAGCCAAGTCGTGAGCGAGCCTTCTCAGGGAACACTGGGAAGCGGATGTGAGGCATACCGGTTCGTGGCGTTGACATCGCATCCGATGGATACCAAACGGTTGGCGACGTCCGAATACTGTGTGTTCGAGGAGTGGGTGTGGTGTTTGTGGTTAGCAGCGAAGCAAATGATTGTACTGCACGGGCAGAGGCGCTCACGTACTTTTTCCAGGAGTTCGTTGTAGTCGGGAGCGAACGGGTCGGGGAAATGGCGAATGAGATAATGGAGAGCTGTGCAGCCATCGCTCGTGACCTTCTGTACATTCGTTCTGCGAGGGAGAAAAGAGAGAGAGTTAAGAAAATTAGCAAGTGCGAGCGCCTGCGGGCCTCGGGAGTGGGGCTGACTTCATACGCACGTACCGTTTCTTGGAGAGGAGAAAGAGGATGATATTCACATGTCCGGCAGCGCAAGCGCAGTGCAGAGGAGTCCAGCCCTACGAGAAAGAAAGAGAGAGGGGGGGTAAGTACGAATGGACGGAATCTTGAGCTCAAACATTGATCTTAGAGATGATGATGAGGATGATGATTGTTATACCATGGCGTCAGGCGTGTTGAGTTTGAGCTTCTTGTTGTTCACCAGGAATCGCACGACGTCGTCGTGCCCAGCTATGCAGCACACAGATTCAGAACACACGAACGGCCAAGAATAAGAACGAAGAGCGAAAGCGAAAGCGACAGATAAGTTGGAGCAGTACCCTCCACTGAGACGTGCAGCAGGTACTTGTTGCGGATGGCTCGCCGCAGCACGGTCTCGTCGCCTTGACTCTGCTGGTAGGCCTGCAGCTCATGCCGCGCCATCTTCTTCATGTAGTCCCCATCGACCTGATTCAATTGATCCGCCGCGCCGGCGCCGCCGAGCACCAGCGGCACGCCCGGCGCCATCGTCGCCCTGTGCCCCCGGCTCGTGGCCGCGCCCGCCGCGCCGCTCTCAGTCTTGTTCGTAGGTGGCGCCCGGGCGGACAGCGGCATCGCCGCTGCCGAGGTCGACTTGGCCGAGCCCAGCGGCGAGCTCGGGTCCCGGAAGCGCACGCTGTTGGAGGAGCCCGAGCCAAAGGCCAGCGGCGGAGCGCCACCGCCGCCGCCGAGCGATGTAGATGTCGAAGTGGAGAAGGAGGTGCCTCGAGCGGTGGTGGCGGGGTCGATGTTGGCGTCTCGAAGGATCTTGGTAGCTTGGATCGAGTTGAGCGAGTAGGACGAGGGCTTGGGAACGTTGGTGCTGTTGTTGTTTGCGGCAGGGGTACCGAGCGAAGATGACGATGAGCGCTTCTCCCTCTTTTTCCTCTGCTTCTCTGCCTTCTTCTCGTCCTTCCTCTCCTTCTTCTTCTCCCTCTTCTCCTTCTTTCTTTCCTTCGATGAGCTGATGAGATTGGAGATGTAGTGGGCAGCTCCCGAAGATGACTTGCCGCTACTCTCGCCCGATGCACGCTTCTTGCTCCTCCTCTTCTTCTTGTCCTCTTCTTCCATCCTCTCGAGGCTTCCATTACCTCCATCCTCCTTCTTCTTCTTCGTGGCTGCGTCGTCATCTTGTAGAGGTGGCAGAAGGTCGCCTCTTACCTCCTTCTCCTTGAGGCTGCGTCGCTTCTTCTTACGTTCAACCAGCCGCTCCAGCTTTTCGTTCTCGCGTCGCAGTTCGGCCTCGAGTTGCGCGATCGAGTTGGCCGTCATCTGCTTCACCTTCTTGTCGTCTCTCTCGTCCTTCTTCTGCTGTGACGGCGCCTGTATCGCGTTCTTCTTGCCCACGAGGTCGGGTGCCGACTTGGTCTTGGCCAGGTTCTTGCGCGCGAACTTGGCGAACATGCCCTGCTGCTGATTGGGGGCGGCCGGCTGTTCATCCCCCACCACCGACGATGGTTCGTTCATCATCTTTTCTCTGTCCTCCCGGGCGGAGAACAAGTCAAATCTCGTTCCTCGAGAGATCGAAAAATCGACTCAAATCGTCGCGTTTCGTTCTTTCTTCGCTTTTCCGCCCAACGGTCTTCTCTTCATCTATTCTCTTCGTCTTCGTGGTCGGACGGAGCTCGTCTCACGCACCACCGCACACCGCACTCCGTTCAAAACCCACCCCACGTGAGCGCACTCGAGTGAGTGTGGCTATTCGCTGGCCCTGCCCGTACGGTGCTTCTTCGCTCTTTCGCCTCCTCTCCACCAGTACAAGATAAGAAACAACACGGCAACGGTCTCCACGCCCTAAAGCGAAGAACTACAGTTTTTCAAACGGGCCAATGGCCAATCAAACGAAATTTATCGAGGGGAATTTCGTGGACCAGGAGCACGTCGGCGCAGCAGCAGCCGTGGTGGCGGGCGAAAGCGAAGAGGAAATGCAAGCATCACGGGCAGAGCACGAGCCCACTGAGCCTGCAGCTACGGTGGATGCTGTCATGTATCTTGATGAAAGCAGTCCATCCACTGCGATCAAGAAGCCGCTCTGCAGCAATGGCCAGGGATGATGGGCGTCGTTTCGAACCCTGTCGGCGGCACCGCTGTTAGCCGTGTCAGGCAATTGCTGACATTCTTTAGTTGGGCAGCGGCCACCCAAAGCTCTCCACGTCACTGGCTCCGGCCAGCGCTCTTCCACCATCACCATAACGCCAACCCAACACTCAAGCAACAGCAACTCAGAGAGCGCGATGGAGGTGCCCCACTGCTGCAGCGCCGTCAGTGTGGTTTGTGAGCTGACCCCCCCCCCCGCGTGTCGTGTGCAGACACCAGCCGAGATGACGCAGAGGGAGCGCATGCTGAGCGGGCTGCCATACGAGGCCTGGGACCCCGAACTCGTCCGCATGCGCCACCGCGCCCGCCGTCTCCTTCGAGAACACAACGCCACCACCGAGGTATTCCTTAGTCGGTTATTTATTTATTCTATTTTCTTAAAAAGGAAAAATGCAAGAATAAATAAATAAATAAATAATAATTCTAACAAAATCAAAATAAATAGGAGGAGCCGGACAAGCGGTCGGCGCTGCTGAAGGAGCTGTTGGGTGCGGGTGGCGAGGGTGCCTACATCGAACCGCCCTTCTACTGCGACTACGGGACGCACATCAAGGTGGGCAAGGGGTTCTACATGAACTTCGACTGCGTTATCCTCGATTGCGCGATGGTGGAGATCGGCGACAACGTTCTGTGCGCGCCCAAGGTGCAGCTCTACGCCGCCACCCACCCGCTCGACGCTGCTGAGCGCATCAAGGTGCACTTTCTTGCGGTTTGTGTGTGTGCGGTGCGTGTCGTGCGTGTCCACGTGTTACACGCACACAGCGTCGAGTGGGCGAACTCACGCTTTGTTCGTATGCACACGAAGGGGCCGGAGCTGGCCAAGCCGATCAAGATCGGCAACAATGTGTGGTTGGGTGGTGGGGCCATCGTGTGCCCCGGCGTGACCATCGGGGACAACACGACCATCGGCGCCGGCAGCGTAGTCACCAAAGACATCCCGGCCAACGTGCTGGCCGCAGGCAATCCGTGCCGAGTCATCAAGCAGCTCGCCCCACCCGCCAGCACCTCCTCCGAAACCAGCCAATAAGTTAAGACCACGTTTCAAAGTTGTGGACCCAAATATGTCGTAGTACAGGAGAAGAAATGTTTGCAAAACCCCTTTCATGTCTTGAAGACTAGTTGAAGTGGTCTAACACTATTGTGGTTGGTGAGAATCCCTCGAAATATAAGAAACGGAACTAAACAGCTTGTTCGTGCTGTCATTGGTTGTTGCTTGTGTTACGTAGCTCGGGTTACGTGCCTGGCGAGAACTGAACGGAAGTCTGACGGCCTGCCCTCCACCCCCGTGAGGGCGTCGAAGGCGTCGAGTGAGGTGTGCCCCCGCCGCGTCAAGCCAGGGCGACACTCGAACGCCGGCTCTCTGGTCTTCATGCCAGGGAACGGTCATCTCGGGTGAAAAACACGAGAGGATCAGAAACTGGAGCACATCACACCACAGACTGGCACAGAGCTTAGCGCGCTCGGCTCCTGCTTGACGATGGCTTTCCTTCCTCATCATCCACGCGACATTTCTGATCCCCGCGTCTCTCGAGCCCCGTGAGCTCACCGATGCACCACCTGTGCCCCGGGCATAAAGTGCCTTGTCTGTCTCTTCCTTCATTCAAACCTTCAAACTATCTCTCTCGCTTGTATCCTTCTTCTTTTCATCATCATCATGGCGCATTCGATGCTTGGATTGCTCAAGAGTAAGTGTTAGCCAAACATAACACATCTCTTTTTTTAAGCACTCTGATTCATAAGAGGCCTTGCCTGACTCAGTGTTGTCGCGGTTCAGGCTTCGATCTCTACAGGCGGGTGCCGAAGGACCTGACGAAGGGCTCCGTTCCCGGCGCCATCGTCTCGCTCGTGTGCCTCACCATCATGGCCATGCTCATCAGCTGGGAAGTGTACGTCGTCCCAGCTGCCTGCCACACCTGCGGTTTCCATGCGTGAAGCCTGGTTGATGAGTTGGCTCATTCGCTTCGGCATCGCACACAGATATTGCTACGCGTCTATCAAGACGGAGACACAGATGCTGGTCGATACGCCCAGGAACCTGGAGAAGATACGGATCAACATCAACGTCACAGTCCCACGCATTCCCTGCTACGTCATTGCACTCGACACGGAAGACGTATTGGTAAGCGACACACCGCACGCGCACCACCGCACGCGCACGCGCACGCGCGCACTCTGCTCACCTGGTGGTGGAACTGTGGTGGCTGTGAAGGGAGGAGGCGTGGAAGACTTCCAGGAAAAGTCGATCGTGAAGCTCCACATGGAGAGCCCGGATTCGGAGCTGTCCGGCTGCAGCATCGCGGGCTACATCAACGTGCCCAAGGTGCCCGGCAACTTCCACCTGTCCACCCACGGCCGCAACGTCCAGGCGCAGGACATCGACATGCAGCACAACATCAACTCCTTCTTCTTCACCGACTCGCCCCGAGGTGAGCCCTCCAATCATGTCTCCCGCTGACGTCAGCAGTGGGGCAAAGACTGACCTGGTGTTGATGGCCCAGTTTTCTATCCGTCGGGCGTGTCGGTTCCGGCGTGGCGCAACTGGCACTCCAACGTGGTGGCCGAGCTGAACGCGCAGGCCAGGGACCAGGACACGGACGACGACGTGGTGGGCCTCTTCCGTCCGCTCGACGGCATCACCAAGGCCAACAGCCAGCGGAAGAACGGTGTGGGCGTGTCCTACGAGTACTACATCCAGATCGTCCCCACCATCCTTGAGTTGTACGTTCACCAGCCCACATCAACGACACAGACACGCGCGCCACACACACAACACACAACATGGTAACTGACCTGGTACCTCTCTTGCTCTGGATGCAGCCCTGACGGCAGGACGAAGCACACGTACCAGTTCACGTACAACTTCAACGACGTGGCGACGCCCGAGGGCAAGACCCCGTCGGTCTACTTCAAGTACGACATCTCGCCCATCACGGTCAAGATCACGCGCGGCCGCGGCTCGCTGGGCCACTTCCTCCTGCAGCTGTGCGCCATCGTCGGCGGCATCTTCACCGTATCGGGCCTCATCGCCAGCGTCACAGCCCGAGTGGCCAAGCATATCTCCTCTGGCCCCAAGCTCGAGTGAACGAAAGAACATCAAGGTGGCCTGACGAAGAGAGCCACGTCATGAGATATGTCATGAAGAAGGAGAAAGAGGGATAATGTATCAAACATATATTCAGTTGAGCTCGTATGTAGCTCTGTAAATACTTACACGTTAACAAGCACAAGGAGCACCAGCAGGCACGAGAGGGTATGCTGTACCTTAGCACCGAATGACTCTTAGCTGCTGGCCAAGAAGCATGGAGCAAGTAACTGGACACACCACCACCACCACACACACACGAGAGGGAGTGCAGTGCGCCTGAACTGCGGTGATGTATCTACACGGGAAAGATGAACAACGGAAAGACAAGAGAGCGAGCTTCAGAGGAGGGTGGTGGGGCCTTCTGGCAGACGCCACCGGTCGTGGTCCAGCTCGTTTGCCAGCTGCCTAAGGGTGTCTAGCCGCTCGGCCAGCTCCTGCGCCGCCTCCGCCTGCAGCACTGTGGTGCCAGGCCAAGGAGGTTAAGCATGCACCACCCGGGTGGCGCCAGTTGGCGCGAAAGGGGGCGCAGGGAGGAGGCCTGTACTAGCATCGGTCTCTTGCGCTAGCTCGGGCAGAGGAGTCCCATTCGCCTCCTCCGTGTTCGGCTCGACCTCTGAAGGGAATTCAACAAAAGTAAGTACGGAGTACGGGCAGTAGCAGTAGCGGCGAGGATTAGATGTTTACCAGGCATCTCATCGATAAGCCGTCGACGAGGCTTGGTGCGTTTGGCAATACGCCTGGGAGGCGGAGCAGCGGGACCTGCACTCAATTCGCCCTCGCTCATGCTCACACCAAGATCTCTCACAATAATCAAAATAAGAAACAAAAGGAAAAAGAATCCCGCAAATCCTTGTAATCTGACTTTTATAAATCGATTTTTCAAAGACACAAGATGAAGCGCTGTAGTGCTCGAGCGCCGCAGATGTGGTTGAATGGTGCCCGGGCCGGAGGCTTGGTGGTGCCGCGACCACGTCTCCTTCGGTCGCTGCCGCCGCAGGGGGCTGCACTCGCCACCAGCTCCGTTGCAACTGATGCTGGGCCTCTGTGTAGTCCGCTGCGAGCTGCAGCCTTCCAGCTGCATCCCTCTTCATCTCCCATCACTTCTCCAGCCCCTCAGTCTCGCCGATTTTCTACATCTGGCCCAGCTGCGCCCGCGAAAGCACCACAGCACATCTCCAGCGATGAATTTTCTCGCCTCATGATGCAGGCCGAGCTGGACAAGGTCCCTGCAGGCTCTTCCATCGGTACCACCCCTTTACGCTGATTAATAAAATACAATGCATAATACTGTTTTGCCTCCGTGCAGCCATCGCCGTGTCCGGTGGTCCTGACAGCATGGCCCTGTGCCTCCTGACACACCAGTACTCCCTCCTCCTTCTTCTGCTGATGGTGAGAGGCGCGCCGTTCTTGAGCTCACTTCTCACCCCGTTTTCCCTCCTTCCAGTTGGGCCAAGAAGAGGGGCATCAAGGTGCTGGCGCTCACTGTGGATCACGGACTGCGGCCAGAGAGCGGCGAGGAGGCAAAGCGAGTACGCGACTGGCTCACCAACGTCGGTACGTCTGTAGGACCGCGCAAGTTTGTCTACCACACACACACACACACAATGGCTTCGGTCTGCTTACCGCACAAGGCGAACCGCGTAGGGTATACGGCACGAGATTCTACACAGACCATGGGACAAGCCGGCCCAGCCGGGCCACATTCAAGAGGCTGCGCGGAAGCACCGCTACATGCTTCTCTATGAGAAGTGCCGGAGCGAAGGCATCCACAACCTGCTCACCGCCCACCAACTCGAGGTAGGCCTCAACTGCTCGCCCATGTGGTCGCTTCAACCGAGATTGACGCGCAACCGTTAACCACCACCACCACACACACACCACACACACGACGCGCAGGATCAAGTCGAAACGTTCATCATGCGGCTGGCGCACTTCAGCGGCGTGGACGGTCTGGCGGGCATCCAGAAACGCCACGCTCAGTTCTTCCCGCCGGTCCCGCCGGGGTCCGGCAGCGCCAAGGCGGCGATGACGTCCACCCGCTTGGCGCCGCCGCTCTTCCCTCCGCTGTCCAATCAAACACTCAACACGCCCAGCAGCGACAGCTATCCGAGTCCGCTCTATATCGTGCGGCCCTTGCTCGAAGTCTCGAAGGTAAGGCAGATCACGCGTAAGACTGAGTGTTGCATAAACCAACTTACGAACTTGCGTGTGCGTGTGCGTGTGCGTGTGCGTGTGCGTGAACAGGACCGACTGATGGCCACGTGTGCGCACTTTGGCCAGGAGGCGGTGGACGACCCCACCAACCAAAATATGACCTTTCACCGGAACCGGATCCGACAAGCCCTCCCTTTGCTTTGGGAGACGGTAACCCCATTCGCTCTTCTTTCGGACGGACATCACAGGACACACACGACGCACACGACACACACGACACAGTGACCAACAAACGTGCGGTGCTGTTTCGTTTTGTGTAGATCGGCAAAGAGGACCTCAGCCGCACCATCTACCACTTTCAAAAGGCGCGCAACGAGATGCAGGCCGAGGTCAACGCCATCATGCGGACCCACTCGCGCTTCTCCACGCGCCCGTTCCCCGCCCGGTTCTCTCCCTTCGGCGCCGAGCCGTCCCTGCCGTCGCCTCAGTTCCTGGGCCACGTCTACCTGCCCGTCTCCCTGTTCGGCGGCTCTCGCGACTCGCTCTCGCTGCCGCTCAGCATGCGCGTGCTCCAGGCCGCGCTGGTGAGTGTGGGCGGCCTGCGGGCCGAGCGGCTCTCGCTCAAGCTCCCGATGCTGCGCGAGATCACTGAGCGCATGCAGAAGACCGCCGCCTATGCCGCGGGCGGGATCACTGCGACACTGGGCCGCGGGCTTACACCCATATTGCCGGATCATCTCAAGGCGACCTTCACCGCCTGTGGCTGCCTCATCCAGCTCCTTTCCGTACGCTTTCGCTTTTTTCAACTGGCTCGTTGCTTCATTTTTTGTGATCGCTGACCGCAAACCACCATCCTCATGACTCTAGTCCCCGCACCAATCGATGTTCGTTATCTGTCCCGAACGTACGTTTTCCACCACCGCACACGCACACGCACACGCACACGCACACGCACATGCACACGCACACGCACCACCGCACACATGTGCACGGCTGGGCTAAGCTCTTGTCTCTTCAGGGCGCATGACGAGCGAGAAGGAGCCCATTCGCCCGGGCGAGACCCTGTTGTGGGAGAACAGGCTCGCCATTTCCTTCACCGTCGGTGGCCGCCAACCCCAGCGCCGCGCGAGCACCGCGTCACAGCCGCCGCCTACGACCGACGACCGCTTCTTTGTGCGGCGCCTCACCACCAAGGACTACAAGGTCTCCCACGTCATGTACGCTCCTTGCCCCACCTTCTCCTCTACCCCACCCCCCTCGATTCAAACGTCGGTAACATTGTCGTTCGTGGCGCGACAGCGGGACTGCGGTGCGAGAAGTGCCGTCGGACATTCGTGTCACGACGCCGGTCATCGTCGACGAGCGTGGTACCGTATCACCTCAGCTCTTGTGTGTGTGTGGTGGAACAAAACAACGACTCGAGCACTGACTAATGGAGGGCCACGACCACCTCAGATCGTCTGGTTGCGCTGCCCACGCTTCGGTTCTTACAGAACCGGCCGGACTTGGTGTTCACCACGGCCCCGGTCTTCCCGCTGACGTCGGAGCCCTCGCCCTGCGCTCCACCCGCGCAGCCCGACGAACTCTCCGCCAAGCAGAAGTTCGACATGCTCCTCGCGCAACTCGACGAATTCGATCGAATCGCCGACCAACTCGATGATGGTGCTGACGACAGTCACGACAGTCGCGACAAGCCACCACAAACGCGATAAAGCCACGATATCGCCAGGGACCATCGTCCCGTTTGTGATGATGTCTGTCCGTGCCACCAGATCAACAACAACATGTTGGTGTCGAATTTCTTCGTATTTAATCGCCTGGTCCATTTCCAGCTTTTTATGCGGACAGGGCAGGAAACTGGGAGAAGGTCGGAAGGGCGAATTTCCAGGAAGGAGGGCTGTGGTTGGCCACGGGCATAAAACCAGGACTGGGTCGGCTACGAACAGACCAACAACTCAACCAGTGTACACGCACAGGACACAGGACTACAAACACTAACAAGACAACAATGTCTCTGAGCCGACCCAGCAACAACAGCATGAACCAGGCGGAGCGCACCATGACGCAACCCAACGCGCAGCAGAGCAACTTTGCCTCACTCGGCTGGGGACTCGTGCTGGGCGCCTCCCTGGGCGGCTACCTGGGCTACAGTACGTCACACGACACACGACACACGACACACACGACACACACACGACACGCACACGACATAACGTACGGTCAGCTGACGCTCCTGTGTTGATTGTGCAGAGGCGGGCCAGAGCGAAGAGTTCCGGACCAAGATGGGCGAGTACCGGGAGGAGTGGGGCACGAGGGCATCCGCGTGGTACGCCCAACAGAGCACGACGTGGGCCAAGCGCTATCAGACCTGGAGCGAGAAGAACAGCGGCATCGTCGAGGCCTGACTTGTTCTTTTCTAGCCTCAGAGAAGTAGTATGTACATAAAACGAAAGATGATGAGGACCACACAGTCCCTCTTGCTTGCTCGTGCCGGCATCACTCGGCCGGCCCTGGACTGGTGCTGGCTTGTGCCGCTGGTGGCGGGGGGTCAGCCTCGTCGTTTGGCTGTTCTGTCGCCGGTGGGTGGTGTGATGGTGGTGAAGACTCCCCTTCTTGCTGAGGAGTGGTCGTGGCGCTGTCGCCGTCAGGTTGCTGGTTTGCCTGGTCGTCAGCGAACCGGTCGACCATGTACTGGCAGTACTCCTGAAACAGCACGCCTGCGCGACAGGGCACAACACGCAAGCGAGCGAGCTCTTGAGCGCACTAACAACGCTTTATGGCTTACAGGAGCTGGTGCACATCAGGTGGAGTGAGGAACGGTACCAAGAGCCACGAGGGAGGAAGAATGAAAGATCTTTCGAGGCATGGTCGTGATGCTGGCCTTGTGGTGGATGTACTGGTACACTTCCTGATCATGCCACATACACCAACACGTCAGCTCGTGTGCCTCAAGATGAAGGCGAGAGGGAAGAAAGCTAGAAGCTACCCGGGACGGCAGGTCAGCCGCGTCAAGGAAGTGCTCGAGACCCAGCCGGCCCTCTTTGGTGTCCTTGAAATCTTTCCTGATGGTCTTGATCTTCCTTGGCCGGATGCTACGAAATCATCAACGAAAGATTAGATTAAATCGCGATAAAAAATTGAGGTGGGATGGTACGGGTCAATCGCGTCAGCTTCTGAGTCCTCGCCGTTGATGCGCCTCCGCTTGGCCTCACCTCCCCCTGATGGAACCGCATTTGGCAGTTGATCCACGAATCGCCGACATTCGCCCAGTGCTGCTTCCCTCGACCGGGCTTGGCAAACAAGTCGGGCGAGGTACTTCACGCACCTCGGCTGGCTGGCTGATGAGAGCTTGCGCCCGAGCTGCTCCCCATTTGGCCCGAGCGGCAGGAGCATCGCCCATCCCCACGCGGATCCTACCGCAGCTGTCTTTTCTTCCTCGTTCCAGGCGTCCCATTCATCTTGCGCGAGAACCCTGGAGCCCACGGCCCTGTAGAGACGATGGGTTGGACCCAACGCCGTGTTGCCATCTTCCATCTCCAAATTGAAATAAACGAGTAAAATGTGGATTGTCTTTTCGCGCCAAAATCAACTCCAAAGCAAGCATCGAAGAAACATGCTGTTGGGTCAATTCCAGGCTCGGCTGGTGGGTCATCCCCCATCTTCATCAAAAGCATCTGCCATCGATTTGCGGCAAGGCCATCTGCTGGAATTGGGTGCTATCTATCACAGATTGCGCAAATTTGCAGGGGCGGGTCTCCATTCACAAAGTGCTTCCACGGGTACCCACCCACTAGACCTCCACGACCACGCATTCATCCCCTAACCTTCATCGCGAACCAGGACAATACAATCGCGCCTTCTGTCGTGAATTGGGTGCGATTTTGAGCGAGTACAGCCGAGATGTGCTCGATTTGGGTTCCCTGCCCGATCGCGAGGTGCCCATCTCTGAGCTCGAGGTCAAGCTGAGCCGGGTATGTGCAACAACACTTATTCCACCGTTCCATCTCGCCAAGCGAAGCTAAGCCGACATGGCCTCCCAGCACGCGAGCGTAATGCCAGCGTTGGATCGGCTGGTGGCGGAGAGAGCCGAGAGCGAAGACAACGGACCGGCCCTGCTCAACGTTCTACATCGAGCCAGCTTCTGTGGTGACGACGACATTCAGCGCGCCATCACCAGGCACGCCCTTCTCATCATCATCATCAGCATCAACACACACACGCGACTCAACGCTTCTGCTCGCAGACTGCAGAAGGCGTGTCACGGCGTGCTCTTCCACTACATCGCGGCATGGACGGTATATGGACGCCTGGTGGATAACGGCAACGAGTTCTTCATCCGCCCGGCCTACTCCACCACCGGCCAGCAGGGTACACACGACACGACACGACACGACACACGGTGCTGACAAGTGACTCCCTCCCAGAGGACGTGTCGCTGGAAGAGGCCCTGATTCCCGACTACCTGGGCCTTCCAGTGTGCCGACAGATTCTCTTCATCGGCAAGGTGAGTTGTGTCGCGCGTGTGTGTCGTGTGTGTATGCATGTGTGTATGTGTGTGTATGTGTCGCGTGCGTGCGTGCGTGCGTGCGTGCGTGCGTGCGTGCGTGCGTGCGTGCGTGCGTGGTGGCATGTGTGTTGTATCTCGCTGAGCTGACCACTTGGATGCAAAGGCCTGCCGACTGTTCGCGCAGTCAGGCGGAGACCAGAGGTGGCGGGACGACACGCGGTTGCTCTCCGCGCGCCTGGTGGCCCTCGCGCGGGTCGATCGCTTCGACCTGCGCGCCGTGGAGGAGACCATCCACGCCACTCATCGCAGCCTCACCTCCCACTTCTCCCGCTGGCTGCTCCACCACGCCGATCTGCCCGCCCACCTGACCGTGCGCTCTACCCCCTCGTGTGCGCCGCGCGTGCGGTATGCGTGTGCGGCGTGTGCGCCTGGCTCTGAATTGTTGTGTGTGCAGGTGTTGCGGGACTTTTATCTGTTTGGCCACGGGGAGCTCTACAACCGATTCCTCGAGCAGGCCCGGCCTCTTCTCTGCAAACCCCCGACCGACGATTCCGAACGAGGTAACTCACCGCACACGGCACACGGCACACGGCACACGACCAACAACACCACACGATACGCTAGCCTAGAACCAACACTATGTGTGCGGGGGGGGGGGCGTGCAGAGGTGGGAAGGTTGTGGCGCGAGGCACTACTGGTGGTCACGGGCGCGGGCGCAGAGGAGCCGCGACACGCCGGCAAGAAGGCGAGTCCACTCGTCGACGTCCGCCTCATCCTTCCGCGATCCAAGAGCAACCCGTCGGCCCTTCTCGGTACCGTGTGTGTGTGTGTGTGTGTGATGCGTGTCGTTCGTTCGTTGTTGCGCGTGCTTAGGTATACACACGCAGGCTGGGACGAGCTGAAGTTGAGCTGCGAGTTCAAGTCAAACGTGGGCTTGTCGATTCTCTTCAACGACGACATCACCGAGAGGTGCGTATCCGTGCTCTTTCGGGTTTCACCGCGCTAACAAGCAACACACCGCACACACAAACACACCACACGCACACCGCACATACGACAGATACAACGAGTTGTTCCGATTTCTGCTGCGACTGCGCCGCGTACAGATGGACCTCGAGCGTGTGTGGGTCGCGCAGAAGCAGTGGTCGCGCCACCCTTCGGCGGCAGCGGCTGCCAAGGCGAAGGCTTCGAGTCTTCCGGCGGAGGACAAGACCGCCGTGCGGCTCGCCTGCCTGCTGCGGCTCGAGATGTCTCTCTTCGCCGACGGCCTCCTGCACTACATCCAGGTACCCAACACCACACACAGCTTCACTGGTGCGTCTCGCATGGTGCTCATACCTTGCTGTCGTATCGTGCGGTGTGTGCGGTGTGTGCGGTGCTGTGTAGGACGTGATCGAGGTGGAGTTTGGGGAGATGTGCGACAAGCTGGGCGGCGGGGAGGCCAGGGGCGGGACAGACGTGGAGGAGGTGGTGGGCCTGCATGAGGCCTTCCTCCGCAAGCTCGCCGTCTACTGCGCCTTCTCCAACATTCCCTCCATCCACGCCTCCCTCACCCAAATCTTTGCTCTCGTGCGCGACTCCCACTCCCTCCCCGCCCCCTGGCACAACACAACACGCGCCACTGACCCGGTGCGTGTGTGCGGCGTGTGCGGCGTGTGCGGCGTGCGCAGTCCCAAGCGTTTGCAGACTACGCGACGTCGGGCGGACAGCCATCCGGCGCGCATGTGTCGACGCTGGGCGCGTTCCTGCAGGGGTTCCGCAAGCACCGCACGTTCGTGGTGGGCGTGCTCACGGGCCTCCTGGGCCAGAAGGGCCGGTCCGCCTCCGGCCTCCACTTCTCCGGCCTCCTCCTCCGCTTCCAAAGCTCTTCCGCCGCCTCCTCTTCATCTTCCCTTTTCCTCTCCTGACCGTACGCTCTACTCCTTCACCTGTACAAAAATGAACGATACCGCAATGCTATGACGAGTACTGGTTCTTCTTGTTCTTCTTTTCTTGTTGTCATCGTCATCGTCGTCAGACTGTTAGCCGAAGCGGGCGGCGAGGAAGTCAAAGAGGTCCATGTTGCCCTGCGAGTCCTCCATCAGCTCGGCGTACTCGGTGATCGCCTCGTACACGTCGCCCACCTGCCAACGCGCCAGCAGAGAAACGTGAGACTATGGTGGTGTAGAGGGTTGTTGGGGGGGGGGGTTGAGTGGTGCGTGTACGGTGGCGTTCTGTTGAAGAAGGAGCGCGTGGGTGTCCTTCAGCCGCTGGGCGAACACTTCATCCCCAAACGTGAAGTACAGCATCTGAGCACAGACCCGAGCGGCGCGGTGATTAGTACTCTAAGTCGCCTGGAGGGGGGAGGTCGGCAGTACGTCGCGTCGCGAGAGGGAGGCGGCCATGAGCTGGATGAGGCTCTTGAGTTCCTTGGTGCCGCCGAACGCGCCGCAGCCCCAGTGGCCGGTGGAGACGAGCGGGAGGGCGGAGGCCGCGGGAGGTGAGCCGTCGTCAACGGCCAGAAAGCCGCAGTAGGCCTTGTTCAGCTCCCGCTCCACGTTACGCTGCCGGAACTCGTCCGACGCGCCCCACCGCGAAAACTCGAGCGCGTCGATCGCCACGATCGTCGTCCTACATCATCATCAGCATCATCATCGTCATCATCATGACCAGGTCAGCATCATGGGGAGCCGCGAAGAAGAAGATGAAGTGAGAAGAGCAAGCGTACCGCATGCGGCCCCAGCCATCGCGCGACGTGGCGTCCCTGTGAAGAGAGATTGGTGGTTGATTAGGGAGGTGTGATGGCGGTGGTGGCGGTGGTGTAAGGGGAGTACTGGTGGTCGCCGCCAAAGCAGAACGAATCGGAGTAGCCCGTGTAGTCACTAAATCGCTCCGAGCCCATCATCACCAGACACTGTAGTCGGGTGCACATACGACACACACGACACACACGACACATGACACGACACACATGACACGCGCGCGCATATCGACGGCGTCAGCGCTCGGTGTCTCTGCCGGGTGAGCCGGGTGGGGCGACGAGCCGCCGTACCTCGTTGTCATCAAACTCGGCGCAGAACAGTCGGGCGACGATCAACTCGGGGCTGATGAGAAAGCGGATCTCCTCTTGCACGCATCCCTGACCATTGATGATCGCGATCGACGCATGTGTCACATAGCAGAGCGCAGTGGGCGTTCGGTGAGCTGCTGAAGCAGAAGAAGAGCGAAGAAGAACGAAGAAGCGTACTCGACCCAGTACACCGCCGCCGATCAGTTTGTTGGCAAAGTCCACCTCTGTGAGAAACGAAGAAATGTAAAGACGGGTCGTCAGGTGCGCTGCGGCTCCCACGTAGCGCGGTGGTCACAGAAGCTGAAGGGGTGAAGTGAATTGAAGCGAAGCGAAGGGTCCGTACCCAGGCCTTCGGCCGGTGTGTCGTCCTCGATCGTGCCGTCGGATCGCACTGGAGACGTGACGGAAACAGAGGGGAGGGCGCATTGGGTTAACACACCACACGAGCGCGATGACGGTTGGTCGAGCGGGCGGTACCGGTGAGTCGTCGTAGCGGAGCTTTGCTGGCTTGCCAATCCGGGAAGTCGTGGAGCACTCGCCTGTGGAAGGACACGTTGCCCACCAGAGCTGACAAAGAGACAAACAAACAAACAAACAAAGAAGGGGAAAAGCGAACAACACGTCCACGTCGAGGTCCGATGAGCCCATGATCAACGGCGGGCGCGCGGTGTGCGTGCGTGCATGCATGTGTGCTGCGTACGTTGGTTTGAGATGCGGTGGAAGTAGTTGAGGATGCACTGGAGCTTGCCCAGCCGCTGCCCGGTCATGGGGCTCATGAAGAGGTCGCTGAAGTTGATGCTCGGGTACTTCTGTCCCACCGCCTTCTCGCCCATCTTCGTGCTGTGTCGTGGCGCCGTATTAGTAGAATAAATAATTATTTAAAAAAATACTGTTTAAAATATATAAATATATATAAATAGTAAGAACGATAATTATAAATACAAGCTAACAATAAATAATCATACAAGCTAACAATAAATAAAAGTAAAATAAAAGATAAAGAAAGCGCACTTGCGGCCGGGGAAGGTGCAGAAGAAGGCGTTGGCGAGGAGACACGCGATCTGCTTCTGGCTGAGCATGATGACCTTGTCGTTCTGCTTCTCGAGGAACTCGATGGGCTCGGGGCAGATCTCCTTGGTGGAGAGGACGAGGTCGATCATGAAGGGGAGCGTGGACCCGAAGAAGAGCCTCCGCTCTTCGGGGCTGCAGTGTTCGGCGAAGAACGAGTGCAGGCCGCCGAAGCTCCACTTGTTCTGTGCACGGCATGAGGCGGGAGGCGCTCGAGCTTTAGTTGTGCCGTTTGGCCGCTTGCTTTGTGTGTGTGTGTGTGTTGGTGTGTGTGTTGGTGTGTGTGTGTGTGTGTGTGTGTGTGGTCACCTTGTAGGATTGGTTGAAAGTAAGAATGGCCTCTTCGATGGCGTACGAATCCACGATCGACTGCTGGAGCACGGTTTGAATCAACTCCCACTTGCTCTCCAGCTATTATCAAGGGAGGTAAAAGGTGAGCCACCTCAAATCCACTACACACCATCGATACATCGTACGCTGGTGCCGTAAGGCGGTGAGGGAAATGGTACCACTTGGTGTCCTCCTCCCCAGTTGGTCGTCGGTGCGTACACGTTCTTGGGCGAGCACGGCATTCGTACGTGCTGCTTGTCCCTGATGGGGGTGCACGACACACGACACACGACACACGACACACATAGACGCAAAACAAACGTCAGCAAAACGCGTCAATGTTGAGCGCCGAACAGACCGGGTGGAGGTGGGTTGCTGCTTACCATCGGTCAACGTAGTGGGTGGCACCTCCTGCACTCCTGCTGCTACTGCTGCCGGTGGTGGTCGTGCCAGCACCCAGAGAGCTCTTCTTTGCGTGGCCCGATGATCGGTTGGCGTCCCCCGTCCTCCCTCGCTGCTGCTGGTGGCGGTGGTGGTGCTCGTCGTCGGCCCGCCCTGCACCATTCTCCCTCGAGCCGCCGTGGCCGCCGTTCGTGAGGAGCGCGCCGCTGGCCGCGGATTGCCCGCGCGAGGCCCTGCGAGTTGTTTGTCCCTGGTCGGCGTCGCCCCGCGCCGCACGCAGCCACCAGGGCTCCTTGGGCGGGCCTTCGCCACTGCTCTCTGTGGAGGAAGCAGAGGCGGTCTTCTTCTCGCGTGCAGATGGCGAAGTAGAGGAAGAAGAGGAAGAAGAGGTCTGCCTCTGGAAGCCGAAGTAGTGGTTGATCGACTTTTGCTTCTTGAGTGCTGGGCTGGCTGCTGCAGAAGCGGACGAGGCGGAGGTGCTGCTGGTAGAGCTGGATGAGGAAGTGGAGCTGGAGGAAGAGGTGGAAGATGGCTCGGGCTGATCATCTGTGATGATGATCTCGTTCGGTGATGATTTGCGCTTGCGCGACAAGAACGGAGGAGGTTTCGAAAGGGAGGAATAGGTGATCTTAGAAGACTTCTTCGCGGCGGGCGAGGAGGAGATGTCGGTGAGGGTCTTCTTCGCCGACACGGGGGCAGATCTCTGGGGAGAGGAAGGGAAGGACGAGGCCGGAGGCACCACAAGCCTGTCATCCTTTCTTGCCATGGATGATTTCTTGCCGGCGTGATGTTGATGTTCGAGCTGGTGGGCCAACAGGAGGTAGTCGTCCTCGGGAGTCATGACCCAGGTGAGATCCTCGTGCTCGTCTTCGTTGCTAGCCTTCTCCATTCTTTTTTATAAATCAAATGTTGGATTAAAAATACAATATTGTATTTTTACGTAACGGTCACTTCCTCGAATTATTTCTTGCTTTTTGAGATATTTCACTAATTGTCTTGGTTGCTCTGACATTCCTACAATGCGTCACACAGAGCAGCGCAATCAAACGAAGAGAGAAGATGGCGCTGACGGGTGCCAATGATAAGGAGAAGCTGGAGCAGCTGTGCGCGAGGACCTACAAGGAACAGGCAGTGTGGTTCCTCAACTCATTTTGGGGCGATTTGAGCGAGGAGGCCGAGAAGCTGTGGCAGTTTGTGCACAAGTGCGCCGAGCTGAATGAAGAGAAGAAGGCCGAGGGCTCGGATCTGGATGAGTTCCAGGCGCATCGATTCCTCGAGAACTTCAAGGAATCGATGACCGTGCAGGCCATGAGGGAGAAGCTGCGCTCGACCGGCGCCATCCAGGCCGGTCAAGTCGTCAAGCGCGTCCCGCTCACTCATCTTCTCATCTTCAAGTACAACATCGATTGGAAGTACCTCGTCAACGCCGTCCAGGTTTCTACCCCCCCCCCAAACACACTTCACGCTTCTTCTTCTTGCTCACGCCGGCAGTGGCTGTGCTTTTGTGGGATCTGTAGGGCAGCAAGGAGGAGATTGAAAAGGCGCAGCGTATGCTGGACGAGGTGCACAATGCCTTCGTCCAGGCCAACGCCCGTGCCACGGAGGCCGCCGAGGCCGTGCGCGAGGCTGCCGCGCGTGAGGCCGACGCCCGCTCGCGCGAGGAGGAGCTCAAGGCCGCCAAGGCCGAGCTGGAACAGGCCCTCAACGAGCTCAAGGCCCAGGAGGACGCCTACAATCACAAGACCGAGGACCTCAAGAAGCGGAGCGAGGAGGGCGGCGTCGTGCAGCGCAACAAGGCCAAGAACGAGCTCGCTCAGCACCTCGGCGAGGACCCGCTGCCGCTGCGCAAGGCCAAGATCACCCAGGAGGCCGCCGTGAAGAAGGCCGATCGAGCGGCCGTGGCCGCCAACGAGGCCGCCCAGCAGGCCGCCGAGGCCCGGGTCAAGGGAGAGGAGGCGCAGGCCGCGGCCGAGGCCGCCGTCGACGAGGCCCGTGCCCGCGTGGCCGAAGCCGAGGACTACGTCGAGAAGGCCAAGAAGTCCATGCCCGCCGGTGGCGTGTGGTGGCTCGAGAAGGAGTTGCACGAGGCCAAGGCTTTCCTGCCCACAAGCAAGGGCGGCTACATCAAGAGGAAGATCACCGCCCAGCAGTGAGTCTCCCTGGTGTGTAATGAAAATAATTTCTTTTTATTTTCCGTAATCGCGTGACTCGTTGCACAAAAGCTGCGCGCAACTGACGTACGCCATTGGTTGTCTTTCAGAAAGCACAGAGAAAACCGCTGGGCGGGTGTTGATTGGCTGAGAAGTTGGCCGTTTTTTGGCGAGGGGCGATAAAAGACAAGGCAAGAGAAGGTCGAAATCATCAACAACCCAGCACTTCCCATCTCCACTACACCAACCCAAGATGTCGTCGACCCCCAAGAAGACCGGAGGCAAGGCCCCCGCCAAGAAGCCCGCCGACACCGTCGAGGGTGCCGAGAAGAAGACCACGGGCGGCAAGAAGACCGCCGCCACCAAGAAGGTGGGCGTCAAGAAGACCGCCGGCGAGGGCAAGAAGGGCACCAAGGGCGGCAAGGGCTCGAAGAAGAACTATCAGTCCTACTCGACCTTCATCTACAAGGTGCTCAAGCAGGTGCACCCCGACACGGGCATCTCGAACAAGGCCATGGCCATCATGAACTCGTTCGTCAACGACATCTTCGAGAGGATCGCCCTCGAGGCCGGCCGTCTTGCTCGCTACAACAAGAGGAACACGATCTCGTCTCGCGAGATCCAGACTGCCGTGCGCCTTCTGCTTCCCGGTGAGCTCGCCAAGCACGCCGTGTCGGAGGGTACCAAGGCCGTGACCAAGTACCAGTCGAGCCTTGGCTCCACCGCCGCCTCGCAGGACGAGTAAGCGAGGTTCTTTTGTATATCTTCATTCGCTTCACTATGTGTACAGTGCGTCTCATTTAATCGAACAAAATAAAAAGTAGAAAATCAAAACATCACGAGCACTCGCTGTTGTTGCTGCTTCAATCTTTGCGCCTGACCTGCGTGCTCAATCTTCCCCATTACTCTCGAGATCCCAAAGCGTGCAGGGTCTGCCTGTGACCGTACCCGCGCGTCGAATTCAAAGCGTCTTCACCCTTTCTGTTTCCCGCGCAAGGGAAACTAGCCGTTGCTACGCGAGCAAGGCGAAACAGTTTGCAGTGTTGAGTGCCGTTCAGCTCGTGGCACGTTGGAAGAGGTGGGTGTAGTAGATGGGTAGTGCAAGATTATAACTTGTTATTGAGTTGGAATGTAGCGGCGAAGATCGCTCAACGCACACCATCTCGACTGGCCGGCTAAACCAACAACAAGCGTGGTTGGTACGGTTATCGATCGCCTCCGAGCACCCAAGCGGCTTGTGCTTTCCTGCTTTGAAACGTAAATCTCGGTCTTCAGACAAGAAGGCGGCCAAAAACTAGCCGTTAGGAATAAACTCAGAGATCTTTGCTAGCTCGTCGGGGCTGGTGAGGATTGAGAAAGGAGCAAGGATGCGCTAGCGGTCGTTGTAGGAGTATCAACTTTTTATTATTATTGCTAGATTGGATAACTTAGGGGAGAACTCTTCTCTCCCGAACCGGAATGTACAGGCTGGACTCGAGTTATGGGTGGATGACGCTTAGCCGCCGAAGCCGTAGAGGGTGCGGCCCTGCCTCTTGAGCGCGTAGACGACGTCCATGGCAGTGACGGTCTTCCTGCGGGCGTGCTCGGTGTAGGTCACGGCGTCGCGGATGACGTTCTCGAGGAAGACCTTGAGCACGCCGCGGGTCTCTTCGTAGATCATGCCTGAGATACGCTTGACACCACCGCGGCGAGCGAGCCTACGGATGGCGGGCTTGGTGATACCCTGGATGTTGTCGCGGAGCACCTTCCTGTGACGCTTGGCGCCGCCGAGGCCCTTGCCACCCTTGCCGAGGCCCTTACCGCCCTTACCGCGTCCGACGTGCGACATTGTTGATGAAAGTTGGTTGTTGGAGTAGAGGCGAGTTGAATCGAATACTGGAACGCAACGGTCGCCCGACTTCTTGTACCCTGCTTTTCCTTGACAGCATCGATTTCTTTACTCATTTCTTTAGTTCCTTCATTCATGATTGGCTGTCTTGCAGAAAGCACAGAGAAAACTGAACAGACGTAAATGATTGGTCGAAGTGTTTGGAAAACTGACGGTGACCGTTCCGTTGACGCTAACGGTCATCTGGCTGCATAAAAAGGCGGGCCGCGGCCATTGCTGCTATTCCATCAGTCGCAACAGCACCGAACGCGTTCCCTCACTCTCAACCCAACTTAAGATGTCGTCGACCCCCAAGAAGACCGGAGGCAAGGCCCCCGCCAAGAAGCCCGCCGACACCGTCGAGGGTGCCGAGAAGAAGACCACGGGCGGCAAGAAGACCGCCGCCACCAAGAAGGTGGGCGTCAAGAAGACCGCCGGCGAGGGCAAGAAGGGCACCAAGGGCGGCAAGGGCTCGAAGAAGAACTATCAGTCCTACTCGACCTTCATCTACAAGGTGCTCAAGCAGGTGCACCCCGACACGGGCATCTCGAACAAGGCCATGGCCATCATGAACTCGTTCGTCAACGACATCTTCGAGAGGATCGCCCTCGAGGCCGGCCGCCTGGCTCGCTACAACAAGAGGAACACGATCTCGTCCCGCGAGATCCAGACTGCCGTGCGCCTTCTGCTTCCCGGTGAGCTCGCCAAGCACGCCGTGTCGGAGGGTACCAAGGCCGTGACCAAGTACCAGTCGAGCCTCGGTTCCACCGCCGCCTCGCAGGACGAGTAAGCGTCCCGACCCCCCGGCAGAATCGGAAGACCAGTCGAATCGGAGGACATGAACGTAGAGCGAAGCGAACGAAGTGTTTTTCAAGTGTTTGTGATGAACGCTGATGGCGTGCGTCGTACAGAGTGTATAGCAGTACCTAATTCTTCACTAAGTTAAAAATAAAAAAAACAAGATAATCTAATCTTCCCCGTGACCGTTACACATTTTCCGCTGCCATTTCTCGGCACTTCGCTCATTTCTTTCACAGCTAACTCGTTTCATCTTTCTTGCATAAAATCGAAATGGGGCGAATGGGCGCCATCTGGGGTCTATTCTTGCTCCTCTGCGTTGCATCGTGTGGCCTTGCGGGTACGTGCGCCACCTTCCCTGACGTTGAAATGGTGTTGACTGTTCAATCTGGCAGCTGCCGATTCGTTTGAGCCGGGTCCCGACTACGTATACGATCTCATCTATGATCACAAAACCGACGTCAAGGCGTGCGTGCGGCTTCTTCACTCGGAGGGCGAAGTTGGCTGCTCCTGTACGTATCCTATGCCCTTGTCCACACCCACCTGCTGATGCATCCCCAAAGCGCCAGAGGGCGGGTCTGTGGGGTCCCTATACCCGATAGAGACTGAGGCGGAGTACCTCGACTTCAAGGACCACATGTCCGCCACTTGGACTGACCTCAAGGCCATCGTGCTCGCTGGTCACCTCTTCAACAAGTGCGCACTCCGTACCTGGCGTGCTGGAGGTTACAGTGGTGTTGTCTTGATCGCACGAGTTTCTCAACTTCCTCTCTTTGCACCCGCTTTAGGACGATCATCGACGGCCTTCATCAAACAAAAGCAGTAGTCGGCATCGCATTGCTCCCGAGCAACGCCACCGGTACACCCACTCTAGCACAGCGAACCACGCCACCAGTTCACGTGTCGTGACCTCTTCATGACGTCTAGGCTTCGCGTGTGGGGCTGGCAAGACTGGCTTCTCGCCCGCTGAGAAGTACCCCAACAAGAAGTGGGGTCTTCATCCGGACTCTTCCCACGACTGGAACCCATGCGTACTACTATATAGGCCTGCCATCATCTCGTCCGCTACACTCGCTCACCTTGTTCCGCTCTTGTTTGCAGGGAAACGCGTGGTTCATGGAGAAGCTGCCCTTCCCCGTGTTTTCCCTCAACAGCGACGCCGATGGGAAGGATCTCGTGCACAAGGCCAGGGAAAACAAGCGCCTCGACTCGTGGCCCAAGTGGTCTGCCGAGTTCAAGGCCTTCATGTGGGGCGCCGGCGATTCGAACATCTGCCTCCGCCGGGGCTACTGCGATCCCGTCGGCGGACAGAGCGTGTGGGGATCGTTCGAAGAGGGTGCGTGCTCACTCCACTTTCATCGCCCCTTCACGTCCGCACGGGCGCTGCTGACCACTCGTTGGTCTTTGCTCTCAGGGGTGGACGCGGAGCGAGACATTGTTTTGGTTATGTCCCAGCTGGACAGCAACTCCATCTTCCAGGATCTGGCTCTTGGCGCCGAGGCCACCGCCAGCGGGATCACGACCCTGCTCACCGCCATCCACGCCCTGGCCGACCAACGCAAACTTGAGGCCCAGCAGGGCGGCATCTATACCCCGCCTGGTGCGCTGCTTCACCTTTGCACACGCCCCACGACGCGCGATACACACGACGTGCGTTGCTGATGATGGCTGTTTCCCCAGTGCGCGCCAAACGTCAGTTGGTGTTCGGCTTCTGGACGGGGGAGACGTTTGGCTACGTGGGTAGCCGCAGGTTCGTAGAGGACCTTATTCACTTCAAGTGCAAGTCGGTGGTGCACGGCGAGAACGGCCGCGTGCGCTGCGCCGATCCGTGGATGACCGACTACGGCTTCAAGAACATCTCCCTCTCTCGTATTCACGCGCTCATCGATCTGCAGCAGCTCGGCCAGCTCGACGCCCAGAGTACGTTTGTTCTTCAAATGGAATGTGCGGAATTTGTTGTGTAAGGGGACTCACCCCTTTCTCTGGTCCAGACCCGACGGTGTACGTTCACAGGGAAGCCACTTCGCAGGGAACGGCCCAACTGCTCGACGTTCTCACTGCCGTCGCCGGCTCGAGCGTCAGCGTGAAGCCCGCTTTCGAGCCGGCTTTCGAACTGCCCCCGTCGTCCCTCCACTCGTTCCTCCTCGCCAACAGCTCGCTGCCGGCCCTGCTCCTTTCCGACTTCAACACCACCTATCGCAACCCGTACGCTTAACCTTCGAGACGCGTGGGGTCCCTCGCCTGTAATGTGTTGGCAGTTACATTGACCGCGGCGCCGCACCTCTCAAACAGGTATTTCCAAAGCCGATGGGACGACTGGAATAACGTGAACGTGGACAGCGTCTGCACCGCGGCCGGTCTCGTGGCACGCACCCTGTACCAGCTGGTCCATGACGTCGCGCCTCCGCAGGAGCTCAAGCCCAACTGCACACTCGTACGCGAGACCGTCTCCGCTCGTTGTTGTCTTCACCTTTGCTCTAACCACCGACGGTCAATTAGGTGCACGACCTGCTCGACTGTCTGGTGCGCAACAACACGTGTGACATGAAGAGGCAGCTGCTCGGCGTCGGTACGTTTCAGACAACTGTGCCTCACGCATACTCTGCAGAGTAGTCAGCTATTCTTACCACTCGCGTCCACCCCTTCCCATTCCAGTGGAGGCGCCGAACCCGCCCACGGGCTATGCCGGCCTCTATCGCCACGACCAAGCCGCCTACAACATCAACGCGCTCCTCGTTCACCAGGTGCTCAACTGGGTCACCTCGCCCCAATACTACATGCCCGCGAAACTGCACGCCAACTGCTCCGCCAGCTCGCACTGCCCCGAAGGCGTATGTCCCCTTCACTCATGCCAGCGCGCAGCCCCAGTGTGCTCATTCGCCGTCTTCGTCGTGCATGTGACCACTGCGCAACAGCACAACATGGAGTGCGTGAGTGGTGTGTGCCGGAACAGCAGCGTCTTCTTCCACGACGCGGCGCCGTTTGGCCTCGAATGGGACGCCAACTGGGCCCAGTGGAGCCACTCGACGGCCCTCTTCCTCGGCACTCACCCGCAGCCTCTGTGGACCGAGCCCACGTACGCGCACCGTGCCACACTGTTGATCTCTCTCACTCACTCTTTGTCGCTTCTACGTCAAAACAAATTGACACAACACAGGTGGGACACGCCAACGCTGCGCGTGTTCAAGAGGGAGCAGTTCATCATCGAGGTCCTCACGCTCGTGTTCGGCCTGCTTGTGTTCAGCGTCGCGCTGGGCTTCCTTTGGCTCGCGAGGCGGTCGCTCAACGCCCGCTTCAAGGCCGTACCCTCTTCTTCTTCCTCCTCCTCCTCCACCTCCACCTTGTCGCTGAGCCAGTCCTGAGACGTCCTGTGCCAGCGCTGTATTTATTTGTTCTTTTTTTCCCGCCATTGTTGTGAATACATCCTTGAGATGCTTTACATACTTCACATTCTTATGGAGTGCGCGGAGATGCGTGTTTCGGCCGAATCTTCGCTGGGACTGTACGAGAGCGCCGTCAGCCAACTGGACCGCTGGTGGTCACTGATGCAAAGGGACACGCCAAGAGGTACTCTCCGCTCCTATCAGTTCAACAAGAGACCACTAACCTAAAACCTACACTATCACGCCAGAGTAGATAAGAGAGATAAAAGACATGGAGGGGAAGCAGCATAAGGAGGGAGCGCCGGCGGAAGGGAATGCCACCCGAACGCATGCGAAGGGCCGGGCGAAAGTCGAACACGAGGGCGAGTACCTGCCCATTGAAGACCACGGCATCGTGGGCAACACGCGCACCGTAGCCCTCGTCGGGCGCAACGCCACCATCGACTGGATGTGTTTCCCCCACTTTGACGTATGACCCCCCTCTCATATCCCTCCCTGCACCGGCCATTCTTCTTGCCCCCCCCCGTAGCGCATGCTCATGGACGGTCTCGTGGCCCCTGCGTGTAGAGCCCGTCGATTTTCTGCTCGCTGCTGGACAGCAGGAAGGGTGGGCACTGGTCCATCTGCCCAGTGGGCTCTGCCGACGTGCACTACAAGCAGTACTACTGGTGCGCTCACCACACAACCACACGTAGCTTTGGGGAAGAGCTGATGGTTGTAATGGGCGGCGCGGGCAGGCTGGACACCAACGTACTGGTGACGCGCATATCGACAGAAGACGGCATTGCACAGGTGGTAGACTACATGCCTGTGGGAGACAAGGGGCTGTGCGTCAACGGCTCCAGCACCCACAATGCGCTCATTCGACAGCTCTCCGGTACCCCCCTTGCTATTGGCACTGTTACCTCCTGGCACCCAAGTCATGCCTAAGTCACAACACTCTTGCAGTGGTACACAGAAAGATGTGCTTCAATATGGAGTGCAAGCTGGGCTTCAACTACTCAAGGGACCCACATGAGGTGAAGCATACAAAGTGTGGCATTTGCTTCTCCTCCAAGTTGCTTGACCTCAGCCTCTTTTCTCCCGTGGGTACTCGATCCCTCGCTCTCACCACAGTAAACACTGCTGGCCGATGCTCACCGCTTGCGCTCCCTCTCAACACAAGACACGCAAATCGAGAATGGGGCGGCGATCGGCGAGATCTGCATGGAGGAGGGAGACAGGAAGGTGAATTTCATTCTCTGCGATGTTGAGGAGGAGCACCACGACGTCTGCCACAAGGGTAATTGCATTACTTGTGCCGTACGTCATGATTAGGAGCGAAACGACTGACGCTCTCTCTGTCGTACCACAACGCAGTATCGACCGACGAGGTGTTCGAAAGCACGATCGAGTACTGGCACAAATGGCTCTCGCAATGCACCTACAAAGGTCCACCGCTCACGCTCGTTTTCTTTGCCGTTCTCCTCCACTCATGTTGTGATGCTGTATCGATCCTCAACACAGGCCGCTGGCGTGAAATGGTGCATCGCTCCGCGCTGGTGATGAAGCTGCTCACGTTTGCGCCCACGGGCGCCATCGTGGCGGCCCCCACCTGCTCTCTTCCTGAAGGTACGTTGCTATCTCTCTCTCTCTCTCTATCGGGTCCAGTCCTCCTGAACTCATGGCCCCTCCACCCGTCAAATTATCTGCAGAGTTGGGAGGCGTCAGGAACTGGGACTATCGGTACACGTGGTTGCGGGATGCCGCGTTCACGCTCTACGGCTTCTTGCGGATCGGCTTCTACAAGTATGGGCCGGCTGCGCATCCCTGGATTGACTCTGATGGGCTTTGGTTTGGGGTTGACTGACGCCGACGTGCATTGGGGGGGGGGGCGTAACATTAGGGAGGCGAGCGCTTTCATGAGCTACCTGGAGGCCCGGTGCAGGGAGGTGGACGAGCAGGGCCAACAGCTGCAACCGCTCTACGGCATTCACGGCGAGGCTCACCTGCCCGAGTTTGAGCTCGACCACTTGGAGGGCTACAAAGGTGCGAGGCGAGACGACGCTCACCAACATCAAGGCTCCATGGCGATTCTGATGGCTCTCCCCTTCTCTGGGCGGCAGGTTCACGCCCTGTCCGAGTTGGTAATGGCGCCTACAACCAAGTGCAGATGGACATCTACGGAGAGCTGCTGGTTCGGGCTACCCCTCCCATTCCGCACAAGGGTCGGCCAAAGGAACGCTCAAAACTCAAATTTGTCGGTTGTGTGGTGCAGGACTCGGTGTACATCTACAACAAGTTCTCTCCGATCAGCTACGACCTGTGGTGCTATATCCGCAAGATTGTTGACTTTGTGGCCGACAATTGGCACCTCAAGGACCACGGTACACATGAGGCTCTTGACATCGTGATCGAGGGTTCGCTTCTTACCTTGTGGTGTGGCGAAGGAATGTGGGAGGTGCGCGGAGACAAGCAACACTTCGTGTATTCGAAGGTCATGATGTGGGTGTGCCTCGACCGTGGCGTGCGACTAGCCGACAAGTACTCCAAATCGGCACTGAACAAGGAGAAGTGGCAGCGAAGTCGAGATCAGCTTTACGAGGTGCGTGCGTTCACTCGT